GTTTTATATGGTTCTGTTACGTGGACTCTTTCTTCTTGGGTTGTTAATTCTCAAGTATGTTGTACGTGCTGGTTCTTACGAGTTCTTTTAAGTGGGATTATTTTCTGGGGAAGGTTCTTATATGTTGTCATTTTGTGAACGTATTCATCAAAATAGTTTGGTGTTTGCTTCAGCAAGGTGTCTGAAGAGGTTTTCCAAAGCAAGTTGAGTATTGTGTTGATTTGTCGGGATTCTGTAGCATGGAATCTCATGAGGATTTTCTCTCTTGTACTTATGCATAGAACAGGCATGTGGTTTCCATTTCTCTTAAGACATCATCTCGGTCCTCCAACCTTCCTCTTTTTTTTCCATTGCTGTTCCATAAACAGGCTTCCCTTTTGGTTCTATGAGCTGATAGAAATGGTTTTGTCCTATATTTACTGCTTTTCCAGAGTCCTGGTTTTACACAGGGGTTTTAGTTTCATTTTCTGTATTCTATGGGCTCATGGCCACTTTTCATCTACCCTTGTGGGCCTTAGAAACTCAGCTGTGGAGACTGTATCTGACCTAGCTTATAATTCCTCAAACTCCACAACATAAGCTCCTGACTTCAGATTCTGCTTTAGTTTCTTGCTTTGGGGGTTTTAATTTATTTTTTATTATTTATTTATTTATTTACTTTTTGAGACAGAGTTTTATTCTGTTGCCCAGGCTGGAGTATGATGGTGCAATCTCGGCTCACGGCAACTTCCACCTTCCAGGTTCAAGTGATTCTCCTGCCTCGGCCTTTTGAGTAGCTGGGATTACAGATGCACATCAACACACCCAGCTAATTTTTGTACTTTTAGTAGAGATGGGGTTTCGCTATGTTGGCCAGGCTGTGTGAACACCGACCTCCAGGTGTCTGCCCGCTTGGCCCTCCCCGGACCAAATGCCCTGGGATTTATAATCTGACCACTGTGACTGGCCTTTTTTTTTTTTTTTTTAAATCAGTATATTTAATGCTGGGGGGTGTTGTTTTTATCTCACAGATCTGTGCATCTCGTACTTGGTAGGGGGGGGGGCGGGTTGAGGAGAGTGTCCATGTTAGTTTAGTCTCTCATTTTCCAGAAATAATATTGTACTGACTGGTTGGTTGTATTTAGGAAGGGTGCTGATTTGGTATGTATTAATTTTCTATCATTTACTCTAATAATTCTGTAATTATTTTCAGGAGTTTTTTATGTTGTTTGTCTTAGGTTTTCCAGAAATAGAATTGTGTCATCCAAAAAAACAGTGATGCTTTGCCTTTATAAATTAGCCTTGAAGTTTTTTATCTCATTTCTTTATTTTGTCAGTTCCGGTTAATTTCTCCAGTGGACATTCCTATATTGTTCCTTACTTTTATTTGAATTGGGTACTTTTGAGAATAATTTTTCAAATGCCCTAAAGCAGTTAATTTATCATATATTACTTTTAAATATCTCAGTTTGCGTATTCACTTTAGAAGTTATAGTGTAATTATTCTATACTAATGTCATCAGAATGTCATTTCAAGAGTAAATGACAAGAAGTAATACAAAAAATGAAATACAAAAGTGAAATATTCTTAATTTAGAATATTTAAAATATAAATTTTCATTCTTCTAGGTTGTTTCTTATGCTGATCTTCTATGTATTATTATATTTGCTTTGGTATTCTGTTGATTGAGTGTCAGTTAATATCAGGGTGTTCCAATAACCATTGGTAGCCCTTTCCCTGCTGCATGTGGAAAGATTGAAATTATATGAGAATATGTGTGAAACATGAAATTTCTAATGAAGAAGAAACTTCTATTATGGTGTGTCTGATGTACCTCATTATTAAAAGAAGACCTTTAGTTTTATTATATCAAATTGTTTCCTCAAACCCTTTTAGCATAAGATTCCTGTGGTTAAATATTAAATAATGTGCAATGGAAGATGCCATTTTAAATTAAGAATTCTTAACTTTCAATCACATTTTCTTAATTTGAGCAGAATCTGTTCATTTTAATTCAGCATCCTATTTTAAACTACTTGTTCCTGTAGTGTGATTCTATTCTTTCTTGCTGTTTATAATTTAGTACTGTATATAGGCACTTAAGAATGAGCATCTTGTTAGTATTGTCTTCATAATACTAAATACAGAATACCTCTCTCCAAGCAGATGTGTAGATATTTTACTCAGTTCTTTAACACACTTGTAAAATATACAGGTGACAAAAAGCTGTGCCTTTTGTGATTAGATTAGGTATTTTAGTAATTTAGTTTTTAATTTCCTATGCAATTTAAATATCCTATTATCCTTATGGGGGGGTGATACTTACTGTTGTACGTGTTTTAATTTGAATGCTCTTTCTTTTCTTTTTCTTGTTTTCCTCTCCCCACCACCCCGCCTTAAAGAGACAGGGTCTTGCTATGTTGCCCAGATTGGAGCACAGTGGCTGTTCATGGGCGCTGTATGGCTCACGTAGCCTCAAACCCTTGGGCTCAAGCGAATCTCCTGCCTCAGCCCCCTCAAGTAGCTGGGACTACAGGCCCACACCACTGCACTCAGCTTACATTTTAAATGTATTTAAGTAACTCCAATCAGCCTCAGCTCAGAGGTGAACTCAAATTTTATTTCTGCAGCTTTATATTAAAATGACTTCACAAAATTTAGAATTCTTAAGAGAACTCTTGATACTCTATAGTGTAAATTCTACTGTACATGAATTTCTGTCTTAACTCACCTTAGATTGTTTTTATGGTCATCTCTTTCCATGTATTCAGCCTTAAAGAAAGATTCTACTTTTAGTCTCTCTTACATACCTACTTTGATGTCAGAATCTTTCCCTTCAGCCCATGCTACACATAGCTTCAGTAGTCACACTAAAGCTAGTAAAACATGTAATTGATTTCCTGTTTTTCTGAGTGTGCAAGACTTAGGAACTGGGCAACTATATAGCATGTTGGCTGAGAGCACAGAGTTTGTAATTAAATCAACCTGAGTTTGAATCTTGATTCTTTTGTTGAATTACCTCTATTTGTCCTTACAGTAATTATTTTGATCTTTTAAGTTAGTTTCTCCTCTGTGAAATAAATATGCTATATCTACCTCACAGGGTGGTTGTGAGGATTAAGTAGACTGATGGATGTGGAACACTTCGATTAGTGCCTGGCTCAAGAATTGTAGTTCTTTTGTGTTACTTAATGTCATAATAGTAAACAAATTTACTCATCTTTGGTTACTTGGCCAGTTTTAGTTTGGAAAGTCTTAGAGACTAGCTTTAGGAAAAGCTGTCTAAAATGCATTTCATTTTAGACAAGTAGGAAGTTTTTATCCATTGATAATAGTCTAATATAATTTTTGCTGTATGGATTAACCTTTAATTAAATGTACCATATAGTGTTAGAAACAGAGCTCTGGAATAGTTTTTAAAAAATAAAAGGTTTGTATCAATATAGTAATTTGGCTTCATAGTTTTTTTTTAAGGAGTTTGGGGTTTAATTTTCTTTTACACACATTTGAGACATAACTTGAGAATTCCTATCCTATTTTAATCTCAATGCAGTAGACATTGTGTTATAGTAGTAGGAGTACTAGATTGGGAATTCGTAGAGTTGAGTTTGAGTGTTGGCTTTGCTGTTGACTTTGCATGTATGTCCTGTGGTGTTTATAGCCCGACTTACCTCACCTACCTACTTTAGTTGCTCAGAAAACCAGAAATAATTATGTTGAGGCTCTTCAGAAAGTACAGAGGGCTATTCAGAGAAAAGTAAAGTATTACTTCAGTTCTCTGCTTATTTTTGTTCACCTACATGTTTTCAGAAAACATGTTGGTATCTTATGAATTATTAGACATTGAAACTCATATCCCTGGTAATCATAATTTTGTGACTAGAGGCATTTTTTGGTAACCCTTTTCTTGTATTGTGAGGTGGCATATTACCTCAGTGTTGAAGGTTTTTAGGCATTCACCAAATAGCCAGAAAACAGTTCCTGGATAAGCTCTTTTTTTTTCAGGAAGAGTAACTGTTGCTCTAAATACCCTTTTCAATCTGCTCAGAACTGATCACTCCATTAAGCCTTTGATTAACTCTACCTGGTTTTAATTAATTTGCATTTCATCAGCATTTATGCATGTAGTTGTAGTGCATTAGTGTATATTTGGTTTTTTTTTAAGTTATTTTATGTCTTTTACATGTGACCTGGTCTTTTTTTCTCAGCTAGCTTGGAATCTCCTGAAGGGTAAAGACAATTGTCCTTTCCCTTTCTCCAATGATAGAGGGTGCTCTGCACATAATGTTTCTTACTGGTTGTGGTGGTTCCTCTAGAACATAATGGTATCAATTGGCCTAATTTTAAGTAGTACGCATCTGTAGAAATTTTCAGGATATGCCTGTTTAGAGTTAATGACAAAAAGGCATCAGAACAACAGACTGCTTGATATTAAACATATGGCACTTAAGCTGCTATGTATTTCAACTTTTTTTTTTTTTTTTTGCTTTTTCAAACAATTTTGTTGATTATATTTGGCTGAATGAAATCTAGTAGCTCTTCATAGATAATTTGAATTTTTAATACTGTAATATGTTTGGGGAATGTGCTATTTGTATTGTTAATGATTCTTAATAAAAAAGGAAGTATGCTTTTTATAAAAGCCTTTCTTTTATAAAAGGCTTAATTTTATAAAGAGCCCCAATTCGGTTACTTCCCACCCTTCCATTAATTTATTAAATTTTTGGTCATTCTTGCTATTAAAGTTTGTGATGTAAACCTTGATATGGAGGAGACTGTTCTTACAATAAATCTGCTAACATATTTGGGAATAACTACATTTGAAAAAAGAAGCTTTACATTTGCTTTAGTCAGAGCTTTTTCTACAACAAAACAAGATAAAATTATTTCCTTCATCTTTGTGCACTTAAGATCCCAAAGATGATGTTTCTTCCAAATGAATGTTTGCATTTTATTTTCCAGACTTTTTCTCTAAAACCAATTATTGCTCCATTAAGAAACATTTTTACATCTTCTTCAGGAATGTCGTTGTCTGCTGGGTCTTCCCCTCTTCATTCCCCCAAGATTACTCCACATACTTCTCCTGCTCCCAGAAGAAGAAGTCACACTCCAAATCCAGCAAGTTACATGGTGCCTTCTAGTGCCTCTACATCTGTTAATAATCCTGTTTCTCAGACTCCATCTTCTGGTCAGGTGATCCAAAAGGAAACTGTTGGTGGAACGACTTACTTCTATACAGACACAACTCCAGCACCTTTGACTGGAATGGTATGTTTGCATTAAAGAGGACATTTTAGTACTCTCTTGTAACAGGTCCTTTTAGTAATGAGGTGGTCCACCCCCTCCTGCAGCTTTTTATTGTGTTGCAAAAAAGTATTTCATTTTCTCACTTAGATGAGAAGTCTAGTCTCTTCTCAACTCTTCAAATTTATCTAGTTCTGCCTTACTAATAACTCTAGTTTTAGACTAATCTGGTTTAATCAGAAATTAGATTATATCCATGCTCTTACTTTAGTACTCTATGGCATGTTTTGCTTATGGGTTTACCTTGTACTAGCTGGAGTTGATGCCTGTTGACATTTGTTTTTAGGTATAGATAGTTTAACCTCTAGTAAGAAGCTAGAAAAAGTAGATGGTATGTCCTCAGTAGTTACTGGAAGCAAATCAATGATAAACCCTTATTTCAGATGAGGTGGTTATTTAACAGCTAGATCTGTGGATGGTGGAGTGACACATAGTGATAAGGGGCCTGCAGTATGGCTCTTTGCTAAGGAGGTAGAAGAGTCAGACCAAAGAGAGCCATGATTATAGATGAGGAAAGAGTTACCAAAGGACTGGTGATGAAGTGAGAGAAGAATCATGAAACAGTTGGGAAGTGGTGGCCCCAGAGGAGACATGAATATGAAGACCAAGAGAGGAAGAACATGGCCAGAAAGAAAGATTTCTAATCAGAGTCAATTAGTAATGTTCCAGGACAGGGAGAAGGGACAGGAGTCAAGGGGGCGAGAATGAATGGAGAAGGAGAGGGAAGGATTCCATGTTATGTAAATTGTACCTTTTTTAGCTTCATTACTTCGTCCGTATTCAAAAATTATTTTATTTACCCTAGAAAAATAAGTAGTAGATGAAGACCTCATGAGTGAGAAAGCCAGAGTCCACTAAAACAGGGGTCCCTAATCCTTGAACCATAGACCAGTGTTAGGAACCAGGCCTCACAGCAGGAGGTGAGCAGTGGGCAAGTAAGTGAAGTTTCATCTGTATTTACACCCACTCCCCATTGCTCTCATTACCATCTGAGCTCCTCGTGTCAGATCAGCGGCGGCATTAGATTCCATAGGAACATGAACCCTGTTGTAAACTGTGCATGCCAAGGATCTAGGTTGTGTGCTCCTCATGAGAATCTAGTCCTTGATGATCTGTCACTGTTTCCCATCACGCCCAGATGGGACTGCCTAGTTGCAGGAAAACAAGCTCCCATTGATTCTATATTACGGTAAGTTGTATAATTATTTCATTATATGTTACAATGTGATAATAATAGAAATAAAGTGCACAATCAATGTAATGCATTTGAATCATGCCAAAAATATCCCTTCACCCCCACCCCCTTGTCCATGGAAAAATTGTCTTCCGCGAAATCAGTCCCTGGTGCCAAAAAGGTTGGGGATTGCTACATTAAAATAACGGAAGCTGATCTAATCTATAGACATTTGACAGTCATAGATGATAGGCTTATATGAAACATTATTTGGATTTCAATATGCCGTTTTGATCCTCAAAGTTAACTTATTTTGATTGAATTTAATATTTTACTAAGAGAATTTGAGTGAAAAGAAAGCATACTTCTTTTTTTGTTTGCGCCACATTGTTTTTAGACTCGTGAATCTATGTACTTATGAAACTGTTTCTCCAATTGTAAAATAAGGATATTAATACCTAACTATTCTATGAGAAATAGATGTGAAAACATTTATAGAAATAGTTGTAAGTCATGTAAACTGCTTTTTAAAAATAATAAAATAGCTAACAGTTTTGTGGGCTTTTTAAAAATCAGAAATCTTTCAAACATTATCACAGAACCACTTTCCAAACAGAAGATCAAAAAAATAGGTAGGTAGAGACTTCTCTTTGTTCTTTCAAATAAGGAATCCATGAGTGTTTTAGCCTTTTTCATTTATTTATTTATTTTATTTTATTTTATTTTTTTTTGAGGCGGAGTCTCACTCTGTCGCCCAGGCTGGAGTGCAGTGGCCAGATCTCAGCTCACTGCAAGCTCTGCCTCCTGGGTTTACGCCGTTCTCCTGCCTCAGCCTCCCGAGTAGCTGGGACTACAGGCGCCCGCCACCTCGCCCGGCTAGTTTTTTGTATTTTTTCTAGTAGAGACGGGGTTTCACCGTGTTAGCCAGGATGGTCTTGATCTCCTGACCTCGTGATCCGCCCGTCTCGGCCTCCCAAAGTGCTGGGATTACAGGCTTGAGCCACCGCGCCCGGCCTCGTTTATTATGTTTTATAATCATTTACCTTTTAATTTTATTTGTAGAAAGAAATTTAGTTTAATGTATATGGAGGCTCTTTGGCACAAAATTACCTCCACCAATTTTATAGAGATTAAATTTACCTCCACCAGTTTTATAGAGATTAAATATGGCACATTTTAATAATGTTTTTACCCCTCACACACTATATATATATTTTTTATTATTATTATTATTTATTATTTTTTTTTTCTTGAGATGGATTCTCCCTCTTTCACCCAGGCTGGAGGGCAGTGGTGCAATCTTTGCTCACAGCAACCTCCGCCTCCTGGGTTCAAGCATCCTCCCACCTCAGTCTCCCTAGTAGCTGGGACTACAGACGCACACCACCATGTCCGGCTAACTTTTGTATGTTTAATAGAGATGGAGTTTTACCCAGTTGGCCAGGCTGATCTCAAATTCTTGACCTCAAGTGATCCGCCCACTTTGACCTCTGAAGTGTTGGGTTTATAGGCGTGAGCCACCGTGTCCAGCCTAAACTATACTGTTATATAAGGAAACCAACACGAGAAAAAAGAGATATTACTCTTCCTGCAGACACAGGCTAAAGGAAACCTTACAAGTATCACAAAACTGCTTCCTAGTTGAGATCTAGATCAGAGCAGTCATGTTGAGGCAGCACAAATCAGCTGAATTCGTTTTTAAAAGAGAAAAACAGTTTCATTGTTTAAAATGAAAGAATGAAGAAATAGAAAAGATATTTAAAACTGAACTTTGATTTTGTATCATGGACCAGTGAAGGAGAGACAGAGAAAAGAGTGATAAAGAGAAGAAAGGGTGGTGGGATGAGTCCAGTTGGAAGAATGAAAGACAAGAAGCTGGAAGCTGATGTAGTAACTTTATTGTAGTTTGCTTGGAAGGTAAATGTATTATTGTATCCTTCTGTTCACTTAACTTGCTGACCTAGAATGGGTTTGAATAACACTTTGTTTAGTTTGGCCACAAAATGCCTGTGAAGGGGAGAATTCTTTGGGCAGTCAGGGCAATGTTCCTTTGTTACCTCCCAGTACCCAAACACCTTTAATTTCTCCTTCCTTGCTTCCAGTTGGCTTTCAAAAAGTGGTGATGAACTGTTTGTATAGTTGCCGCTTAGTATCCAAGGGGGATTGATTCCAGGACTCCCACATATAGCAAAATTCCTGGGTGCTCAATTCCCTGATACAGAATGACATAGTATTTGTGTAGATCTTATACACATCCTCCTGTATACTTTAAATTATCTCTAGATTACTTATAATACCTAATGCAGTATAAGTGGTCTGCGAATAGTTGTTACACTGTATTTTTAATTTGTATTACTTCTTATTGTTGTGTTGTCATTTTTTTCCCCTGAATATTTCCTACCCATGGTTGGTCCAATCCTTGAATACAGAACCCAGGGATACAGAAGGCTGACTATGTGACATTTCTTCCAAAGAGCTACTTTTTTTCTCATGGAGCTTAAATTCTTTACTGTATCTGAAGAAATGTTTTCTCTCATCTTAGGTTTCTTTTTTTTTTTTTTTTGAGACAAGTCTTGCTCTGTCACCCAGGCTGGAGTGCAGTGGCATGATCTCGGCTCGCTAACGCCTCCACCTCCAGTTTCAGCGATTCTCCTGCCTCAGTCTCCTGAGTAGCTGGGATTACAGCGCCCTGCCACTAGCGTAGCTAACTTTTTTTTTTTTTGAGATGGAGTCTCGCTCTGTCACCCAGGCTGGAACCAGTATGCAATCTCGACTCACTGCAAATGATTTTGCAGTGTGCAACACTCGCCTCTGGTTCAAATGATTCTGCCTCACCCCTACTGAGTACTGGACTTCAGGTGCGTCGCACCACATCTCAATAGCCTAATTTTTTTGATTCTTTAATAGAGACAGGTTTCACCCATGTTAGCACAGGATCATTTTTCTATTTTAGTAGTCGGATGGAGTTTCACCATGTTGGCCACAGGCTGGCTTTTACGATTTTTTTACATTGATTCACTGCAATATTTTATTTATCTTGTTGTGTATTATGTATTTATTTATTTAATTTTATTTAGTTTTTGAGCACCGGAGTTTCCTCTGTTGTGCACCCAGGCTGAGCAGTCAATGGCCGCAATCCTCACTCCTGCAACCTCCACCTCCACCGGGTCAAGCGCTTCTCCCCTCAGCTCCCAAGTACTGGGAATTACAGTTTTCGCCACCACACCTGGCCTAATTTTGCTATTTTTAGTACGAGCCGGAGTTTCTCATGTGGCAGGCTGGTCACAACTACCTTCACTCAGCGTCTCTGCCCTCTCAGCTCCCAAATTGCGGGCTATAACCAGTGTGACCCACCGCTGCAGCTGAAATATTATTTTTAATATGAAATTCTTTCAGAAAGTATTCTATAACAGCTATTCTCTGAGGTTTTTACTTCAATATTATTTACAACTTTAAAATGTATTAAAATTTATTGCTATCATGTAAAGATTAAAATTTTATCAAAACACTGATAAAGCTTATCGATTATGAAAAATTAGTGAGGCTGGGCATGGTGGCTCACACCTGTAATCCCAGCACTTTGGGAGGCCGAGGCAGGTGGATCACCTGAGGTCAGGAGTTCAAGATCAGCCTGGCCAATGTGGTGAAACCTTGCCTCTACAAAAATAGAAAAATTAGCTGGGCATGATGGCGGGTGCCTGTAATCCCAGCTACTCGTGAGGCTGAGGCAGGAGAATCACTTGAACCCGGAAGGCGGAGGTTGTAGTGAGCCGAGATTGCGCCACTGCACTCCAGCCTGGGCGACAGAGCAAGACACTGTCTGAAAAAAAGAAAAAAAGAAAGAAAAATAGTGATTATATTTACCCCCTTCTTACCTTTTTAGGTGTTTCCAAACTATCATATTTATCCTCCGACTGCACCTCACGTTGCTTATATGCAACCGAAAGCAAATGCACCTTCCTTCTTCATGGCCGATGAACTCCGACAGGTATGCTTTCAGAATTCGTAGTAAGAATACTTAATGTCTCCTGTGCTTTAGTGAACAGGGGAAAGAACAGAGCTCTTTTCAAATCATATTATTTAATCAAATATGCTGTAGTAAAGCACATCGAATTTATAAGTTTTAATTGGTGTGTTTAAGGAAACCTGTCTTTTAAAAAAATTTCAAATAAATTTTGTGTTAGGATATAAAACGTAGAATAGCTATTTAAATAGTTCACTCTTCTGTACTTCATTTTATTTCTATTGAAAAGGCTCTTTGAAGTATATAAATAATTTCAATGGTTTCTAACAGTATTCTTCTAATAGGTGTAGGTTAAAAATAAGTAGTTTGGCCCAGGAAATAACTTTTAAGAGAGCTCAATATTTTTTTAAAAGAATGTTTTACAAAAGTGTTTTGTTTAATTTTTGGTAAACAACTAGTTATTTGATATGTAGAATTTCACTTTACACTCAGATTCTCAGAAATATTTTTGTTTCATAGAAGTGAGTTCTACCAGTATAGTGCTTTTTAAATTAATTATTACCAACTTACTAGTAGACCTTGAATTTTCAGCCACAGTGTTAGTCATGTGTTTTGGGTAGCCCAGCTACCTGTGTGTAAGTGGCACAGCTACCTAAACTCAGTCTTAATTATGGGCAAGTCTAAGTCTATCTGGGCCTGGAGTTCAGACATTTTACCATGTTTAGAAATGTTGTTTCATGATTTTAATATTTAAAAAGTGCACATGCCAAAAATATTAATATTTAGGTTATTTAATTATAATAGGAAATCCACGGTTCAGAATCTGTGTTTAAATAGAAATATACTTATTTCTGTTTCATAGGAGCTGATCAACAGACATTTAATAACAATGGCTCAAATTGATCAAGCAGATATGCCAGGTAAAATGCAAGTTGATCCTTCCTCTCTTTTAAAGGCTGTTATAATTCTTATGTGGTAGTACATGTTTTATGCATTACTAAGAAGAGTTCCAGGCTGGACGTGGTGGCTTTTACCTGTAATCCCAGCAGTTTGAGAGGCTGAGGCAGAAGGATTGCTTGAGCCCAGAAGTTTGAGACTAGCCTGAGCAAAATAGTGGGAACATGTCTCTACAAAAAATAAATGAGCTAGGCGTGGTTGTGCACATTTGTAGTCCCAGCCACTCAGGAGAGACTGAGGCAGGAGGATCACTTGAGCCCTCAAGGTCAAGACTGCAGTGAGCTGGCTATAATCGCCCCACTGCACTCCAGCCTGGGTGACAGAGTGAGACCCTGTCTCAAAAAATTAAAAAAAGAAAGAACAGCCCCAAGATACTACTGATCATCTAGTTTATTTCTGTTAATTTTACGTATGTTCATAAAAAGTGTATATAGTTTTAGAATTCATGGTGATTTACTGTGCACTAGAATATTTTTATCTCCTGAAACTTAATAAAGCATGGGTTCTTAAGCAGGAGAGGATGGTAATTATTAGTACCATTTGTGAGACTACTGTGTGCCAGACAGTATACTAATTAAATACTTTACATGTCTTACTTTATGCCTCACAAACATCCTGTGACATATTATTTCCACTTTACATATGAGGAATACTGAAGTTGGCAGGTTAAGTAACTTACCTTTAGAACCAATGGCTGGTAAATAACTGACTGATTCCAGACTTAAACCAAAGTTTTTCAGACTGTACCACGATATTTCTTAAAGCATATTAAAATATCTTTCCTTAGCTTACTCTGTATAAATGAAATATGATATAATTTAGTAAAATTTCATAAATAATACAGTAGGAACACATTTGCCATAAAGATCATCTCAAAATGCCTGGTTGTAATCAGGAATTCAGCATAGTCTAGTGTGTGTTGTCTCTTGATTGCTAAAGAATTAAAAGAAATATGGCTGTTATTTCTTAAGATGGATCTTTCCAGGTAAGGTGGGAAGGAACTTACTTGTCATAACCTTTGAAATATTCATCTTGGAATTTTTCTTAACTGTTTAATATTGTATTTGAGGCTTTAGCCAGGTTTTGCAAAAGTTTAAAAAGAAAAAAAATGGAAGGCACAAAGACTGGAAAGGAGAAAATAGAACTGCCATCTATAAATCATGTGACTGCAGATTAGACATTATTTGAAATAACAAACTGTAGAAAATGGCTGGATATAAGATTAATACATCAGTTGCATTTCTGTAGGCCAGTACCCAGTTAACTTCAAAATATAATTAAAAGCAAATGCTGTTTAAAAATGCAATATCAGTATGTAGGAATAAATACAACAAAAGATAGGTAAGATTTCAGCAGGGGAGATTTATTCATTAAGAAGTATTAAATAATGTAAAGTGAAATTCTGTAGATTAGTAGAGATTACTCATGATTAGGAAGACAGAACAAGTAAGATGTCAATTTTTCTAAACTGACATATAGATCCAGTAGAATTCCAGTCAAAGCATAACTTCCAGTCAAATCTTTTCATGAAGTATGATAAAATGTATCAAAGAATAAAGGGCCAAGACCATCCAAGGTGCTTTGAAGAGTATGGTTGTTATTTATGTTCATATGAAGAATTTGTTTGTGTATTAGGGAAGGAGAGGTTTGATTTGAGTCTACAGTAACTAAAACGTGATGATGACACAGGGTTAGACAGATTATTGGAACAGATTACAGAGAGCCCAGACACGTTCTGTGATAAAGGTGGCAAATCAGTGGGGAAAAGAAAGCATTGGAAAAATGGTTTTTGGTTTTTTAATTAAAAAAATAAACTTTGATTGAGGCAGCATCTTGCTCTGTCACCCAGGCTGGAGTACAGTGGTGTGATCGCAGCTCACTGCAACCTCTGCCTCCTGGGCTTCAGCATTCCCCCACCTCAGCCTCCCAAGTAGCTGGGGCTACAGGTGTACACCACCACACTTGGCTAATTTTTGTATATTTTGTAGAGAGGGTCTCACCATGTTGCCCAGGCTGGTCTTGAACTTCTGGACGCAAGTGCTCTACCTGCCTCAGCCTCCTGAGAGTGCTGGGATTACAGGCATGAGCCACTGTGCTTGACCACAAAAAATGGTTTTCTATATTGACAAGATAAAATTGGGTGATTATCTCAAGCCACATTAAAAAGTCAACTTCAAATAAATTAAGAACTTGTATGTCTAAAACAGAACTCTAAAACTCCTATTGTAAAATATAAATGAATGTATTTTATCTACTTTTAAAATACTTTAAAAAATAAAAACTAATTTTATCTGCATTTGCAGTGATGATAAAATATTTAAAATTTTTTTGACACATTCTCTTTTGGCTATCCATGAGTACTTTACATCATTCATCAGTACGCACACAATTTTCAACTTAAGACATTTTCAAACAAACACCGCCCTATGTTTCTGACTATCCCTTCATGCTTAACATTTGTTTACATTATAGTTCAACCGTTTGACACTTGATCATATAGTTTTTGGCATCATGAATTACAGTGCAGGAACATATTCATCTACTTAATTTTTTTCTTCTGTAGGAAATATTTTTTTCCTTAGAAGAAATACTTCAAATATTTCTAAACTGATGTATATATAGATTCAGTATAATTCAGAAATACTTTTATAATTATTTCTACTTTTAAGCATAAAAAATGTACATAATTGATCAACTGATGCTCTTTTAAAAATATATAAAAAAGAAAACAGCTCCGGGCGCAGTGACTGACACCTGTAATCCCAGCACTTTGGGAGGCCAAGGTGAGTGGGTCACTTGAGGTCAGAAGTTTGAGACCAGCCTGGCGAACATGGTAAAACCCCATTTGTACTAAAAATACAAAAATTAGCCACGTGTGATGGCGCCCACCTGTAATTCCAGCTACTCAGGAGGCTGATGCACAAGACTCGCTTGAATCCGGGAGGTGGAGGTTGCAGTGAGATTGTGCCACTGCGCTCCATCCTGAGTGACGGAGTGAGACTCTGTCTACAAAAAAAAGACAGAAAGAAAAATGTAAAGTAGAAGTGGTTTTAAAGTTTAGTACATAGAACCAAATTGCTTTCCAAGGGATATCAGTTAAACACCATTGATTTGTAAGTTGTAATAATTTACTAGCAACCCCATAGCAAACGAGTGCCTAATATCCTTGGGAATTGCTCTGTTCTTTGTATTTTCATAGTGTATTAGCTCTCAAAGTATGATTCCTTAACCAGAGGCCTCATTTTCATTGACTTTTAGGAACTTGTTAGAATTGTAAGTTCTTGGATCCCACTTCAGATTGTATCAGAAACTCAGGGATTGGGGCCCAGCAAACTATGTTTTAACAAGGCTTTAGGTGATTGTGACAGGTGCTGACGTTTAAGAACCAGTGTCATTGCGAATTGTACTTCTTAAATGGGGACTTTACCTCTTACATGTTTTATATAAATCTGTGTTCTTTATTTTTCTCTAGGCCTCTTGAGGGTAAGAACGTGTATTTCTTTAGTTTAGGTTCATTAGTACATAGTAGGTGCTCAGTATATTTTACTGATTTGAAATTAATCCTGTATTAAGTGCTCCTTAATAAATGAAATAGCTGGAAAGCAAAATTTATCATTTGACTTCCTTATGGACATAGTGTTCATTCAAATACAAACTAGGTAAATGCACAAAAGTAAAAGTTACAACTGTATTCACTTATGTGTATTCTTCCATTATATTGCTTTTATTTTATTTTATTTATTTATTTAGTTAGTTAGTTAGTTAGTTATTTAAGAGATAAGGTCTTAAATGTTGCCCAGGCTGAATTCAACTCCTGGGTTCAAGTGATTCTGCTGCCTCAGCCTCCCAAGTAGCTAGGACTGTAGTCACATGCCATGACACATGGCAGTATACTGCCATGTGTTATTTAAGTAGAACATGCCACTTGATGACATTTTAATCATTCTACATTTGTTTTTCATTATGGCCCAAATGCCATGTAGAGATTATGATTATAGAATCTAAAAGTCCTGGGTTTGCATCCTACCTTTCTCTCTCAGCTATGCAATCCTGATTATCTTTATTTATGAAATAGGGAATTATACCTCATGGGATTGTTGTGAGAACTAAGAAATAATGAGCATAAAGTATTTGGCAAATGCAGAGGAAGGATCATTTTGAGCCTGTCTTCTGGAATTAGTTTTCTTAATAGGGTTTCATCTGTGTTTCTTACCAGTCAGAGGTCAAAAATTATCAGTTGTTTTTGTTTGTAGGTTTTTTTTTTTTAACAGACATAATACCATGTTTTAAAAATAGTGTTAAACATGTATATTATAAAACATTTGGCAAACACCAAATAATGTAAAGAAAAGAATAATAATCCTCCCTTTAAAAGGTTACCAATTGTTGCCATCTGCTATATTTTCTTCTAGTTAGTTTACTATGGCTGTACTACATGTTGGGTTATCTTCCGTTCACTTAAAATATTGTGAGCATTCCGAAGTCATTCAAGACAGTTAACAAAGTGAAAAGTATAAGTTGGTGTTCAATTGGAAAACATGATTGTATTTGAATCATTAAAAAATACATGTCATTTTGATTATAAACCTGATAACATGTTTGTTCTACAAAAATTTATCTCTAAGTGATAACTCAAATTGTTTATAAAAATTATTTCTGAGAAACAAATTTGTATTGTGCTATAAAAAGAAATGTTTTTGAATGCATGAACTTTAGTTGTTCTTTGGTTATTTGGTCATATTATAATGCCTATTTTTATTGATACTGAAGCTAGTTTGTCTTATAGAATTGTTATGTTTATTCTATAATACAAGAGCACATTGTGATATACAAGGCGTTTATAGTAAATATGATTTCTTCTATATTTTTGAGAAAGATTTATGAATGTCTGTATTTTCAAGTCTTCTTATGAATTACTCTAGCAGTTCCTACAGAGGTTGACAGCTACCATAGCCTATTTCCTCTAGAACCACTGCCACCTCCCAACCGGATACAGAAATCAAGTAATTTTGGGTATATTACATCTTGCTACAAAGCTGTAAATAGCAAAGATGATCTGCCATATTGCCTTCGGAGGATACATGGTAAGGAAGATCAGTTATCTTCTTTTATAATCATATCATTGGGGCTAAGATTATTCAGACCTTCTTGAATATATTATTTAACATATGAATGGAAATTTTTGATTTGGAAATTAGTACCTCATGAGCAATGTATAATATGGCATTTTCTTTCCATTTCTGATAGAATATGAAGGAGACGTCAATTAGAGTTTACTGTAGCAGAAAAATTGTCTTTCAGGTTTTCGTCTTGTTAACACAAAGTGCATGGTGTTGGTGGACATGTGGAAGAAAATTCAACACTCAAATATCGTAACTTTGCGCGAAGTATTCACCACTAAAGCATTTGCCGAGCCCTGTGAGTAACTTGTAATTTGTCTTTTTGCTAGTGAGCTTCATTATTTGAAGCCAGCTTTCAGTAATGAGTGTTTGTGTTTTATTTTAAGCTCTTGTGTTTGCATATGATTTCCATGCTGGAGGAGAAACTATGATGAGCAGACACTTTAATGACCCTAATGCTGATGCCTATTTCACCAAGAGAAAGTGGGGTAAGAAAATGATACAGGCAAACTATATTTTGACTAATGCTTTTGCTCTGTGGAAGAGTAGTTTTCTACTTTAAAATATGTATCATTTTTCCCTGTAATCACTTAGTTTAAAGACTGTTGCATTTTGTATTAGTCCGTTCTCATGCTCCTGATAAAGACATACCTGAGACTGGGCAATATAGAAAAGAAAAAGGTTTAATGAACTTACAGTTCTTTGTGACTGGGGAGGCCTCACAATCATGGCAGGAGGTGAAAGGCACATCTCACATGGCAGCAGACAAGAAAAGCAAATGAGAGCCAAGTAAAGGGGGTTTCCCCCTATAAAACCATCAGATCTCATGAGACCTATTCCCTACCACAAGAACAGTATCGGGGAAACTGCCCCCATGATTCAGTTATCTCCCACCAGGTCCCTTCCACAAAACCATGGGAATTCTGGGAGTTACAATGCAAGTTGAGATTTGGATGACACGGCCAAACCATATCACATTTCAAAAAGAAATATGTCAAAGAAATGGAGTTGATGGTCAAGAAGTTAGGATATAATGTATTTTGCATATTTACTAAGATAAGGTAGATTTTTGAAGACTCACATAGATATCAGATATTTAAATAACTGGGAATGTGTTAAAATTGTTTTTCTCTTTAAAATGTTTTTCTTTTAAAATTATAATGCTCTCTTAATAAAGGTGTCTTGGAAAATTCAATAGCTTAGTTAGGAACAGTCTTTATGGCTTCCCTGCCTAAGTGCAACCGTTATGAATCTTCTAGTACATTTCTTTCCAGTCTTGCTTTGTTTTGTTTTCATCTCCTTTTGCATTGTTTTGTTTTTGTTTTAACATTTTATATCATATTACATCTTTTCTTTATTGTAAGTATTTTCCCTATAGTTTTTATATTCTCTCAATATAATTTAATGATTCCTACTATGACTATATTGTTCTTTAGATAATTATTTCCCTAAACAAATGCTTTAGTTGAAGGTTGGATTCCATATTACTTAATCTAAGGTTTCAAAATAGAATTTTAAGTAACTTTTCCTTAAACATGGAATATTTTATTTTTTGCCCCTTTCTAATATATACTTAAAGAATTGTTTTATCATTGAGATTTTGCAAACAACCAGAATACTTGAAGTCTAACAAATGTGTGTTAAAGGGTAAATGATTTCAGAGAAAAATAAATCCATTTTGAGATGTTCTATTCATTAATTTATGTATTTGGGGAAGGTCTCAGTCTCTGGGGGCAAGAAAGAAGCATCACATTATGCTTTTTAATCTTTTTAAGATTTTCTTGACTTGAAAATTAAAGAGGAGGGGAGAAAGATTTGAGTCCATATTCTAGTATCTTTCAGATTGCAACTCTCTTTAAAGACTCTAATTATAGACAAAAATAGATTACTTCTGTTTACTTGTTACTTCGCTTTTTGCATTCTGACAGTTGAAAAAAGAAAGTTGTGGTTACATGGCTGTTTCACATTTAACATAGAATGTGGTCATTTTTTCCCTTTTGCTATGTCATCTGTAGACACATGCATAATTTTGTGGAAGGGGATGTGGTACAACTTTTCTTATAGATGACTATAGTTGTTGCTCCAATTTATTTTGGTAGTAACACCTGTGAAATGACTGTTGGCTTTAATTTATAACTGTGTTTCTCAACTTAAGCAGTATTGACATTTTGAGCTGGATAATTATTTTTGTGGGGGCTGTCTTGTGCATTTCAGAATGTTTATAGTGGCCTCTTCTGACTGAAGGGCCTGGTTCTGCCTACTGAATGCCAGTAGCAATCCCCCTCTACCCCAATTGTAATGCCAGAAATATCTTCAGATGTTGCCAAATGCTGGAGTGGTTTCTTTTGAGACCCACTGTTTTATAGCATTCTTTTCCAGTAATTTTTTAATCGTAATTATTCTGTTTTTGGTGTTCACTGATTAATATACTAATGTTTACATTTTCATAGGAAGTAGTCCTTTTAATATTTTAAAGTATTGTTTGAGTAGTCGTAACTTCCCTAACCATACCATACGTACATAAAAGCCTACCATTTTCCTATACTATGTAATTTATTATCTTAGCACAAATGAAAAAAATAGCAAAGTATAAGGAATATGTTAATTTAGAAAATGGGAAGAATAGCATACCATATGGAGTTGATACAAGATTCAGAATGAGTCTATATCAGTAAAACAACTAGAACAGAGTCTGGCAGACAGTAAGCACTATATATATGTTTGCTGTAAAAACTCTGTTTCCTTATTACTACATTTATTAATAGTTTCATTTAAACGATTGATAGTCATTTTTGAGATTGGCTTGGCATTTGTTACCAGTGCCATTTTTTTGAGTCTTCTTACACATATTTCCAGAGTGTATTATCTTCTGTCCAAATTGAGAGATAATTATTTTTGAATTTTGTATGTGCTGCTTACTGGAAATTTTATTTCAAGCCATAAGTACATATTTGTTTTTATTGTAAGTACATAATTAACCATTTAATTATGTTGCTTTTTATAACTGATTCACAAAAGGTTGTTTTACAACAATATGAATATAAGGTCGACAGGGCGTAGCGGCTCATGTCTGCAATCCCAGCACTTAGGGAGGCTGAGAAATATGGATCATTTGAGCCCAGGAGTTGGAGATCATCAGCCTGGGCAACATAGCAAAACTGTCTCTACAAAGAAAAGAATATAAGGACATATTCCTTGGAAAAATTACAAAATCTTGATTATATTTATATGTCTCCTTTTCTACTGATTTACAATATATTAACAATGACCTAGAAAATATTATCAAAAACCACTTAATGAGTTAATAGAATACACCTTTGTGATAGAGGGGGCCGAGTGGTATAAGGAAAACGAACATTCACCATAAGTGATGGTAGAGACTTTTATTTTCATCAAGCCACACAATGAACAGCTCTCACATGCCTAAACAATAATACAGGGTAGGATTAGCCAGCCACATTTTAAGTGGAATAACCTCTACAGTTTCTGTTTTTATATTTATTTGGTTAACAATTAAATATAAATTCTTATTTTAAATAATTTTTATTCAGTAATTATGTGGTTACAGAAAAGAGCATTTCAGTGAGAGCCCTGTTGCCGGTAACAATATAAAAGTCATAATCTCGGACAGGAACCTTTGGGCAATAGATTAAACTTAAATTACACAGATATATACACACACATATATAAATTGACATGTTGTGCCATGAGTGTACATGAATTATCTTTGCTAATTTTGGTTTTAATATTTTAGTCTTTTAGTTGATTACTTAAGATGTCATTTTTTGGATTTCTTTGCTGTATAGGTCAACATGATGGACCGTTGCCCAGGCAACATGCTGGATTATTGCCAGAATCTCTTATTTGGGCATATATTGTCCAACTAAGTTCTGCATTGCGTACCATTCATACAGCAGGTTTGGCATGTCGAGTTATGGATCCAACAAAGATTCTGATAACTGGCAAAACAAGGTACTAGCATTTTGAGTTTTGGTTTCTTTTATTGAGCATCTTACCTTTGACAACTTAGTAAACAAAACATGATTGTTTTAATTCTGCCTTTGCATATATTCCATCCAGAAGAACTTCTATGACTTTGAATTAATTTGTAAGCTTTTTTTAAAAAAAATGTTGAATTCTGAATAAAATGCCTGATTATTAACCAAAAATCTTGGGAAAGGTTAGGTAATATGTGGTTAGGGTTAGGGGAATATAAAGATAGTATCAGTACAACTTTTCTATGTAGCACCATGGTACACAAATTCTAGCATGAATCAGAATCACCTGGAGGACTTATAAAACACAGCTTGCTGGGCCCTACCCCAAGAGTTTTTCATTCATAAGTCTGCACTGGGGCCTAAGAATTTGCATTTTTAACAAGTTTCTAGATGTTGCCGTTGCTGCTGTTGAGTCACATGCTTTGAGAGCAACTGGTACAGTTATCAGTGTTGTCTTCACCTGAGTTTTGAGTTGCTGTAATTTTGAGATTGTCTTGGGCTGCATAGCATAGAGCTATAGATCTGGTACCAAGTTATTTAAGTTCATATCCTGGCTTTGATAGTTACTATTGATATGCCGTTGAACAAGTTACTTCTTCAAATTGTGTTTCGACAACCTTATTAGACAAGTGTACTACTAACTCCATTTTGCTTATTTATGAGGTACCCCTCAAAAAGTTATTGAGAGATTTGAATAAGTCATGTAAAATGCTTAGAACAGTGTCTGGTACATCTTTTGCAAGTGTTAGAAAGCTAACTAGTTCTCTTTTATGAATAACTAATAAACAGCTTGGAATGGTGAAAAGGACACTGACCTGTTAGTCAAGAGATGTGAGTTATAGTTCTGGCTTTGTCCGTTTCTGACTTTTACAGCTGTAGGTATATCACTTGATATCTCTGAGCCTTAATTTTCCCATTTCCAAAATGGTGGTTGGTGGAGGTGGTGTGGGGTAGGTTGGAAGTTAAGCTCAATTCTGAGATCCTTCCTAATATTTTGGGAAATGTTACTTTTCCATGAGTATGCAATTTTTTAAAAACTTATTTTAATTATTTTCTTTAAATTATCTGGTCCTTAAAGGTTGCGAGTAAATTGTGTTGGAGTTTTTGATGTTTTAACATTTGATAACAGTCAAAATAATAATCCGTTGGCATTGATGGCCCAGTACCAGGTGAGTAAGAATTAACATGGATATTTACTTGTTTTCCTTTATTAAATACAAATTTTGTTCATTTTAAAGTATTTCAGTGTTTTAAGCCTAGATTTTAATTTATTTTGGGGTAGTCTCTGTGCAGACTTTGAACATGTATCTCCCCTCCCCTTCCTCTCTTTTCTTGTCTTCCTTTCCTTTCCCCTCTTTATTTCTTTCTCTCTCTTTTCCTTTCTTTTCTTTTGCTTCTGTTTTGCTGTGTCACCTGGGCTGGAGTGCAGTGGTGCAGTCAGCTCACTGCAGCTTTTGAACTGGACCCAAGCAATCCTCTCACCTCAGCCTCCCATGTAGCTGGAACCATAGATGTGTACTACTGTGCCTGGCTGAAATTTTTTTTATTTTTATTTTTTGCAGAGATGGAGGCTCACTATGTTGCCCAGGCTGGTATTTCTTAACCGTTATGATGTATTTAGTGTAGAGCCGTTGTAGGCTGGAATAAAGGGAATTCATGTCAAAAGTCAGAGACACTTTTTTTGTTGTTGTTGTTAGGCGGAGTTTCACTCTTGTTACCCAGGCTGGAGTGCAATGGCACGATCTCAGCTCACCACATCCTCTGCCTCCCAGGTTCAAGCATTCTCCTGCCTTAGCCTCCTGAGTAGCTGGGATTACAGGCATGCGCCACCATGCTAATTCTGTATTTTTAGTATATAGATGGGATTTCTCCATGTTGTGAGGCTGATCTCGAACTCCCGACCTCAGGTGATCCGCCCTCCTTGGCCTCCCAAAGTGCTGGGATTACAGGCACGAGCCACTGTGCCCGGCCTCATGACAATGTCAGACTCTTAACTGTTCAAAATGAAAATGTATTTATGTGATTTAGGAAACGTGTCCTAAGCATAGATAGATTAAAACAGACTCATCAAATGAATGGACTATATTAAATGACACCCTTCTTTTTCACTCCTTTAATTACACCTATTATTTTTACTTTTAGAACACTTGTCTGACTACCAGTCATAAAATTTTAGAAATGTGTTCAGAGGTTTGTTGTTGGATTGCCATTTTCTAAGTAATTTTTAAAATTTAGTCGGAACATATCACTCACTTCTTATACATTATTAGTATTTGATTATTGTCTGACTTCATTTTATTAGTGTTGATTTAGGCCTTGTGATGTTTCTTAGCTATTTTGCTGCTTCTTATTTCCTGATTTAAATGATAAAGTATTGAATAATAAGAACGTATTTCTTCAAGCATTAAGAACAGTTGCTTTAGGCCAGGTGCGGTGGCTCACACCTGTAATCCCAGCGTTTTTGGGAGGCTGAGGTGGGCAGATCACTTGAGCTCAGGAGCTCGAGACCAGCCTGGCCAACATGGTGAAACCCCGTCTCTATTAAAATACAAAAATTAGCCAGGTTTGTAATGGCACACACCTGTAGTCCCAGCTACTTGGGAGGCTAAGGCAGGAGAATCGCTTGAACCTCGGAGGCGGAGGTTACAGTGAGCCAAGATCGTGCCACTGCACTCCCGCCTGGGTAGCACAGCGAGACTCCATCTCAGAGAAGGAATAGTTGCGTTTGCCTTGATTACTCTGCAGGTAACAAAACTAAAGTAAATAGGTTATTCAGTTTGTATTGGAATGCTTCACAGTAGGATAGGCAGCTGTGATTTTAAGACAATTTTAGTTCTTTGTGCATAAGAAGTTTTTGAGTTTTTTGAACATTTATTAACTGACAAAGGTTTGCTCTAAGGCATAATTTCTTAATTACATGGAGAAACACCTTATTGCTCTTCTCTTTTCAACTTATTTTGTTTAAAGTTTTAGAAGAAGATTTTAATTCACTGATAGAATTTTAGAACAAAAAGGATAAAATGAGAAGTAGAGTCTAATCACTGTTTAGTATTTCAGTTCATGCATCAATCTCTTTTGCTGGTAAACCACAGACAGTGCAGTCCCAGAGACTTGCAGGCACTCATTGCATTCAGTTGTTTGCAGACATTTCACATCCTCCTTCCCCTCTGCTTGTGCCCATCTAACCTCAGCAGCAGCCAAGCTGTTCTGGTTGATAGCAACATCTAGTGGGCAATACAGGGAGGAAGGTGATTAGTTCTTTTTTTTCCCCCAACAGCGGCATTGTGTTCTTCTGCCTGAGGGCATTTGCTGCCTCTTTCTTATCTGGAGATGTTGTTTCTTAGCTACTGTCATTCTTATCTTCTTATACTTAGTGCCTAACTAGTTGGCTCTGATTAATTTTTCTTTATGACCTTTTTATGCTTCCAAAGTGACAGATTATTGACTTTTAAAATATTAGAGATTATATACACTTGGATATACATCCAAGCAGATAATATTAAATTTTTGAAGGAAAATTACACATTTTTAGAGCAGTACCATCATCTTCTAATGTAAGTATCTAGAAACCCCTGTCTGCATTAAAAACAAAAACAAAACTGCACATGCTCCTCATTCTTTTCTCAATAGGGTTCCTTTTCAGGTGTGTTATGGGTTGTGTAGTTACCTTGAAAAACAAAACTTTTCATAAGAAAAAAATCTCTGAGTTCCAAACAACCAAGTCTATGTAAGCATTTAGGGCAACTTATTAATATTTGTAAGTCAGGATATGCCTTCATTCATAAAATCAGGCAACCTTCAATTATCACCTCTTTATTTTTTTTCAGCATTGAAGGATATATATCAGGCTTTCTTTTTTTGGGTATATATGTGTAGCTGATTTTTTAATATAGTTTATTATAGTAAGGTATAGGAAAGAATGAAAGATAGTTCCAAAGGGGGAGTGTGATTTTACAGAGAAGAGGATACATGAGGAGTGCATTGTTTCTTGTAGTATATTTTTCATAGTCTGTTTCAGACACGTGAATAGAGACTGACTTTGAGTAAAATGGACATAAGTAGAGCCATAGATAGAATCAGAAAAAGAAATCAAGAAGTCAAGAATCAGGAAGAAACTGAAAATCAGTTGGGGGGCAAATCTCCTGAATTCAACAAATGGGGGGAAAACCAGATGGAGGTAAGAAGCAAAATAACAAATGGAAAATTATTTAGCTGAGAAATAAGGAAAGGAGAGTTACTGAGTTTTATGGTGTGAAACTCTCTTAATTAAGATTTTATTAACTCTTTTGTTTAAAAAAACCTCTAATTTAATCTGGACTGTGTCACACGTGTACTTTATTTCTAAAAGCGGATGTTCTCACCTTGAGTCCGCTTTAGAGATGTGGTGGGATGTACTGAAAATCAGATATTGTTATTTTTTAAAACCATCTGGTTCTTCAGCTCTCTTGGACCATTTTGGTTTTCTGTCTCATAATAGAGAATAATGGAATATTCTGGGAGGCAGGCTTAATACAGCATCAGTTCAGGGTGGAACAAACTGAAAATTCTGCTGCTCAAAGAGCTGGAAGACTGGGTGTTGATATCTGCTGCTCAAACATGTGATAAACAGCCACAGTCTTTGCTGTGCTTTGCTGGATACTTTGGATTGAATCGCCCATAGAAATTTATAGTTGGCATTTACATGCAATGATTTCTTTTGGCTGAGATTTCTATAATTTCATGAATATAACTTGGAATGTTTTACTTGATCTAAAGTGTGATTGAGAGGCGTTCTTTTTGGAGTTCATCACAGTGTCCTCCAGCGAACAGAAATGATGGCAACAGTAATAGTACTCCTTCCCATGCCAGCTTCCCTCCTGCCATTCTTGTCTCCTGACTCTTCCACCAGTGAAGTTTACAAAGTTTTCTGGCGTGAATCTTTGGATCTTTTCTAATAGATTCGAAGTAGTTTCTCTACCTAATCAGTCTGTCTCCTTATCTCCTGTTCAGTGTCAGATTCACAAATGCTAGTTTTGGATAAATTTTTTAGTATGAACTTTTAAATGTTATTTTAGTAATGGAGTTTAATGTTAAAATTTACTCATTATTTGGGTAGGGTATTGTTAAGGATAACCATATAATGCTAGAATTTCACTAATGATTGCCTTAAAGTTACAAATATTCCAACAAACCAGTGGTTCTCAATCCTGGCTGCATATCACGATCATTTGTGGAAGCTTAGAAAAATACCAATACCTAGATTTTGATCCCAGACTGATTATACCAAAATTGAGATGAGGGGATGGCTACTAGATGATTTTGGTTTTGTTTTTAAGCTCCTCAAGTGATGATAATGTACAGCTAGGCTTGAAAATTCCTTATAATAAACTAACGCTCAGTAAATGAACATGTGTCTAATAATTTAGATGAGTTCTCAGATTTTAAAGATCTGCAAATGTCTGTTGTAGAAACTGCTTCAGGTGGTTTCATGTTAATTCTGAAGTACTCCATTCTGTAAGGCATGTAGTTGTTGATAGCTTCCTACCAATCAGGGCCACTTGGGATGACCATACTGTTTCCTGGAGTTATAGGTGATAAAGGACTTAATTCAGACAGCTGTCTTTTGAAAATCCTTTTAGAAGGAAAGCCTCATAATGGTAAATCTTGAGTGGGAGAGGTTTTAGGAAAGCAGCTGGTGGTTCCAGAGCTTAAAGATCTGTTATAGTGTGAGTAAGAATAGTCTATTTGGAAACAAAGATAGATGGGATGTCATTCATTGAGGTTTGTAGCATTTTTGATGTTCTAGAGAATTTGCTCTAAAATCTGGTTAATGCTAATGTTTGTAACAGGATAACTTTTCTTCAGATAATCCTTCACATTCACACTATATTCTGGGGGTAACAGAAAATGAGGAAAGTGTGTGTCTTAAGTTACAGTGGTCGTAGCAAATCAAATGTATAGTAACCTTAAATTTGTTGTAATAGAGAAGAATATTAGCTCTATTTAAATAAAAAAAAGTTAGAAAGAAAAACTTTTAAAAATGGCAATTTGTAGTTGGCATGGGAATTGCTTAAAGTCTCTTAAAGCATGGACCTAGAACTACCTTCATCAGAATTACCTGGGTGCTTTAGAAATGTTGAGCCGTTTTCTGGACCCATCCAGTGAGAATCTGGTGGAGAGGCTCAGAAGTCATCTTTTTAATAAGCTCCAGGTTATTCTGAGGAGCACCGCTGTTTGAGAACCCTGCCTGCAGCTTATTTATAATGATGCTTTTTCCATTTAGGCAGTGGTGTCAGTGTATGAAATGAGTACCTATGAAATGAAAATTAAAAGTTATGTTTATTCTTTCATGTCAGCAAGCAGATCTGATATCATTAGGAAAAGTTGTGTTGGCTTTGGCTTGCAACTCTTTGGCAGGAATTCAGCGAGAGAATTTACAGAAAGCCATGGAACTGGTGACAATCAACTATTCCTCTGACCTGAAGAATCTGATTTTGTAAGTTTTAATATATGATAAATTGTATAGAATGATTATTTGCGATAAGACAGAGCTTTTTTTGTTTTAAGTGATTGTTTTGGTTCCCACTATTTAAAATCAAACAAAACAGAAACTTTATTTCTTTATTTTTATTGCAAAATAAATATTTCTTAGATAAATTGATAAACCAGTGTGTTTAAATTAGTTACTGATGTTTTAAACATTTGGTCAAAGGGTACCCAGTAGAAGTTTGTTGGTATCCACTAGCTGCATGTGACCTTTTATATTGATATTAATTGAAATTTAAAGTTTACTTCTTCAGTTACACTAGTCACATTTCAAGAGCTCAGCAGCCACATGTAATTACTGGCTAACATAATTGGACAGCACAGACATAGAATATTTCCCTCATCTTGGGAGTTCTATTGGATAGTGCTGCTCTAAAGAGTGTGAAAGCCATCATGAATAAGCCTCAGGTGCAATCCAGTCATGTACCCTGGCCAAAACACCCATTCCGGAAAGCATTTGTGTGGAGACCCCCCAGGCTTATGCTCCAGTGTCTTAAGATTCCAGAGAATCCTTGAGTATGGAGTTGAGATTAATTTGGCTTAAGAGAAACCTGTTGTGGACTACTGTCACCACAGAAGGACTTCTCCCTAAGATATAGCTACTACTGAGAGATCCCAGAGGGTGGGCAACCACAACCTTGATTACAGTTATGAGCTGTGCTAGAGAAGAGGTGCTAATCAACAGTCTCTTTTAGCTTACAGCTGCCCCTTCTGATCTTTCTGTGTAGCCCTGGATGATCCAGTTTCTTTTTGGACCAGCCCTGGGGTATGAATTGGGGGATGGAGGGTGGGATTGCCCACCTGTTGTTTGTTACACTGGCATAAACATCCTGCTTGTGACAGCACTAGAAGCCAGTGGTTGTCTGGATTGTATTCATAATCAAATTCAAATACGATGATTTATCTTTTCAATAAAAATACTTGTTTTATTTATGATCACAACAGTGATTCCTAGCCTTAGTTTGCAAATACCTAGGATGCCTCAAATAATTTCAGGTTATAATCTCTAAATTTTCCTTTTTAAAGAAGTGGGGATAGAGGACATAAAAATAATCAATTAGCCATATGTTAATAATTATTGAAACTGGGTGATGATACATGGAGATTCATTACATTACTCTTCTAGTATTATAAATGTTTGAAATTTTCTTTAATAAAAAAATGGATAAACAAAAAAGCCATAGTTTAATAATAACCACAAACTAAAATTGATGGAGTAATTAAACCATGTATCAGGCCCTTTCAAACTGCTTGATGGGAATTAATTTTTTTAATTCTCCCAATAACCCTATAAATTAGGTACCATTATTAGTCCCATTTTAGAGACACAAAACTGAGCCACAGAGATCAAATAACTTACCAAAGTCACATAGCCTGTAGTAACATTAAATATGATTAGCAGGGTACAAATAGGTCCATAATTACAGATGAATTGCTAAGATGTAGTTTATTCACATGGGTGTAACTATTCATTTATCCAAAAAAAGAATGACTAGTATATGCCGAATACAGGATACTTTGAATGAGGTGAACAAAATTCCCATCTCCTGGAGCTTACACCCTAATGGGAATAAAGAGTAAATAAACATAAAAACCAGTGAGATATTTTCAGGTAGTGATAAGACCTATGAAGAAAATAAGAGAATTATAAGCAGAAGAGTGAAGGAGTAGGAGGCTGCTTTCATGAGAAAGGGCAAGAATGGCTTACCTATAGAATAAGCGGCAATAGATGATTGAGAATCTTTGTGTTCTAACAGGTAGCCCTTGAAATATGTAGTATTTTCTGCCACTGTTCTAATGATAGAAGAAATTTAACTGGTTACTTCTGCTGTGTGTTACTGCATTTCTCAGAAATGAGTGTGTCATGATACCTTGTAAATTAAGTTTTAGAGCAGAGGACAGCTTCTTAAAAAGTTAGGCTCATTCAATTTAGCAAAATTGAAAACCCAGTTTTAGTTTTGAAAATTAATCTTTGAAGAGCAACAGGAAAAGCTCCACACCCCTCACCCACCCCCTTTTAGTCCTCTCAAAAAAGTTTCTAAAAATCTTTTCTTTTTTGGCTGGGTGCGGTGGCTCATGCCTGTAGTCCCAGTGCTTTGGGAGGCCAAGGCAGGCAGATCATGAGGTCAAGAGATCGAGACCATCCTGGCCAACATGGTGAAACCCCGTCTCCACCAAAAATACAAAATTAGCTGGGCTTGGTGGCGCATGCCTGTGGTCCCAGCTACTCGGGAGGCTGAGGCAGGAGAATCGCTTAAACTTGGGAGGCGGATGTAGCAGTGAGCCGAGATCACGCTGCTGCATTCCAGCCTAGCAATAGAACAAGACTCTGTCACACACACACTCTCTCTCACACACAAAACTTTTCTTTTTCTTAATTTATTTTTGTTTTCTGTTTGTTTCCCTTTTTTTTGAGATGGAGTTTCGCTTTGTTGCCCAGGCTGGAGTGCGTTGGTGCCATCTTGGCTCACTGCAACCTCTGCCTCCTGGGTTCAACTGATTCTCCTGCCTCAGCCTCCTGAGTAGCTGGGACTACAGGCGCCTGCCACTATGCCCAGCTAATTTTGTATTTTTAGTAGAGACAGGGTTTCGCTGTGTTGGCCAGGCTGGTCTTAAACTCCTGACCTCAAGTGATCTACCTGCCTTGGCCTCCCAAAGTGCTGGGATTACAAGTGTGAACCACTGCACCTGACCTGTAACACTCTTTTCATCTTGCACTTTTGTAAATAGTAATGGGTAAGTGAAACCCTACTTCACTTTTCTTTCTCATTTCCATAGTAGTGAAAATGTAGAGAAGAGACATGTTTACTGTTTCTCCATTGGCTCTTACAATTTTCCAGAGGAATGAAATGTAATATTTAAGCTTTAAGAATGAGCTTGACTTGCATGAATTAAAATGTTTTCAAAATTTTGTGTGCTAAGATGATGGCCGCTGAAACAGTTATGTGTTTGTGGGTTATCTTGTTTTTTAAACTGCGTGTTGGACATTCAAGTAATTCCTCTTTTATCTTGGGTAGGTATTTGTTGACTGACCAAAACAGGATGCGAAGTGTAAATGACATCATGCCCATGATTGGTGCTCGATTTTATACTCAATTGGATGCTGCTCAAATGAGAAATGATGTCATAGAGGAAGACCTTGCAAAGGTAAAGAGTGTAACTTTTTTTTTTTTTTTTTTTTGAGACAGAGTCTTGCTTTGTCACCCAGGCTGGAGTGCAGTGGTGCTATTTCGGCTCACTGCAACCTCACATCCCGGGTTCAAGTGATTCTCCTGCCTCAGCCTCCCAAGTAGCTGGGATTACAGGTGCACACCACCACACCCAGCTAATTTTTGTATTTTTTGTGGAGGCAGGGTTTCACCATGTTAACCAGGCTGGTCTCCAGCTCCTGAGCTCAAGTGATCCACCCGCCTCAGCCTCCCAAAGTGCTGGGATTACAGGTGTGAGCCACCGCGCCTGGCCAGTAAAGAGTGTAATTAAAAGAATGTACACACAACTTGCATCTGTGTATATAAATATACACAAAATAATCATTGTACTAAATATAATGCCTTATTTGCTAAGATTGCAGATATTTTTGTTGGCACTGAATGTGTAGTATTTTAATTTCTTATGTCCTCTGGACACTGTTCTTTTCATTCATGGCTTAGCTACAGTCATGTGACAAAAATCTTGGTTTTTCATGTAAGTTACTTTTCCAATTCCTATGGACAGTACCATAATCTTCTTGAGTACCATTATGAAATGCAATGGACATATTGTGTTTAAAAGTATAACCAAAAGGTGGGGGTGTTAGGATTTATCGTTTAAAGGTAATATTGGTACAGGTTACCAGTTTTTGTAAATTTTGGCTTTTATGTTCAGTTATCTGGAACATTAACATTTTTCTCTTTTTAAAATGTTTTATAGGAGGTTCAAAATGGAAGACTGTTTAGGCTCCTAGCAAAATTGGGAACAATCAATGAGAGGCCGGAGTAAGGATTTACAGTATTTTACAATATATTTTTAATCGAGAGCACTATTTTGCATAATAAGAATAAGTATGCCTGGTTTTATTTGGGAAGAGAGAAAAATTCTTACGTGAAGTGACCTTAAGATTGTGTTAGCTGTTAAGGTGCTATTTTTACAACAGCCTAGGTGTGGCTGTCCTTATGAATTTTACACACATGTATACTTACAGAAAATATGCTGCGTTAGAAATCTCTTGTGGTTTGCACGTGAGGGCACATTTTATGACTAATAACTACCTCTACCCTATCTTCTTTTTGAGGAAGAAGTTTCATATCATTTTACCCTGGTCAGTTTAAATACTTGAGAAATCTCTAATTTTTGCATGCCTCTCACCTTCTATTAAAGTACACCGTTTTTTTTTTTTTGTTTTTTTTGTTTTTTTTGAGACAGAATCTCCCTCTGTCGCCAGGCTGGAGTGCAATGGCACAATCTCGGCTGACTGCAACCTCCACCTCCCGGGTTCAAGCGATTCTACTGCCTCAGCCTCCTGAGTAGCTGGGACTACAGGTGCACACCACCATACCCAGCTAAGTTTTGTATTTTTAGTAGAGGTGGGGTTTCACCATGTTGGCCAGGATGGTCTCGAACTCCTGACCTCGGGTGATCCACCCACCTTGGCCTCCCAAAGTGCTGGGATTACAGGCGTGAGTCCCACGCTTGGCCTAAAGTACACTTTTTTTAGCCATCATATCAGTGGCATTGGAAAGGCATTACCTTTTACACTATTTGTCACTTAGTTCCACCTCATTTGTAAGTTAATGTTAACCATATATACACAAGCAGAGCTGATGTTTGTACTACATAACTGTCAAAGACAGGTAGAATAGAATTTGCAATTATGACTGTAGTGTAAGTTACATTTCAGGAATGTTTGATTTGTTAATAGAGATAGGTGAGAGATAAATACTACTACTTGAGGGATTTTTTTTTAAACCATGAAATTGAAGTCCACTTGCTTTTCTTCAAAGTCAAAAGACTCATTTAATGTTTTCCCTAGTAATTTTTCTAAATGAAGAGAACATAATATATGTTAAACCATTTTTAATAAACTCTTTTGGCTGTTTCTTCTAGCATTTATCTCTTTACTTTAAAGTGTATGTTTATAGTTCTATTCTTGATTTTCCCCCCATCTATAATTCAGGTAATGACTCATCCTCTTCCCTACACACGTGCACATGTGTGCACACACACACACACATGCACACATGAGTTGAATTCTGTATTTAGTGTTACAAAACACCTTTCCATATGGTCAAAAATAGGTAATGTATCAGTTCCTTTTTTTCCCTCCCACCTAGAGAATTGGCTCTAGATCCTCCACCTTTCCTGTTCCTAAATGGGCTGGTTACACTTTAAGCCTGCACATGCTTACACTTTAGAACTGGAACTTCCCTTCACTATTATCTGGGAATTCTCATTATCTCTCTGTGTTGGATACCCTGGTTTCTTGCTTTTTTTCTTTGTTTATTTATTTATTTTTTTTGGACTTAGTGGAGCATGTCCTTGTAGCTTCCTGAAAAAGGTGAGTTTAGTCTTGCAAATTTGAAAATGGCATTATTCTGCTTTCACACATTATTGATACTGTGAATGTATATAAAATTCTAGATTGTCCTCAGGAAATGTTACCCTTTTTTTTTGGAGAGGGAATCTCTCTGTATACCCCAGGCTGGAGTGCAATGGGGCGATCTCGGCTCTCTGCAACCTCCGCCTCCCTGCAACTTCCGCCTCCCAGGTTCAAGTGATTCTCCTGCCTCAGCTTCCTGTGTAGCTGGGATTACAGGCACACACCACCATGCCCAGCTAATTTTTGTATTTTTGGTAGAGATGGGGTTTCACCGTGTTGTCCAGGCTGGTCTCGAACTTCTGACCTCAGGTGATCCACCTGCCTCTGCCTCCCAAAGTGCTAGGATTACAGGCATGAGCCACCGCGCCCAGCCAGGAAATTATTTTTATTAATTAAATTTTTAAAATAGATTGTCTATGAATAAAGTAAAAAGTAGGAAAAGTTTGCAGTGAAAACTGTAGAAGTCTCTCTTTCATTCCTGACATCCCCAATATCTATTCCCAGTTGCCCCCATCCGTCTGTATTTTTAGTTTCTTCTGTATTATTCCAGAGTTACAAATACAACTATATATTCTTATCCCCTCCCTCTTTAAATATATAAAAATTATAAACCATATACGGTATATTTTGTCATAACTGTGTATTTTAGAAATCTTTATATATGTTTAGTATATGCCAAGCACTATTCAAAATAGTTTACAAATATGCCCTAACTTATTCCTCATAACAACCCTGTGATGGAGTTACCATTGCTATTCCTATTTAACAGAGTAACTGCAGCATAGAGAGGTTAAATAGCTTGAACAAAGGTTGCATAATTAATAAGTATATGATCCAGGACTCTAGTCTAGACAGTATGGTTCCAGAGTGTGTGCTCCTATCCACTGTGCTGTGTGTCTCCTCACACTTTATGGCCTGGTAGTAGTATATCCTGTGGATATATTATAGTATATTTCCCCAGTTCCTTATGGATGAGCATTTGGGCTGTTTTCAGCCCTTTGCTAGGGTGGGCGATACTGTAGGGACTAACTTGTGCATACTTAATCTTATATATATGTAAATATAGGCCAATTGTGATTGCTAGGTCAGTCGGTACATCACAATAATTTCATAGCTATTGGAGAATAGTTTACCTGTGTGTAATTCATGAGACTGCCTCACCAAAATACTTTTTTCAAACTCTTAGATTGTAGTCAACCTTGTAGGTGAGAAATTGAATTTAAATGCAGTTTTATGTTCTATTTACTCTTAACGAGCGTGTTTGAGTATCTCTTTTGTGCTATTGATCCATTCTTATGTCCTGTTCAATTCGTATCCTTTGCCCATCTTTATTTTCAGTTGGATTGCTTGTCTTTCTTATTGATATATAAGAGCTAAAGAGATTCACTCTTTTTGTGATTTTTTTTTTTTTGACTGCTCATTTCCCACCCTTGGAGACATCTGTGTATGTACTGTAATTGACCAAATTAATTAATTAATTAATTTATTTATTTATTGAGACGGAGTCTCGCTCTGTCGCCCAGGCTGGAGTGCAGTGGCCCAGTCTCAGCTCACTGCAAGCTCCGCCTCCTGGGTTCACGCCATTCTCCTGCCTCAGCCTCCGAGTAGCTGGGACTACAGATGCCGCCACTACGCCTGGCTAATTTTTTGTATTTTTAGTAGAGACGGGGTTTCACTGCGTTAGCCAGGATGGTCTTGATCTCCTGACCTGGTGATCCACCCGCCTCGGACTCTGAAAGTGCTGGGATTACAGGCGTGAGCCACCGCGCCCGGCCTCCAAATTTATTTTATGCTTCTGGATTTTGAATCATAGTTAGAAAGCTTCTTTCTACTCGAAGATTACAAGGGAACTATTTCATGGTTTTTTCCAGAACATTTGTGGTTTCATTTCTTCATATTAAAAATGTTTTACGTAGTTAGAAATTGTATCGGGCGTAAGGTGTAAGTCCATCTCCCCTTGTCCCCAAGACTACATAGTAGTCCAAAAGCTATTTATTGAATAGTTGAACGATCTAGCTTTTCCCCACTGGTTTGAAGCCACACCTCTTCCATACTATTTTAATTCAGTCATGAAATTGAATTTTGAAATCTAGCAGTATTGTTTCCCATTTCCATTTATTGGGCACCACTTTGTTATTTTCCTAATACTATTTAATTTTCTGTACAAATTCTAGAATCAACTGCTTTAGTTAAAAAATAAAAAAACCAATAAACCTGATGGTTTCTTAATAGGGAAGATAGCCTGTTTATCATGTTTAAACTCTGGGAGCATTTGTGGTTTTAGATGTTGAGTCATCTTATCCAAGATCATGGTATGTCATTCTATTTGTTGATGTCTACTTTTGTATTCTTCAGTAGTATTTAAGTTGTTTTTTATATAGTTATAGCATACTGAGTGTGTTTTCTTAGGTATTTCATCTTGTTGCTATTATAAACGGGAAAATTTCCCCCATTGTGTCTTCTTGTTATTTGTGTATATGAGAATTCTTGATTTCTTTAAATTTTATGCTCTGGTACCTTCTGTTTGGGTCGTTTTCAGTAAATTCTCTTCGAGTTTCCCAGGTGTTTAATTACATCATCTGCAAATAATGATAGCTTCCTTCCCAGTTTCTATACTTCTAATTTCTCTTGAGTGATTGTGTTAGTGGGTACTTTCAGTACATAGGTAAATAATAGTGATGATAGTTCAGAATTTGAAGCATTGTCCCTTTTAACTTCCAGGCAGATTCAAAGCCATTTTCTTTATAAATCTTTTCTTTCCTCCAAGCTTTTGGTGTGGTGGTTTTTTGTTTTTGTTTTTTTTTGTGACTGATGTTCAGAAATTCACAGTGATGTTCCTTGGTGTGGGTTTTGAGTCATAATGATGGATTAACAGGTGTGAACCCATTTAATCTTGGAAACTTAACGTCCTTCAGTCCTGGGACATGGTCTTCATTGTTTCTTTAATAACTTCTTTTCCTGAAATTCTCATCACTCAGATGTTAGACCTTTGCAATTGCTTTTCAAATATTCTCTTCTATTTTATATCTCTAATTTTTTTTGTCCTACTTTCTAGGCAGTTATCTCAATTATATTAAAGGGTTTTTTTCTAATTCTTTGAATTTTTAAATTTCTGCTATCATATTTTTATTTTCCAAGAACAATTCTGTTTTCTGAATATTTGTCTTGTACCATCTAATTCTTACTTCTCTGAGGCCGTCAATTAATAGATTTTTACTGGTGGTTGGTGTTTGTCTTAGTTTTAAGTTTTGTTCCGTTTTCCCTGCAGTATCTCATAGGAATCAAGAGTTTGCTTTATTTTGTTTTGTTTTGTTTCCTCCTCAAAAGATTTCTGATAATTAGCTGCCCATTCGTATTAAAAATAAGGTCCTAAAAAGCCAATGGGAAGCCTGTGAGAGGGCAGGGATTATAGAATGTTGAACCTTTCTGTATGATAAAGCAGTGTGATGTTGTTATACATGATTTTTGTTTGTGTTTGGTAGACTCTCAAGTATTGTCATTTGTCTTGGACGGGTCAGCATCCACTGAAAAGAATCTTCCAACCTCTACTGTCTGTGGTATAAGCCTGACAAGCCAGGTTTGGGAACCACACAGAGGGAAAGCATTTGTTCAATAGGGTGCCATCCAGCACTCCTCAGCTCTTCACCTTCTGGTTTGCTTGGCATCCCTGAGGCTCGAGCTTCTCTCATTCACCCTTTTTAGAAAGTAAAACCTCCAGATTTTTGCCAGACAGAGGTGGGGGTGGGGTTAAGAGATGGGTTATCTGTTTGCTGTTTATAGAACCTTCTCTCAATCCTCCTATTTTCATCCTCAGTCCAAACTTTCACTTTTAGTAGTCCTTTGTGGCTTCAGTTTCTGAGCCATGCCAGTGTGGGTGGCTTGCTTCCTGTGGGCACCCTCTTCCCACATCCCCTGTAGAATTAGGGTTCAGTTTTGTCAGGTCTACTAAGTCATCCCACTTACCTATCTGCCTCTGCCTTCCAGATGTTCATGATTATCTCTTCTTCACTGTTGTTGCTTTTTCTGATCCCTTTGTCCTTGTGTTTATTCCCTTTTTTTAGACATTTACTGTCAATTTGATGGGCTGTTGAAAGGGAGCAGAGATAAATGGGTATTTAATCTTATTTTAATTGGAAGTCCTTGGAGTGACCTTTGCAAAACATATATATATGATTGTGCTAAAACCGTATGGTGAGCTTCTCCTCTGGTTCTTAGAATAAAGACCCAGTTTTAAAACATGACCTAAGCTGTGTAGTCTGATCCCTACCTACTTCTCATCCTGGTCTCGAATCTGCCTTTTACTTAATTTTCTGTCCTCATCCCCCATTCTTTGTTCTTGTCTTCACTCTGTCGCTTTCCTTGCCCTCACTCTGTCTTCTTCTTTTCGTCTCTTTTCTCCCCCAACCCATTCAGACACATGACCTTCGTTAAGTTTCTTCAGTACTCCATGCAAATACCGATCTCTGACGAAGGAGCATCCCTCTTCTGGGAAGGGCAGCCACTACTTCCTCTGGAAAACCTTCCTTGCCCTGCTAGAAGAACTCATGTTTCTGTTTTTATGTCATACCCCTTTTAGGAGCATTATGTAAATACGCAGTTACAGCTTTCTTTGATTATTTGAGTAACGTCTGTTTCCTACTAGACTGTAAATTCCTAAGGTCACTGAAAACTCACAGTGGTCATCTGCTTCTTTACAGCTTGCTTTCACGTGGAATGGTAGGAAACTGATATTTACTTCCTTTTTGTTTGCTAAACATTTTTCTGTTTTATACATATTGGTGAAGTAGGTGTATCTGACCTCTCTCTATTTTGTAACCTACAGAGTGGGAGGAAGAAAAGAAGATTTAAGACATTTTTATCTTTTCCATTTTATCTAATAGTGGGGGCTGAAATAAAGAGGTCATATAAAATAGGAATGCGTAAGGGATCATTTCCCCCTGACAGTTGCTGACTGAAAACTGGAATTCATATACTTACTAGTTCAGTCAAACTGTTTTTTAAAAACACTGTACCAGACTCCCTCCCAATTTTTTACTTATTGGGAAAAAAATAAAATTAAACTAGTTTTGAGTCTAAAAAACAGACATAGGGCCACAGAGCATACAGCATGAGTTACTGAGGTAAAATGTTAATTTCCCCCAGGTTTCAGAAGGATCCAACTTGGTCAGAGACTGGAGACCGTTATCTGTTGAAACTCTTTAGGGATCATCTTTTTCATCAGGTGACAGAAGCAGGTGCTCCCTGGATTGACCTCAGTCATATCATTTCTTGTCTTAACAAGGTAATTTGTATTTAGATTTTTAAGATCATAATTCTGCCTATAATGTGTATAGAGTTGTATCTTCTACAAATACTAGGGGACATAAGAAATTAGGATGTACTCTTACAGTAGCTTGTAAGACATTTTATTAATAACACTTTTTACAATGGGAGGATTTTTAAAATATTGCATGAATAATTCTTTTGGGCGATGGAAGACAGAGTCTTGCTCTGTTGCTCAGGCTGGAGTGCAGTGGCATGATCTTAGCTCACTGCAACCTCTGCCTCCTGGGTTCAAGCGATTCTCCTGCCTGAGCCTCTCAAGTAGCTGGAATTACAGGCACCCATCACCACGCGCAGCTAATCTTTGTATTTTTAGTAGAGACAAGGTTTCACTATGTTGGCTACGCTGGTCACGAACTCCTGACTTCGAGTGATCTGCCTGCCTCAGCCTCCCAAAGTGGTAGGATTACAGGTGTGAGCCACTGCGCCTGGCCTTCATGAATCATTTTAGAATGTTTTATTGTGGATCTTTTTATTATGATAAAGTATTATAAAATGACTGCTTCCCTCCTTTATGCATTTGTTTACATGTGGTTTTGTTATGCCACATAAAACAATGAGTGGTAAAAACCAAAAAAATAAATTTATGTTTATTTTTTAAAAATTGAACCCCTTCTGAATCATTGTGAGTTACGTTGGGTGTTATCAAATTATTTATTATTAACTATGGGTATTATAATCAAGTAGTAAATAATAAAAGCACAATACTAGTGACATTAGTTACTAGCAGGTTCAGCTGTTATAAATGGTGAATTTGATGATTAGATGAATTAAGTAGATTAAAAAAATAGATCATAAATTTATTTGAGAGGTGAGGTGAGCTTTTTTTTTTTTTTTTTTGAGATAGGGTTTTGCTCTGTCACCCAGACTATAGTGCAGTGGCACTTATGGCTTACTGCACCCTTGACTCCCCAGGGCTGCAGTGATCCTCCCTCCTGCCTCAGTCTCCTGAAGAGCTGGGACCACAGGCACATGCCACCACACCCAGCTAATTTTTGTCCTTTTAGTAGATACGGATTTCACCATGTAGACTGGTCCCAAACTCCTGAGATAAGCAATCCACCCACCCCCAAAATGCTGGGATAATAGCCATGAGCCACCATGCCCAGCAGCATTATGTTTTAGAAAAGGTTGGGAAAGACAAAAATTACAGAGAAAAGAAAGAAGACATTTTCCTTATGAATTACTTGGCATTATGAAGTTTAGAACTGGTCTCCAAGAGTAAATGTTGTCTCTGTATAGATTTATGTATAAACCAGGAGCTGGCAAGCCGTGGCCTGCAGGCCAAATCCATTCTATGGGCCTACTTTTTTATAGCCTGAGAGCCTCGAATAGTTTTACATTTTTAAAGAGTTGTAAAATAAACAATAAGCCAAACCTAAAACATTTACTGTCTGACCCTTCATAAAAACATTTACTCACTCTTGTCTAAACTTTCCTAAATTATAAGTACTAGAGGAAAAAACATCTACTGTAGCACATGATTTAGAACTATTAATGTACAGTGTGGTAACCCTTCAGGGAAAATGTTATGGTTTGTTTTTAAGCACTACTTTGCCTTCTTTTAACTTCCTTAAAACTCTATAGGGAGTATTGTCAATAACCTACATTAAGACTGCACAAAACTGGCCAGGCGCGGTGGCCCATGCCTGTAATCCCAGCACTTTGGGAGGCTGAGGCACACGGATTGCCTGAGGTCGGGAATTGGAGACCAGCCTGGCCAACGTGAAGAAACCCCATGTCTACTAAAAATACAAAATTAGCTGGGCATTGGTGGTGCACGCCTGTAATCCCAGCTACTTGGGAGGCTGAGGCAGGAGAATCGCTTGAACCCAGGAGGCAGAGGTTGCAGTGAGCCAAGATTGCACCATTGCACTCCAGCCTGGGCAATAAGACTGCACAAAACTATATGTATCATTGAACTAATTCAGTATGAGTTATATATTTATTTTCCCTTTATTTCTCTTAGGGGAAAAACCTTTTCTTGAGAGCAGTATGTAGAAAATAATTCTGTCAGATTTTAGAACATAGTATCAGAGCACCGGTAATTAAAAATACATAGAACCAGAACAAACACTGACAAGTAGATAATATGGAATAAGCCATGGACAGTTGCCTTAAGCAAAGATCATATAATGAAGGATAATATTCATTAAATTCATCAAAGACCATTCAATAATGAAATTATCAATAATGAAATTAGGATAATTGAAAATTTGAAGAAAATTATATTTCACATCATGAACTAGCTAGTAGTAAATAATACCCCAAATCTGAAGTCTGACAATATTCTAAGTTTGAAAAGAGTGTGATAAATTGGAAGGATGGCCAGATTGATTATACAAAATTAAGATTTTATATAAGCTTATTTTGGTAGAAGTAATGACAGAAATTATCTGGTAAATGATTTGGATGTTTGAGCCTTCAGTGAGTTGTAAACATATTTTAATTTTGTATCAATTAATGAAATAAAAAAGTACATTGAAAATAACAAAGTGAAAACCATAACAAGACCAGTGGACAGACAAAGGGTCAGTATTTATGCTTTATAAAGACCTCACTGGAATATTACTGTCAAATTCCATTAGGGTCGTGGGTAAAGATCATGTACTAGCATTTACACACAAGCAGAAATACCAAAGTAAATGTATGAAAAAAACTTTGATAATAGTAGTTAAAATCTAAATTTAAATAGCAAGGTGCTCATTTGCTGTGGGGTTGCTGGAAAAGTATTAAAAACTTACAAATTCATGGTGTCTGATATGCTTTGGAAAACAATTTGGTTCTATGTACTAAGCTATAAACCACTTCTACTTTATTTTTTTGTGTTTTTAAAAAAATTTTTAAAGACCAATTTCTTAATACTTTACATTTTTTTATTAATATTTATACTTCTAAGTATTTTTCCTAAGGAAAAAAATACTACAGAAGAAAAAAATTAAGTAGATGAGTATGTTCTTTGCATTGTAATTCATGATGCCAAAAATGGAAGATACTGGGAGAAAAATTATTGAGCATCAACTGGGTAGACTAGAATGCAAGCGAACATTAAGCTCCGCGAAGGGATAGTTAGAAACATAGGGCAGTGTTTGTGTGAACATGTCTGAGTCGAAAATTATGCGCATACTAGTGAATGATGTAAAGTACTTACGAATATCTGAAAGGGAATGTGACCAAAAAATTTAGCTATTTTACTTATGTTTGCTGCAAATGTAGATAAATTCTTTTCTGCATGTTATGAATTCATATCTTGTGTATATATTGTTTCAGCTAGATGCTGGTGTGCCAGAAAAAATAAGCCTGATTTCCAGAGATGAGAAGAGTGTACTCGTGGTGACCTACAGTGACTTAAAGCGCTGCTTTGAAAATACTTTTCAAGAACTGATTGCAGCTGCGAATGGTCAGTTGTAGTATTTGCTAAAAAAGCACGCAGGACATGGCTAAGGAACTTAACCAATAGCAAATTGCACTACAGCTGAACTTTTCATCATCTCATTCACATTTGGGAAACGAACAGGAGATGAGCGAAGCTGCTTGCACTTCAGTCAGGTACACTGTTACTTGAAAGGAAGAATGTTTCACTTACCCAAGAGCTATGGCTGCCATTGGAGGCTATATCTGTGAAGAATTTATTTTAGATTTAGGAGCACCATCAGGTGAATGATGTTCCTGCTTTTGTTTTTTCCACTTGTATATGCACTAATTTTAATTTTTTAAAGACTTTTTCTGATCTTTGAAATTTTGCCACATTGTATACTTATTAAGGGAAACTGTTTGCAAGGACATTTTTGGGAAGCAATGCTGGGCAGCGTTTTTGCCATTGAGGGTTGCAGAATTTGCTCTTTTTGGGACGGGTTGCCCTGAATAACGTTATGGACCAGGTAAATAATTTCATAGAAGTTCAGTATAGTACGTAATTCTCGTAAGAGTGTTGTATGCAAGCTCTCTGTATGCCACCCACTGTTAGTTCAAATTGAGATTTTTGTTTTGTTTTGTTCGTTAAGAACAAACCAAGAAAATACCAGTGAATTGTTGGATATGAATTCCCCTGTTAGTTGATTTAAATCCTTTCTGAATAAAGATCAGATAAACAGTAACTGAAGGAGCATGTATAGCTCTTTCCTTCAAATTCAACTAGAGCCTTTTTAAAAAGACATTTGCCTGCTAGTCAGATACATTTACATTTATGCAAATTTTTTAAATAGGAGAAAATTAAGAAAAATGTTAAAGGCCTAAAGTTCAGGAGTATATTACTTTAGGTTCTTTCCGGTTTGCTTTTTTTTTTTTTTCTTTTGTATGAAGTTCTGCTCTTTGAACCACAGCTTTATTATGGTCCTTTACACTGGAGACAGACACAGAGACACTGTTCAGAAGATGAACTAAACTCAGCAGTGGTCTGGTATCAAGAGCTTTCTGATGTTTTACAGCCTGAATTTGGAGGGATAACGATCTGCTGTGCCTTTGCAGTCACTGCTTAGCCCAAAGTAATAGTACTTTTGATAATAACTCACTCTGTGCGATATTCCTGAATAAGTCCATCTCAAAAGTTTGGAATTTTCCTCCTCTTAACTTTCTTAATATTTGGACATGCAGTTGTCGCCAAACTTGGGTATTCATGGAATTTCTAGTAAATGAAATACCTATACTTTGATACTGAAGACTGCCAAATACATAGGAATTTTCTTTCTTAAAATCAGTAATGAAGACTCTATCTCCTTTCCCAGCACTGAATGTTTTACTAGCACTGGGTGCTCACCATGCAACGATGAAGAAAATGTGGAAACTCAAAAGGTCAGGACAGACTCACAAGCACTTGCAACTGATGTTACTGTCTTCAATTTTAATAATTACACATATTTGTATATTTCAGAGAAGTTTTTAGTATTTCTCTGTCCACTTTTTATAAGCTTTAAAATGATTTTCTCTGCCTTGAGATTTGCATCAAGAAAAAGCACCTCTCTTCATCTGAAAGCTTTGAAGACTAGAGACACGCTTTACACGTTTTAACAAGTATATTGAGTCCACGTTTGGTAGCATCAGTTGTTGAGTTAAAAAGAAAATTACTGCATTTGATCTGGATGGATTTTAAAAGAACATAATGTTCAATATTAAAAGGATAATTAACATTTGCCACCGTAATGTTCTTTTTTATGTAAAAAGAACAAGAACTTGGAGACATTAACATGCAAAAGTCTTTTATCATTAGCTCATGTATTTGAGGAAGAGCAGCTGTCTTTTTATATGTTTTTTGACAAATCATATTGTAATTCTTTTGTACAAAAAAGAACTACTTGTATTCTAGAAGAAATATGAAATGCTTAATTTATAAGCGGGCTGGAGATTTTTTCCAATATTGTTTTCTTTGAAAATGAAAGGGGATCATCTATTTAGTTTTGGGGTCTGGGAACTTTTTGAAAATTTAATTTGTGGACCAATGTTTTGTGAAAGCTGAAGAGGGCAGGGGTTAAAATAGGGCTTGAATTTCTCATTCTGTATAGACCAGCAAACTTCCCTCTGCAAGGCAAGTTTACATCACAAATCCAAGAATGTTTGCATCCTAAACGCTAGTTTGCTTCAGCCCCTAGTTAACCTCAGGACTTGGTTTGCATATAAAAGGTAGACAGCTGATATGTTTTCATGAATAAATATTGTCAGCCAGAAAAGGTTGGTGTCAGGTAATGCATATTTTTTTAAGCTTTGTTTTATATTTATTTTTCATTTAGTTTTTATTGGGAATGGTTTTCAAAGAACTCTCAGTTCTGCCTAGGTGTTTTTGGGGGAGCCCTGTTTTCCATAGTGTAATTCCATTTAAGAGGTTGTCTAAAAGTCTTTTTAATACATAGAAAGATTTTAATATCCGAGAGTAGTCAAATTAAGGATATAAACTTTCCACACCTTCCTGTCGTGACAGATAAAAGCACAGAAAGGACAACCCTTGAAATCATGTAACATTGGTCATTTCCAGTTTTTGTACCTGTTTTAAATTCTGTTAGTGTATTTACTTCATTGTAAATATTTTTGAGGGTACCTTTGTATTTTGCTTTTGACCTTGGTTCTGTGATTTGGATGTCAGCAACTTCCCTAAAAAGCACCAATATGTTAAGTTCTAATGTCATGACCCAATTTGTGTTATTCATCTTTAATCCTGTTTTCAGTCTCTATGTGTACAGCAGTATTTTTAATAAAGAATTACAGAGATAACTTTGTCCTTTTCTTGCACTGTTCATATAACAAGATGATGTTTATCTTATGATTCGGTTTTAAAAGGTTGGTTATTTCCTCTGCATTTTGGAGGAATTTTTGTATTTGGATGAATTGGCAGCAAATTTATTCATTAATTTATCAAATAGTCCTTAAGTCTTACTTCCTGTGTCCTTGGATCTGTTCTAGGTACTAAGACAGATATGGGGACTTGGTGTTTACAGAATATATAGTTATACCCAGACATCTTAATATAATACATGACTAACAGTATAGTTTAGGAGAGCAGACTACTCATGAGAAAGCATAGGGAATGATACATAGCCAGTCTTTGATTTAATACTTAATGTATCATATAGGTGAGAGGCATCCCTTCCCCCAGATTCTCCAGAATCATTATTTAAACTATAAGGACAGATAAAATATGGCAAAATGTTAACATTTGTTGAACCTAGGTAGTTAGTATTTAGTGTTGAGTTTTTTTTCTGTGCATTGAAATGAAAAGTTGAAAACAAAAAACAATATGGTAAGCACCCCCACCGCCACCCCCCAACTGCTGTTTCACTTCCGGAGGTTTCAGTTACCTGAAGTACAGTTAAGATATTTTGAGGCAGGGAGACCATATTCACTCAACTTCTATTTTAGCATATTGTTATAATTTTTCTCGTTATTTTTATTAATCTCTTACTATGCCTAACTTATAAATTAAACTCCATCATAAGTGTGTATGTACAGGAAAAAACATAGTGTATACATAGGGTTTGTACTACCCACTGTTTCAGGCATTCACGTGGGGTCTTGGACCATATCCTTCATGGATAAGGGGGAACTACTAGACAGATATGGTAAGGTGCTTGAGGCATAGGTGAAGGGTAATTAGAATAAAAAGGAGAGATTATTTCCAGCAGCATGACTTGGTTTTAGGAATTCAGAGGAGAGAAGAAGTGCAAGGAGGGCTTTTGTGTAGAGGATATTGAAAGAAATTGTGGATTCAGATGGAAATCAAATGACCATTGTAGGTCATGGGATAAAAGGTGGACTAGTCTCCTAGAATGGAGTGTTTGGAGGATCTTTTAGCTTTAAATTTCTTAGAAGGAAACATTAGGAATATTGTTTTGTTTTTTGAGACAAAGTCTAGCTTTGTAACCCAGGCTGGTATGATCTGGGCTCGGTGCAACCTCTGCCTTTTAGGCTCAAGCGATTCTCCTGCCTCAGTCTCCCGAGTAGCTGGGATTACAGGTGCCCACCACCATGCCTGGCTAATTTTTGTATTTTTAGTAGAGACAGGGTTTTACCATGTTGATGAGGCTGGTCTTGAACTCCTAACCTCAAGTGATCCACCCGACTCGGCCTCCCAAAGTGCTGGGATTACAGGTGTGAGTCACCACATCTAGCTTGCTCATTCATTAGTTTATTGAATGCCTGTTATATGCCAGGCATTGTTCTAGGAACCAAGAGAAAAGCTGTGACCGCAATAGACAACAATTTTCTGCTGCTTAAGAGCTCCCATTCTAGCAGGGAGAAGACAGATACATGGTACATTAGCAGGTAGTAATGGTTTTGAGAGGAAAGCAGAGTAAATGGTGTGAGTTGACAGATTTGGCAAATAAAAATACAGAACACCCAGATGAATCTGAATTTTGGATAAATGGATAACTTGTTTTAGCATGAGTATATATATCTCAAGTATTACATGAGACATACACTAAAAAATGGTATGTCCCAGTGTTGCATGGGACATATATATATACTAAAACATTCTCTGTTGTCTGTCTGCGATTCACATTTCCTTTGGCCATCCTGTGTTTCATCTTGCAACTCTAGATATGAGGAGTGTGGTTGGTGGGGGTACAGTTTCACGTGGGGTGGTGATCTGGAAAGGAGGCCTCACAGTATGTGAGCAAGGACTTGAAGGAAATGGAGGAGTCTGCCATGTGTATATCTGGGGGTAAAATATTCAGGTGAGGGAATGTGTCAGAGCCTTTGCAGAACAGCAAGGGAGCGACTGAGGTGAAGCGAATGTGGTAGAGCCAAGTTAAGTAGGAATGACGTCATAAAGGTCTGTAGGGAAGGGGTGTGTCCTGTGGACCATTTTAAGTTATTTTGGCTTTTACCCTCAGTAGAAGAGGAAGCTGCACCGGACAAGGTGGCTCACGCCTGTAACCCCAGCACTTTGGGAGGCCGAGGGAGGCAGATCACGAGGCCAGGAGATGGAGACCATCCTGGATAACACGGTGAAACCCCGTCTCTATCAAAAATGCAAAAAAATTAGCCGGGCGCGGGGGTGGGCGCCTGTGGGCCCAGCTACTCGGGAAGCTGAGGCAGGAGAATGGCGGGAACCCGGGAGGCGGAGCTTGCAGTGAGCCGAGACCGCGCCACCGCACTCCAGCCTGGGGGAGAGAGCGAGACTGTCTAAACAATAAAAAATAAAAGGGGAAGCTGCAGGAGGATTTTCAGCAGAAGAGTAACATGATAGGACTTTTTTTTTTTTTTTTTTTTTTTTTTGAGACAGAGTCTTCCTCTGACCCCCGGGCTCAGTTCACTGCAAGCTCCACCTCACAGGTTTACGCCATTCTCCTGCCTGATAGGACATTTTAAAAGGATCACTCTGGCTACGACGTTGTGAACAGACTAAGGGAGGAAGTGAGGTCCTGGCGTGGTGGGAAACTCACAGCATTCCAAGTGAAGGATGTTGGATTTCAAAACCCATGTCTTTTGAGTTTTGGTGGTTTGTTTTTTTTGTTTTGTTTGAGACGGATTCTCACTCCATCGCCCAGGCTGGAGTGCAGTGGCGCCATCTTGGCTCACTGTAACCTCTGCCTCCTGGGTTCAAGAGATTCTTCTGCCTCAGCCTCCCGAGTAGCTGGCACCCGCCACTATGCCTGGCTAATTTTTATATTTTTAGTAGAGATGGAATTTCACCATGTTGGCCAGGCTGGTCTCGAACTCCTGACCTCAGGTGATCCGCCTGCCTCAGCCTCCCAAAGTGCTGGGATTACAGGCGTGAGCCACCGCGCCCGGCCATCTTTGGGTTTTAAAACCCACCTGTGGCTGAGCGCAGTGGCTCACACCTGTAACCCCAGCACTTTGGGAGGCCGAGGCAAGTGAATCACCTGAGGTCAGGAGTTCCAAGACCAGCCTGGCCAACATGGTGAGAGAGCGAGACTGTCTCAAAAAAAAAACAAAAAACAAAAAACCCAGATGGAGTAGGGTGGTAGCAGTAGAGGTGGTGCAGAGTGACTGGACTCCAAATATGTTTTAAATGTAGAGCCAACAGGGATGTCCTGATTCACTGGATATGGACAAAGAAGAGAGAAGTCAGGAATGACTTTAAGATTTTGGCTTGCTGGCCAGGCGCAGTGGCTCACACCTGTTAATCCCAGCATTTGGGAGGTCAAGGTGCACAGACCACCTGAGCCCAAAGTTTGAGACAGGCCTGGGCAACATAGTGAGACCTCATCTCCACAAAAAGTAAAATTGACCAGGCGTGGTGTCATGCACCTGTAGTCCCAGGTACTCCCAGCTACTCAGGAGGCTGAGGTGGGAGGATTGGTTGAGCCAAGGAGGTCAAGGCTGCAGGGCACCAAGATCGTGCCACTGCACTCCGGCCTGAGTGACAAAGTAAGACCCTGTCTCAAAAAAAAAATTTTTTTTTTTTGGCTTGATGCTGACAGGATAGAGGATTCTACTGAATTGGAAGAGACTGTTGTAACAAAGAGTCTACGGGACGGGAGGATGGAGAAACAGGAGAAGACAATTTGGGAGTTTGGTCTGAGGCCCATTAAGTTTGAGATGTTTAGTACACATTTGTTCTGGTTATTTGTTTTGTAACAACTCCACCCTTAATGGCATAAAACAAGCATTTTATTCCGTTCTGGGATTCTGTGCGTCAGGAATCTGGGCAAGACACAGCAGGGAGGCTTGTCTCTGGGCCATTGTGATTGGGCCTCGGCTGGGAAATTCCAATGGCTGGGGGCTGGAATGACTTGAAGGCTGGGCTCAGCTGGCTGCTGTCTATGGGAGCACCTTCAGTTGGCCTCCATGTGGCTTAGGTTTCTCCAAGTATGGCCGCTGGGTCCCTCGCGGGAACTGTTGAAGAGTGAGCATATCAAGACTCAGGAAATGCATGATCTTTTCTGACCTGGCCTCCAAGCCATGCAGTGTCCCTTCTTTCACATTCCGTTGATCACGAGTGAGTCCTAAAGCCAGCTCTGATTCTAGGCGAGGGGACATTGCCAAAGGTCGTGTGAGATGGGAGATATTCTTGCAGCTATGTTGAAAAATATAATAGAATATCTTTGAAAAATACAGTACAGTATTTTTGAAAAATACACCAGTATTTGAAAAAAATACAGTCTGCCAGAGCATCCAGGAGAGATGTCAGGTTAGCACTTGTGTATATATGAGTTTAGAGTGTTGCAGCGGGTAGGGAGAATCTGTTCTGTCAATGAAAGTCATCATATGGGTGTCACTGAAAGCCCTGAGATTGGTTGAGATCTGAAGGGAGTTTGTATAGACTGAGAAAAGAAAGCTTCAAGGGCGAGCCCTGGGGTAACTAGAGCAATGTTCAAAAGTCAGGGGAAAGAGGTAAAACCAGCAAAAGAGACAGAAGTAGCCAATGAGATGGAAAGAAGAAAGTATGTCCTGGAACCAAACTGAAGTTGTTTTTGTGAATGAGTGTCAAGCTGTTGAAGTGTCAAATAAGAATGGGACTGAGAGTTGGCCGTTGGATTTATCAATGCGGAGTCACTGGTGACCTTAGCAAAAGCAGTTTCGGTAAGTGAGCGTGAAAGCTAGGTTTGAGTGGGTTTAAGAGGGAGTGGAAGGAGGGGAGTTGGAAACAAGTAATAATAACTAATAACCAACTCACTCATGGGATTTTGCTGTAAAGGGAAATAGAGAAATTGGGTGGTCGCTAGAGGAGAAAGTACAGATGAAAATTTTGTGACATGGGAGAAATAACATGTATATTCCAGTGGAAGAGGGGAAAATTGATGGTGGGAGGGGGTGGAGAATTGCTAAAGCAATAGCTTCAAGTCTGAGAGGAAGGGACACCAGTGTGTTTTGGGTTGGCCATCTAGAAGGGCTGCACAGTATAAGGGGACATAAACTTGGAGGTGGGGAGACATGACAAGTGGGGTCTTGGGGTTCTTTAATCTTCCCATTGACGTAAAGGGTATACTAATAGTACCTATCATGTTAGATTGCCTTGAAAATAAGTGTATTCCTTTAAAGCACTCTAAATAGTTGCTGGCACATATTGGGCACTCAAATGATAGCAATGATAGCAATTACTAGCTATCACTGCTTCCCAAATACCAATCTGTGGAACAACATGTGTTCATTAGTTTATTCTAGTACAAATGAAAATGGGAAAAAGAAGGATAATAGAGGTATGTTTCAAATACAAATATATTTTGGTCTGAGATTAAGCCCTTCCACCTTTTCAAATGGGTTTTCTTCTATGAAAAGTTGTGGTACTAAATGGTAGGGGTTTTTTCTTCTTTTAGTAATATCGTATTGAATAATTGCACCCATACATTCATATATATACACACACATTCACAAGTAAGTGTGCAGCTCAGTGACTCATCATGAAGTGAGCATACCTGTGCACTGCCCCCCAGATCAGGAAATAGAACATTAGTAGCATCCGGTTGGATTTTGTTTTGTATTTTTTTCCCCCTCCCTTAAGTGTTCTTAGTTCGCAGAATAGAAGAATGGCCATCGCCGTGTTGGGATCAAGGATTTTTCTTTTATTTAATTTCCTGGCCTGTGAAACCCCAAAGTCTGGTAATATGTTTAACACTGAGGAGTCCAATGAACCTTACTAGGCCATACTTCTGCTGGAGGAAAAAATAAAAATAAATTCCCAAATGTACTATAAGTTTCCAGAGCCATGAGAACATTTCTAAACTGTGATGTGACATTGATTCCTCAAGCATTCTTCAAGTCATTTGCCTGAATGAGTGATTTTATTCTTATGTTATGAAACCCGTAATACTTTTTAAAGGTTTCAGATTCTTGAAGACAAAATGCCTCTTGCCCTCTTGAGTTAACTAAAAGTTTACTGAGATTCGTCATTTATCCATTTTTATTGTCTTTGTCCCAAATAAAGTAGGCCTATTTTTTCCCCTTAAAATATCTTATCTTATATCTAGTTTCCTTATGACGTTATTAGGCAGGTAATACTATGACCGCTTTCTAAGACAAAGTGTTGGTCACTTATTCAATTGCTAGTATTTAGGACCTGAGCTGTTTTCCTAGGATGTAATCCACAAAACAAGACTGGAGAACGCTGAGCTGGCATGTGTACTGACACATTCTTGTGTGTCAAGCTTTTGCCTGTTATTTTGTGTGGTTTCCTGCAGCATGAGCACACACCCGCTGTGATTATGCTAATGATTTATCAGCTGAAAATTAGTGTTTGGGGACAACTGCCTCTTTTTAATTGAGGGCACTTTTCTCTGCGGCTGGCACTCACACCCAGCATATGCTTTACTTGTTTCATGATCCTGTTGATGTTAGGGTTTAGTTTTCTGGGCAATCTGCCTCGTTTGATTTTGTGTTTTACTTGCTGTTTGCAGTGTTCGGATTGTTCAGCACAGCCATTCTCTAGGACCGATAGAAGCCTCTTTGCCTTCTCTTCAGCAGTGTTTGCTTTCTCTTTCTTGTGCTGTGTTTAGTAAAGAACACCAGTCCTCTACCCCCAGGGACACCCGTGACCCCTTTTTTACACTTACAAGCAAATCCGGGAGAAAATATGTACGTTTTTAGAAGTTAATTTTATTATATGAAGATGGTATACAAAATACATTCATCATGACTAGAAATATAGGACCAAACCATGTCTGTCTTATATCTGTAGCATATATTCTTGGTTTGTATAAAAGTAACTTTAAAATTCCAGTTTCCTTAAATAGTTATGCACAAAACACACACACACACACACATACACATATAGTTACACCACTGTTGGCCAAAGATGCACTCGTCCTTTGATCAATTTAAATGAGGCTAGCGAGTATCTGTTTGATGTTTGCGTTCCTATGGGCTAGGAAACAAGGCACAGGTCCCTAAAATTAACATCTAGGCGTCACTTCTTGGACTGACAAGACACAGACTCGTATATGGTTTCAGCCCCATTCCACCCACACTGTTCCACATACATTATCTCAGAAACTCTGAAAGGAAGTGCTTGTTCTTTGTTAGTGCCATTTTTGTCATAAATCGCAAATGATTGGAATATTATCAGTTAATTCATGTTTCAATTTTCAGTGCTATTTTAATGAACAAGCACTTTGTAACTAGCTCATTATTACAAGCCTCCATTTTTCTTTCTACATTAAGACTCCAGATGGAACCATTCTTTGACTGACGGATGGACTCATGTATGCTACAAACCTGAGTTTGAAGAAGCTGAGTAACGGAATTCTAATGATTTTTCTTTTCTCTTGGAAAGGTGTATTTATTATGGTCTCTTAATGATTAAGAATTAGATTATTGAAATCAAGACATATGAATAGCTAAGGTTTTATTTGTTATCACTATTTGCTGGACTGTTATCTGATTTGGAAAAAAAAAAAAAAGTAGAGAATTGACTGAGGTCTTTTTTCTGTGTTTAACCTCCTTCCAGTTACCTGATTTATAGTATTGCCAGCTGTCACAGGTGCTTTTGTGTATATAAAGAAGAGGAAGAACAAAGATTTGTCCTCTCTTCTGGCTCTAGCCTGCTTTTGTTTGGATTTAGATCTTGGTGGAGAGACCTGGCCCGCTCCTCTCTTCTGGCTAGTGAGTCTTCCACAAAAGCCACTGCCAGGAGCCAGTGGGCTCGCTCGGGAATATGCTGATGGTGGTCCCATCTCTTCATTCAGAGAGCCTTTAAACAGGGATGTGGCACATAAGAATGGAAGCATACATTCTTCTGTTACTTAGAGCCCAGGTTCTAGAGTTAAGTTACATGGATAAAAGGAAGCATACTCTTCTCCCCAAGCAGCAGCAATCCACTGTTGCCTGTCCAGCTTCTGACTGGCTGCAGAAGGTGCAGGCATCCTAAATACATAGACCCTAACTTGCATAAATAGCATCCAACAGAGCCAGCTTTAGTGATCCAAGGCCCACTTGATCTTTAGACCCTAAGAGTAGGCGTCCTTTGCTACCCTGTCTCCCTATTCCCATCATGCTCAGACCCCAGGCAAGGTTCAAAGCAGTTGAAAATGGGCTTTTCTTCTAATGATGGCTCATTAACTAATATCCTGAGTCCCAACTGGAGAAATATCTTGCATAAATTACATATCACCTTTTTTCTCAAGGAGCTTAAAGTGCTTAATATGCGTCAGCTAATGCTCTTCCACATCCTTCCAGATTAGTGTGAGACAGTGGAATCCCCATGAAATGAAAAGGAAACATGACTGGTTGCCTGTGCTTTGGGTCCCACCTGTGTTGGTGAACTGGTTTGGCTGGTATAGAGATGGGGTTTTCCCTTGACCTAATTGACCTTTTTCCTCCGTCAGCCCTAGTTTTGGTATGGAGAAAACCCTCCTCGAGACGGCATTTTCATTCTTCTCGGCTTGCTTTCACAATGAACTGTGCAAAACAGGATAATACCAAGAAATTGAGTTAAGTGTCTGGACTGTATATTAATACTCAAAATAGAATGTGACATTTTAAGTGTTAAGGCCATCATGCCATGGATACAACCTAAGTTTTCAGTGCATCTTACCAGAGGAGCCAAAAGTATGGGCTCAGAGTTGAGTGCCACCCTCAGTGCTGTAAATCAAAACATACCACGAATGGGAATGGACATAGAACCAGTTCCATAGGTAAAGTTCTAAAATTTGCTTTAGTTCCAAAAAAGGTATTTGTCCTTTTCTTGCCTCCCAGAATCCAGAAAATGTCCCCTCATCTCTGTCCCATCTGCTACTGGCTGGGCCCTCAAATATAGAAGGGTGAGCTGGGAAGCCACTGAAATGGCATTGCTGAGCCCCGTCCCCCTCCCCACCCACATGGTGAGTCTCAAATTCTTTCTCATGCCTTCTCCCGGTTTCTCTTTTCTCCCTTGCTTTCTGCCTTTTTCCTTTTCCTCCTCACGTCTTAGGCCTGCTAAAGGACTCCTGAGATGTTGCTCCGGCCAGCCAGTGATCCTTGGGGCTAACGGGCTTGTTGCCCTGGGTTTTGGGCTGCGGGGCTGGCCTAGTGGGGTCCATGATGCATTGGGTGATCAGTGCGGCTCCTGAATCAAACTAGTCCTGTGAGCCCTGAGGTGGCGGAGGTTGGAGCAGGGCAGTCATCGGGCTTAGGGAGGATTTCTCTAACACTGAGTAACATGAGGATTTAGCAGTAGTGTTCTTCACTTGTCACTATTTCTCTATCTGGAGTTACATTCTTGTTAGTCAAAAAAAAAAAAAAGCACTATTAAAAAATCACAAAAAGCAGCTGGCTCCCATGGAAAGGTCAAGGTGTAAACTTACATATGCATAATACTGGCAAAAGCTAGTTTCCCGGGGGTATAAATACACATGTGCTTCTGGAAATAAGGCTTTGTGTCAAACTCTAGACGGGTGGGGTGGAGTACAGGACCACCGAGTTGTAGTCTGGGGGCGGGGAGCAGCATGCGATTTTCCTTTCCAGCTCAGCGTTGTCGTAGGTGAACCTGCGCTTGCCTTCGCTGATGTGCCCACAGCTGGAATGGCAGAAACTGGGCCTGCTGGCATCAGAAAGCCCCGACTCCTTACTTTTACTGGTGACTCTCAAGCTAAAGAAAGAAAGGAAAGAAATCAAATGTTCAGAATTGGTTTTTAGAAAACAAGACACTAAAATCCACTCTTTCTGAGTGGGTCATTTGTTCATACCTGTCCTAGAGTTCATGGTTTTCGAACCCCCCTCAACTGCTGTCAGATTTCCTCTGTTCTAAAGCTGCACGCGGCCTCCCTCATAGCAGCTGGGTGTCATGGGGCAGAAAGACAGTAGCTGGGGGAGGGTGTGAGATGTCTGCTAAGATAACGCAAACCCATAATCCGGGTGGAAAGGAACTCCAAGACCTGGGTGCAGCCCTCTCCTATTCTCGGGTCAAACAGCTTCTGTGGTAGGCTGAGAAATGCCTCCTGCCCTCCAAAATATTCACATTTTTCATATTTTATCTCCCTTCTGGCCTCCAGAACTGCAAGAGAATAAATTTCTCTGGTAAGTTGCCAAGTTAGTGCCAATTTGTTACAACAGTCTCAGAAAACAATAGAGCTTCACACACACAGGTGAGCGCCCCTCTCCCTATCGTGCCTGTGTTCTAGAAGAGGAAACGCTTTTAGTTATGGTGCTACTTGTCACCAGCAAGGCTCAAGGGTGGAGAAACTTGCTTCTGGGTCCTCTACATTATACCCAGACTAGGACAGACACCTGAGGAGGAAGGGCTGCTCTTGCCCTTTAATATTCGTTTGAATTTTTTATTTTCAAGGGATCTGGGATGAGGAAGGGAACCTGTGAAGCATGTTTTAGACTGGTCTGGACTAACATGTCCATGTTCTATATTTTCAGTCTCAGAATAGAGGATACAATTTATGGTTTATGTTTTTCTTTAACAAATATCTAGATAAAATTAGTCACCACCCATTTTCTGAGGTGTTCCAAAGTAGGAAACAAAAGAGCATGTATCCTACATTCCCCTTTGATCCATTCATTCCTCACTGGTGCCTCTGATGGGCTGTAACTCAATTCTAATACCATTGTGCTCATGTGAAAAGGAAACACACATACAGATGTTTGCCTGGAAATGCCCCTGTCTTTCCCATTTACTTGTGGTCGATGAACTGTGCTAACTACATCACTTGGAGGCACTTGTTGCCATTCTTTGATTTAGATCAGGGTTCAAAAACTATAACCCATATCTGCCCACCTGGCTGGTGTTTTTTTTTTTTTTAATGAGAGTTTTATGGAGATATAATTTACATACTGCATAATTCACCTATTTAAAGTGTGTAAGCCAATGGTTTTTTGTATCGACACAAGTTGTGCAAACATCACCATAATCAACTTTAGAGAGCTGCCACCACCCCCCAAAACTCATACCCATTAGCAGTCTTTGTTCCTCACACCCTCCAGCTCCAGCCCAAGGAAATTACTGGTCTACTTTCTGCCTCCAGATTTACCAATTCTGGGCATTTCATATAAAAGGACTCATACAATATGAGATATTTTATGACTGCTTTTACTGAGCGTAATATTTTCAAGGTTCATCCAGGTTGTAACATGCATGCATACTGCATACTTTTTATTGACAATTTATATTGTGTGGATATACCATATTTTATTCATTTAGTCATCAACTGATGGATATTTAGGTTGTTTCTACTTTTGGCGATTATGAGTAATGCTGCTATGAACATCTGTATGCAAGTTTTGCTGTGGACATCAGTTTTCATTTCTCTTGAGTATATGCCTAGGAGTTGAATTGCTGAGTCTCGGGGTAACTGTTTAACTTTTTAGGGCAACAGCTAAACTGTTTTCCAAAGTGATTGCGCCATTTAACATTTCCACCAGCAGTGTAGGAGGGTTCCAATTTCTCCATATCCTCGCCACACTGACTTCATCTAGCTATCCTCATGGGTGTGAAGTGGTATCTCATGGTAATCTCTTTCCCTTTTTTTATCCCTCTGTCACCCAGGCTAGAGTGTAGTGGTGCAATTGTGGCTCGCTGCAGCCTAAATCTCCCAAGCTCGAATGATCCTCCCACCTCAGCCTCCCAAGTAGCTGGGACTAAAGGCACATGCCAGCACGCTCAGCTAATTTCTGAAATTTTAGTAGAGACAGGGTTTTGCCATGTTGCTCCTGGACTCAAGTGATCCACCCACCTCGGCCTCCCAAAGTGTTGAGACTACTGCATGAGCCACCACGTCCAGCCCCTCATGGTAGTCTTGATTTGTATTTCCCTAATGACTGATGATGTTGAGCATCTTTTCATGTGCTCGCTGGCCATGCTCACCTGTTTCTGTAAATACAGTGTGTGGGAACACAGCCGTGTCTTCTTGATGATGTACTGTCTACGGCTGCTTTTTATACTATAATGCAAGCTTGCCCAACTTGTGGCCCGCGGGTTGCATGCAGCCCAGGATGGCTTTGAATGCGGCCCAACACAAACTCGTAAACTTTCTTAAAACATTATGAGATATGTTTGCAACTTTTTTAGCTTATCGGTTATTATTAGTGTCAGTGTATTTTATGTGTAACCCAAGATAATTCTTTCATTGTGGCCCAGGGAAGCCAAAAGATTGGACACCCCTGCTAATGGCAGTAGGGAACATGTGCTATCTAGCCCTTTAAAAAAATGGCTGCCCACCCCGGATTCAGGTGAAAGAGGAGCAGGTTCTGCCTTCGGGTGAGACAGGGAACAGGCATTTGAACGAGGAAAGGAAGGAACATCCCACAGGCGCAGCTTTTCCCAGTCCAGCACCGTTGCGAGGTAGCGACTCGCACAGAGAAGCTGCAGCGGCATTTGGTGGTGCATAAGACTCCTGACAGTGGTGGCCACGGCGTGGAGGGAGGAGCTGGTGGACTGGTCAAGCCAGGGCTTCGTGGAGAAATTGTCAAGTGAGAAAAGGGTGCCAGGATGAAGTGGGAAAGTCATTCATCTGTAGGGGCTGAGTTCTCAGGCTGCAGGTCTTAGCCCTGGAAAACAGTACTGGGACTCCTCATGTATCAGCCCTGCCGGCATAGGGAGTAACAGCGGGGGCGTCCTCTCCCACCGCCGGGGGCGTCCTCTCCCACCGCCGGGAGCGTGTCTCCCTCTGCGCCATGCACAGGTGGACACATCAGGCTTCTTTCCCTTAGGCACTGTGCTTCCCACGTCTGGAATGCCTGTCTGCAAGATTTTCTGCACGTTTTCCCCAGAGCTTGGTGCTCATATGTCCCATTTGATGTTCCCCTTTTTTTTGCCCTCTGGGGGGAAATGCTTTTCTGCAACGCCTGAACACTATAGTGCAGGAGGGCAAGTAGTCCTCAAACATCCCTCATTACACCACCTATCCCCAGCATCTCCCCTCGTACCCTCCATCAACTGATCACAGAAAAGATACCCGATGCTTACTCAATCTTGAGCGAGGCCTTGGGTTTGCTGTCAGTCCAGGTGAAGCGCTTCAGCATGGGAGAGGCCAACAGAGTGCTGCTGTCCCCCTGGTAGTCCTGCGGGGAGAAGGAGAAAGGTGATAGTTTTGCCTGGCCCAGCGGGAGTCCATGCTGAGCCTGAGGGATGATCCTGGGATGCATCTGTTGATCCAGGCTCTGCCTCACCCTCCACAATCCCCGCCTATTGAGACAAAGCATTTTCTCTAAGTTGGTCACTACAAACTTGACCCGCTGCAAATCATGTCTGATCCCCAGTGACTTTGAGGCCCTTCCTGAACACGAAGTAAATACATTTAAGCAAAAGGGAAAATGGCAAGTAACAGGTTAACATTTTCCACAGTAAACTATGATGCAACTTATCGCATAAAGATACTAAAACTAATTTGGCAGATCGCGATTGACTATGAGTATGCCATAGTAGCGGTGGCCACCATAGACACGAATTCTAAGAAATCCTAAAGACATGGTTTGATTTTTTTTCTTAAACTTGATGGAATTCTCAGCCCCCACCTCCCACCCCTTGGTTATAGTCTCCAGCAATTAGATTTCCTTGTTGGTTTCTCTTTGGCACTGAGTTGCCTGCAGACTCTTCACTACTTTGTTAATACGGCATGTTCCAGTAAGCGGATCCCACACTTTGTTCCTGCCACCCTTTAAGACTCTTACAGGGCAGTGTCCTTAATTATGAGTAAACACCTAAGCAAACAAAGAAGCTGTCATCATTCACCACTGATTTAGGGTTGGAGGGTGAAGGTTGAGAATTCTTTCACGTTTTGCTCAGTATTTTTCCCTTGGCCTTGAAAACAATGTACCAAGCAGCCAAACAATATATCCATATACTTTACTTTTATATTCTTCAGCTTATTTTTGATGCTTAAAATATTTAAAATAATCCTTCCCTTTATCTGGTGTGTCCGATAAGGTTGTGGTGTTTCTTTTTTTTTTAAGGATGACTGTGCCTGCCTCAAGGCCACACTGATTGTAGTGATCACCTTCACACTGTTGTTGGCCTTCCAGGCCCTTTATGGGACATAGTCATTGCCAGACTTCTTTTTCTTTTTAGAGAGAGTCTCGCTCTGTTGCCCAGCCTGGAGTGCGGTGGCATGATCTCGGCTCACTGCAACCTCCACCTCCCAGGTTCACGCCATTCTCCTGCCTAAGCCTCCCTAGTAGCTGGGACTATAGGCACCCGCCACCACGTCCAGCTAATTTTTTTGTGTTTTTAGTAGAGACGGAGTTTCACTGTGTTGGCCAGGATGGTCTCGATCTCCTGACCTCGTGATCCACCTGACTCGGCCTCCCAAAGTGCTGGGATTACAGGCGTGAGCCAGCACGCCCGGCCTCACCAGCACTTCTTAAACGTTAATGTGTCCAGGAATCCCCTAGGGATCTTGCCAAGGCGCACCTGACTCAGTGGGTGTGGGTGGGTGCTGAGAGTTGGCATTTCTAGCCGGCTCCTAGGTTGTAGGAACCTGCCTATCTGGAGATCACACTTTGAGTCCCAGAGGCTGCAACATCAGAACTGCAGTATCGCTCCTGCCCATCCTCCTCTCCTCCCCCTTAGCCCCTCAACCCCACATCACTGGGCTTTAGAGAGAAGAGCTGGTGAGGCCCCTTGTTTGCCAGGCTATACTGGTTGGCTTCTCCCAGTGTGGCTGGGTAGGAACACGGCCGTTCAACCTGCAGAGCCTCAGGAGAAAGGAGCATAAGGCTTGGGTGGACCCCTCCCCGCCACAAGGCTGCTTGCAGGAGGCTCTCCGTTACATCACAAAGGCCACCACCCACACAGCTGGGAGTTCCTCTGTTACTCTGAAAGCAAAGCTGCATGGCTGACAGCTAAGCAGCTTAGAAATACACAAAGGAGTTTCCTAAGGGTCTAAATTCCTACCACGCAGGGACTTGGGTCCTGGAGTGAGTTCATGGAACTCTGCTTTCAAATTAGCTCTGCACAGCTAGGTCTAGTTGTGAGTCCTCCCAACACTGTCATTTCAGCCACTCCTGAATCCAGACGCTCGCTGACCAAGAGCTACCACACTACTGGCATTGGTGTCTGGAAGGGATCTGAAGAAGGGGTCTGCCAGCGTGCACTGGGTACCTTAACTTCATGACTTACATCAAACATGGAGGTGGCATTTGGTAAAAGTTCTTCAAAGGTTTTGATTCTTTCCAGGCTCATGAACTTGAAAGCATTTACATATCTAATGAAGAAACAAAGAATGATCAAGACAGGAAAAGGCATTCAGCTGTAAAGAGTCAGGAGACCACAGGCATCCTATCCTAGCTAAGAGGAACCAACACACCAACAGGAATCACCTAACTCCTGAGGCCCCAATCTCCCTGCTGTGACCCCTGGGAATCCTGACGGCATTGCCACTGCCTCCCGTGGTTGTCAATTCACATTCTGTCGTGTTGAGGAAACTCCCAGAGGGACCTGCTCGGGTCCGTTGTGAAATCAGAGAATGTCAGGCCTAGGAGAGCCTGGAGGCATCATCTGGTCTGAGTGCCCGATGGCGCAGGAGAGAAATGATGTGCAGGGAAGCGATAGGACTTTAGCAGGTACTCCGAAAAGGATGTGAGGCGGCAGAATGACCTGGCATGGCTACATGGCTAAATATTATTTAATGGCATAATCGAGTGCTAGCGCCAGGCTTGTATATGTTTTCTGTGATTACAGACTGGGAGAATTGGGTAGGGTTGTATGATGTCTCTATAACTACCTACTGACTTTTGTTGATGATCTATTAGGAAGGACTATTGGAGACATCCACTCTGTGGTTACTCACAAGGCAAGTTCACCTACTGACTGAATTTCTCAGTCCCATACTCTGTCACTCTCTGCCAGTCCCAGTGTCATGGGCAAGCTCCCTACTGGCCTAAGGCTAAGCCCCCTTAGAAGGGTCCACATATAACTGACATGCCACCCACCCCTCCCCTCCCTCTCTCTAACGCAGCCAGACCTTGCCAATTTATTTAATCCGAACTGGTTTTCCCAGCTTCACAAAATGATGACTCATCTGCTTCAGCCTCTTGGGCTGGTTGTGAGGCCTGAACAGTGAGGCTGACCTGTAATCCATCACCACAAGTCTGGATGTGCCACTGGGTTTCTTTGAGTCCTGTCACAGGTGGGTAGCAGTATTTTCTTTTTTCTTTTCTTTTTTTTTGGAGACAGAGTCTTGCTCTGTCACCTAGGCTAGAGTGCAGTGGCACGATCTCAGCTCACTGAAACCTCCGCCTCCCTGGTTCAAGTGATTCTCCTACCTCAGCCTCCTGAGTAGCTGGGACGACAGGTGCATGCCACTGCACCCAGCTAATTTTTGTATTTTTAGTAGAGACGGGGTTTCACCATGTTGGCCAGGCTGGTCTTGAACTCCTGACCTCAGGTGATCCACCCGTTTCGGCCTCCCAAAGTGCTGGGGGGATTCCAGGTGTGAGCCACTGCGCCCGGCTGTGAGCAGTATTTTCTGACTGCTGCAGCTCCTTCCCGTATCTTCCCTGGTGGCTGAACTGAGGTCAGAGCCAGAGAGCTGTGCCTACTGCAAAGAGAGATGCTAGAGGCCCATAGCACGGTCTGGAAGCCCTAAAAGGAGTCCTGACTGCATTGGGTACAGGGAGGGAGGGTCAGAACTCCTGGGTTAGAAAACTATTCTGCCACTTTCTAGCTACACAGTTTCGGCAAAGCCTTCCTCCTGGGAGCCTTAAGGTCTCCATTTATGTAACAGGAATGATATGTTCTGCCCAAGACTGCTCTGAGCGTAAAAGGAGTTGATAGATGGAAAAAGCCTAGCACCGTGCCAGACCCAGCACGTGTCTGTGTAACCATCAGTCCTGCCCAGGTTTCATGCATGCGTAACTATCAGTCCTGAAGTCAGGCCCTGGGGCCAGCAGTGGCCACAGTACATATCTGTTCCCTTGCCTTGCCCCTTCTCCAGTTCCCTCTGCAGTAATACAGGATAGATTCATTTGTTAGGTCAAAACAAAGCAAAACAAATGAAAACACAGCTCGCTTTGTTTGTTTAGTTTTATCTAAGGTTTCACCAAAAAATTCAATGTCGTGGGGAAAAGAAAAGATGGGGTAAGGTTCTAGAATAAGATAGACAAGAAACTTAAGAAAATGTAATCTGTTATTCTTAATTGGATCCTGCTTTTTAAAAAAAGATGTAAAGACAGGTGAAATTATGGAAATTTGACTATTAGATGGCATTAAGGAATTTATTTGGTGTGATAATTTTGGTGTGGTTTACACAGGAGTATGTCCTTCTTTGAGTGCAGTCACGCAATCATAGCTCACTGCAGCCTCCATCTCCCGGGCTCAAGTGATCCTCCAACCTCAGCCTCCTGAGTAGCTGGGACTACAGGTGCACACCACCACACCCGGCTAATTTTTTTATTTTTAGTAAGACAAGGTCTCTCTATGTTGCCGAGACAGATTTTGAACTCCTAGGCTCAAGTGATCCTCCCACCTCAGTCTCCCAAAGTGCTGCGATTACAGGCACAAGCCACTGTGCCCAGCAATAATAGCCGTCTTCCAAAATGTATACCAAAGTATTTAGGAGTAAAGTGCTATTATGACTTAAGCCTCCTTTTAAATGATTCAGCAAAAAGAAAAATCCAGAACAAACACAATCATAGAGAGTATAATAGACAAAATAGGGCAAAATGTTAACAACAGTTGAATTTAGGGGATGGGCATATGGGTGATGATCACTATACAATCTTTCTTCCTTTTTCCTTCCTTCCTTCCTTCCTTCACACCTTCCTTCCTTCCTTCTTTCCCTCCTTCCTTCTTTCTTTTTCCTTCTTTTTTTTTTGTTGGAAAATTCTGTGATATAAAGTTTGAGAAAGAAATCTTACCTGACATCATCAGAGCTTTCTGAATTAAACTTCGGAGCCGAAATACCTTCCTTGAAGAAGTCCTCAGAGAAGGCAGGAGTTGAGTATGTAAACCCACTATTTCCTGTCAGTATGGCATTGATTGGGATGTAGTCTTTACCATCCTAAAATACCGAAGATAGAGCTCTCATTGCATCAATTCTGACTTCAACAATTTCTACGAACCATTATGTCAACTTTGATTTGTCATTCGCACAATCTTGGTTGTGTTTTGAGAAGACAATTCTGTACACACACACATACACACACACACACTTTTTTAAAACTTCTCATCTCAGCTATTCTATTAATAGCGCTTAAAAAAACAAATAAAATGCCCCCCGATGTACACTCAAAGGCATTTAGGTGTAGATAAATTTCGTTTTACCTGTTGTACATTTGCTTGAAGCAAATCACCCAGTTTTTCCACAAGTTCTGCAAATCTTGGCCTTTCTTTTGGGTCTCTGTGCCAGCAGTCCAGCATGATCTGATAGCTGGTGGGGAAAACAGCAACAGAAGTAGCTGGAGAGCAGCGATCATCCTATGCATTGCCTTACGTACTGCAAAGGGAGGGCTGTCATCCGCATAAAGACCAAGCTTTCTGTATACTAGGTGACCCTGTTTCATTTTTAGGTTTGGTTTATAGCACCAGCACTTAAAAGGCTGTCTGGGCCAGGTCCTGCTGTCAGTGGAAAACACGTCTACCAAGACAGACTAACCAACCCTCCAGAGCTCATGGATACCAGGTTCTTTGTTGTGCCTGTGGCCTCTGCAGGTGGAAAGTCTGAGTTCTGTGACTGAAACACAGCTATTCAGAAAGGAAACCCCACTGCTCACTGCAGTTCAGTGTGAAGTGGAGTACTCCTCCCTGCACTTTCAGAAGCAGGACAATGTCCTTTAAGTTTAAAAAAAAAAAAAAAAAAGGTCATACAGCCATAAATATCAGTGGCCGAATAGTTTGTAGTACTTATTTCATTCTTGGGTTGTAACAAAGGTTGGTTTAGCTGGCTTCTTAAAAAGCATGTGGCATTTCCAAGTCCTCACACTTCCCTTGATGGACTAAGCAGTGGAGACCAGTGGGGAAGGTCCTGTGTACATGACTGTGTCACTTCCAGAAGCTGAAGCCCCAGTGTGGAGTTTCTGGGGCTGTGAGCAAGGTTCCTGTGTGTAGCTGATCATTCTCCCCCAGCACTGCAGAGCCGCTGTTACAAACTGGCCTCCCACCACTCAAGCCACACAGTACAGCCTGGGCACCTGGATATGAAACATTTGTCCTAATAGCACAGAGGTCAAATCTTGTCCTGGGATTCCAATGTCAACAGATTCCTCTGCAATTCTTCTCTTACGTTTTATTATTATTATTATTATTATTATCATTATTATTATTTGATGCAGAGTCTCGCTCTGTCGACCAGGCTTGAGTGCAGTGGCATGATCTCAGCTTACTGCAACCTCCGCCTCCCAGGTTCAAGTGATCCTCCTGCCTTAGCCTCCTGAGTAGCTGGGATCACAGGCGCCCACCACCACGCCTGGTTTAATTTTTGTGTTTTTAGTAGAGATGGGGTTTTATCATGTTTGCCAGGCTGGTCTCAAACTCCTGGCCTCAACTATTCACCAGCCTCGGCCTCTCAAAGTTCTGGGATTACAGGCATGAGCCACCACGCCCAGCCTCTTCTTTACATTTTAGATATAACGGCATCAGGCTCCTCTCTTGGGCATGTCTGCATGGACTCGAGGTCTGCACCTACCGCCCTCTCTGAAAAGCACAGGCCAGAGGTCCATACACGCACTGCATTAAGAACTGATTCTCCTTGAACCTTGCGCTCTTCAAGGGATGTTTATTATACGTTACCTCTTCTCTCAGAAGATGGTCTGGATGAAAAAAGGACTCTGAGTCACACTCAGATCTGAATGGGCCCCGAATTTGATTCCCACCCATCAGGCTGTAAGCACTGTGTGGGCAGGGCCTCATTTCCACACCTCTCGCCTACCCCAGAGCAATAAATATCTGCTAAAAGAAGTCAGACTCGTCTCTGGGAAGAGATGACTCTGCTCCTTCTGTGAATTCTTCAGCTGTACTGCAGACAGTAGAGCTGTGCTTGTGCTGGGAGAAACCCCAGTTCATATCCTCCCTCGGACACTTCTTAGAGGTATGCCTTTAGGGGGCGCCAATGCCTCTAGCTATCTCTTAAGTATATTCCTATTTTGTTTCAAAGTATATGAGGTGGCTGCCAAACGCAGTAAGACTACAGGAAGGTAAGAAAAAGAAAAAAAAAAAAAAAGAATCCAGGTGTGGTGGCTAACATCTATAATCCCAATGCTTTGGGAGGCCATGGTGGGACAATTGTTTGAAGTCAGGAGTTCAAGATCATCCTGGACAACATAGCGAGACTTTATCTCCACAAAAAATAGAAGAGTTAGTCAAGCATGGTGATGCACGCCTGTAGTCCCTGTAGTACAGGAGGCTGAGGCGGGAGGATCACTTGAGCCTGTGAGGTTGAGGCTGGGCTCCAAAGAGAGGCCTTCAGGTAGAGGCTGTGGGCTCGTCTCCTCCCGCACCATCGTCTCCCCACAGGATCAAGCTGCTGTCTGGGAGAGGCACCATCCTGAGCAGGACACTCCCTGATTTCCCTGCTGACACTTGTAAACGGAACCATCTACAACCACTTGCTGTTTTTTACTTTTGACTCTTGGATTCTGATTTTTAGTTTCCACTCTTCTTGCCTAAAATCCAATGTGAATCATCTCAGCAAACACCAAAGGAAAAGAAAAAACAAAATCAAAAAATTCATTGCTTATTCCCTTATTGAAGGACATCTGATTCAACAGTATCTGGGCAAGGAACCAACAACTCAATGTTACAAGATTCTGTGCCACTAAGTAAATAGGTTTAGTAAAGTTAAGAGACATTAGTTTGCATCCAAGCTGGGGACGAGGGGCCTCCAGGAAGTTTTCTTTCCAAGCTATCACCCAAGTTCCCAAATACACACCGCTTTACGCCAAGTTCAGATCACAGAATCCCAGTTCTGAGAAGCTGCACTTGGTCCTCACCCAGCCCTTCCTACTGTTAGAACAAACAAGAAGGAAATTACTCCATCAGCTTTCACATGCTTGAGAAAATGTCTGAAGGTTTGAAGTCTGGCCTTCTGAAGAAGTATTTCACCAGAGCTTCTTACTTTTTAAAATGTCTAAAATCTCTCCCTCCTCAGAATTAAGGAACCATACCACTCTCTCTAGGTCGCTCGAGGCAAGGGAGCTACCTGAGTGAGGTTTATGTAAAGACTTGAAGGTTTGAGCAAGTCCAAGGCAATTTTTGGTCCAAAGCTGATGTGACTTTGTACCTCTGAGTTATTTCCGACCACAGCCTGGGTATGAACGGGAAGCGCACTCTGCAGGGGTGTGGGATGGTGCTGTGGTCTCTGGACTCAGGCTGAATTCGCTTAAGTTATTACCAGTGCAGCCTTGAGCAAATCACTTACATGTGCGGTGCCTGTTTTCTCATCTGTGAAATGGAAATCATGGTAGTCCTACTTTATAGGACTGTTATGAGCATTAAATAAATTAATGCTTAAAATAGTGGCACTTATAAGAACCAAATAACTATTTAATCAGTATTATTCAATATTGTTATAATAAAAACTAGTTTCAGGCCAGGCATGGAGGCTCACTCCTGTAATCCCAACACTTTGGGAGGCCAAGGCCAGTGGATCACTTGAGCTCAGGAGTTTGAGACCAGCCTGGCCAACATGGAGAAACCCCATCTCTACAAAAAAATACAAAAATTAGCCAGGCATGGTGGCACATGCCTATAGTCCCAGCAACTCAGGAGGCTGAGGAAGAAGCATGACTTGAACTCAGGAGGTGGAGGTTGCAGTGAGCTGCGATCACGTCACTGCACTCCAGCCTGGACAGCAGAGCGAGACACTATCTCAAAAAAACAAACAAACAAAAAAACCCAACTAAACTAATTTCATACTATTTAGAATTTATGCGGAAGTAAAAATAAAAATTAATTTCATACTGTTTTGCATTTATTTTGATGTAAAAATCTTGTTATTTAATAACAACAATTATTAGTAGTAATTGAGAGCCTACTCTTGAGATTTTCAGACTATGTGAAGATTGGAAGGACATATTTAATTCAAAGCATGAGTGGCCATATCAGAGAAGCATTTCTTCTGAGGACTGTGGGGTCTGTTCCTAATTCAACAGCCCCTGTGGTCTAGGGACATCAGTCCGGAGGCTTGGGTTCTGAATGTCTCCTCTGCTTCTCAGCTGACAGACAGCACATTGCTTCAGGTCTTGGCATCTCTGTTTCATTACTTGCTAAATTCAGATTATAATAGCTGCCCTGACCACCCCTCAAGGTCTCTGGGAACTTCAAATGAGACTATATGTGGGAAAACATTAGAAAATCATAAAGTTAATCATCCAGCTCTATCCCCAGCTCTCAGAAACAGTCCTTGCCTCTCAGCTCCCTGTACTTTTCTGATGAGGACACCATGCACCAGTGACAAGAACAGGTCCCCTCCCGCTTCCCTATGCTTGGGCAGAGCTACCCAGCCCTGCTGTTGGGCCTGAGTCTTCCGTCCACCTCTCCAGTTCCCCATTCTGGGCCTGACCTACCCTTACCCCGAGATGATGAAGGAAAGAGACAGCGACTTTGCCCTTTGGCCAAGCCCACACTTCCTGCATTCCCTGACTCCTTCTCAAAGGCCAGCCAGTGCTTCTGACAGGACCCCATTGTGTGGGTGGAATGGGAGGGCCCCTGCCAGTTCAGGAAAGGTGGTGCCGCCTCAGGGAGGCCCAAGTCCTTGTCAGCAGCTCCACAAAAGTGCAAGTGTCATCACATTCCTGCTCAGGCCTCAAAGTGCAAAACATCCACAAATCCCCAGGAAAAAAAGAGTGTCCAAGAGAGGCAAGCAAGTGCAATTTGCACAGTGGAGAAAGCCTCACAGGGACACCCCGAAAAGCCACGTGACCAGGCAGCTCCAGACAGCTGCTGGGCCTATTCCTAAAGGATTCTTTTTTTTTTTGAGACACAGTCTCACTCTGTCGTCACCCAGGCTGGAGTGCAGTGGCGTGATCTTGGCTCACTGCAGTCTCTGCTTCCTGGGCTTAAGTGATTCTCATGCCTCAGCCTCGCAAGTAGTTGCCACCAGGCCCGGCTAACTTTTGTAGTTTTAGTAGAGACGGGGTTTCACCGTGTTGGCCAGGCTAGTCTTGAACTCCTGACCTCAAGTGATCCGCCCGCCTCTGCCTCCCAAAGTGCTGGGATTACAGATGTGAGCCACCACGCCCGGCCCCTATTCCTCCTAAAGGATTCTAAGGAACTTGTATTGCCCACAAAGCCTTCTGTGAAGCATAATCATGATGTCAGGAAGTTCCCCTTTTCCTCTCCAAGACCTCTTCTGCAGACCACATCAACCCCTTCATGGGCGTTCTGTGCAGATATAGGAATGGTCACAAGATCAAAGTCTGGCTCTCCATCCCTAGGGCTGCTAGGCCTGTTTGGCTCCCACTCTGTGAGTGAGGCCAAGGTCTTGCATTCAGTTCCTGGGTGACCTGTTTGTTTTGCCTGGATTCATACCTAGAAACTAAATTTCTAACTTCAGTTCCCAGCTAGAGCCCTTGAAAAGTCACGTCAGTGGTCAGGAGAGGAAATAGGTAGGGATGGGTCAAGGGCCATGTGCCCCACTGTAAGAAAATGCTCCCAAAATATCTGGGCCTGACGGGCTGAGGGGAGCATCTCTAAAGGAAAGAAGAACCTTGGCATCTTCCAAGACTGGGACTCTAAGAATCCACGAAACATCCCCTCTCAGGGATGCCCTGGTGAAAAGCGAGCTGTCAGATGGGGAGCGGAGGGCACCAAGGGCTCACATTTCAGGAGTAGAGTACTCAGGAGCTCTCATCCTCATGCCTTCCCTCAGGCGACTGCAAAAGTCCTCATCCATTTGTACTCCTGGGTATGGAGACCCGCCTGTGGGAGACAATGTGGAAAACACAGGGTCTATTATGGCTTCAGGGTTCAAAAGACCAAGAGGGGACAATTGAGTGTTTCTTTCCTCCCTTTAAAGTGATGTTTTAGTAATAAATTCCCAGTGATTACAACAGATCTCAATGGACAGTACAACATACAGAGAAGCTCAGCGAGTCCTTGCTAAGGACACCCGCTTGGCTGGGTGGTCACATGGTGTGGGGCTGGTGCCCACAGGCCATTCCTATGACTACTCCTGCCTGTGTGGTCAGAGGAAGAGGTGTCGTCTGAAGGGTCCTGGTCTTCTCCCCACAAGTAACTCTAAAGAAGTCCCATCATTAGAGACTCATCCTTTGGGTTAGCGAGTTTTCTTTTTTTTTTAAGAGATGGGTCTCCCTCTGTCACCAGGCTGGAGTGTGGTGGCATGATCTTAGCTCACTGCAGCTTCGAACTCCCGGGCTCAAGCAAGTCTCCTGCCTCAGCCTCCAGAGCAGCTGGGACTCCAGGTCCTCACCATCACGGCACTTGGCTTAGGCTTCTTTTTAAAACGCCAATAGATTTGGGATAGGCTACATGAGAATCATTCACACTTGAGTGGGAATGACTTTAATTCACTCTCTTGCAAACTTCCTACAGTACCAGGGCTCTAGGAGTTGTGACAGGCCTGAGGGAAGGGGGGCTTTGGGCTCCAGGGCTGGGCTGAATGGAGTGGAGTGGGGTGGGGGCTGCCCGTGGTCAGGAGTCTGCAGACCTAAGAGCGCCAGAGACCTAAGAGGCCTAGGCTTTGCCTTCTGCCGGTTTTACTGCCCAGGATTCCCCTACAACCTTTCCTTTTAGGGGGATTCTTGCCAGGGCTGGGGGTGGCAAGGCCTTCTAATGCACTCTTGTTCTAGCCCTTGAGCCTCATCTACCTCAGCATTTGTTTGTCTGCGCTTTCTAGTGATTACTGCTGGTAGGAAGCAGCTGGGAGACGTGCAGTGCTGGCACTGTGTCATTGTGGGGCCACTGCAGCCGCCAAGCTGCTTTCAAAGACTGGAAGCAACAGGTGCCTGTCATCGAAAGCAGGGGAATGATTTTCACACATTACAGGAAACCAGGGATGTTACTGGGTGACTTTTATTTGCTGTGAAAGGCAAATTTTTGGCAAAGCCCAGAAGACTCTTGGCTAGAACTTGGGTTTTGGAGGCCTCAGATCATCACTGTGTGTCTGCAAGCAGATGTGGGCTCTGCACGCATCTGTGTGCTTTGAACAGGGCTTCTAGCTGCCCACAGTGGATGTTTTTGCAAGCAGAATAAATACAACCAGTGTTCTTTACTGCTCATCCTGTATAATCCGGTGTCCAGAGCGTATCATGTGTTAACATCAGAGGCCCTGGAAAGGTCTCCTGTTTCTAACAGCACTTTCCTCACTGGGTTAGCTGGGCTTACTATGGCCTTTCCTAGGAAGAAATTTTGAGGTGGTGGGAGATGCGGGGAGGGAACGGGTAAGGGCGTTAGAGGTGTGCGTGTTGAGGAATTGGAAAAGGACAGAATCGGAAAAAGTACAGAAAAAGATAAACCCGACTTCAGACTTTATACCCATCTGACCTTGCTCATGATCGTATAAAACCCTTTTAGAGTAGAGGGCAGACAAGCATATGCCATTACTCATCTGAGAGTCTACATGGACCCATGGCACCCTAAGAGTTTTTGTTACAGTAGGAGCTAATCTAAAGGCTATCTAGCCAAAGGACATTCAGCAGAAGATGCAGACATTTATTTCTGGGCTGTTTGATCTCTTCCTTCTCCCAAATTTACCTAAGGAGAAGATTTCCCACAGCAATACTCCGTAAGACCACACGTCGCTCTTGGTGCTGTAGATTTTGTCAAAGATAGATTCAGGAGCCATCCATTTCAGAGGAAGTCGAGTCTGGAAGAGGGCAAAGGGGCCTTGAGCAGAAGGGCATGAAAACAAAGCACATTCAACCCAAGTGCCCATGGGGTCACCTCCCAGATACCATATGGCCCATAAATCATTTCCTAGAGCAGTTCTGGTTTCTAACATAGAGAACACCATAGTATGCAGTGTTACACTAAAAGAGGGAGCTAGAGTGCTATACTGAGTCCAATGAAGGCAGTACATGTTCAGTAAGCCCCTCTGATGTGTTCGGCATGTCCTTAACTGCATGGCTCTGTGAGAAATCCTCCCCCACAAAGAAAGCTTGCACTCCACAGGGACACTCAGGGCTTGGAAAAGGAAAAGTGATCTGAATTTGAAGATATCCCGAAATATGGTGGTGATTTCTAAAAATTTTTCCCAAGAAGGAGGATTTTAAAAGCATTCCTATGCAAAAAGACAAGATTTCAAAAGTCACTGAATAGGGAGAGTGTGCAAAAGCATCAGAAAGAAGAGAAGAAAGAAAGAAATCAGTGTTGAAAGAGAATATACAGTTGGTTTTCAAGCATGTAGACAAATCTTCCTCTTTTTCAGATAGCAGGAATCCCAGTGAGTTAGGCCTCACCACTTTAGATGATGGGGACTGATGGGAGGTATGGGATAAAGGAGAGACAAGGAGAAAGGAAGTGGGAGGGGCAGGGAGGCTGACTCAGATACAGATGAACAGAAAGGAGGGGTGGACTAACATGAAGGTTGATGCCATCTCTCCAGACCAGGGCCCCAAGGAAAGTTTGTTTTCCTTTATTTTCTTTTACTTTTACAAAGGGTCAATGCGAAGTCGTATGTTTTGCTTCTATACAAACAGATTGTGGTGCAGTGGCTCTCAAAGTATGGTCCTAGGACCTGCTATGTCAGCACCTTCTAGAACAAGCATGTTCAATTCCTGGCCCGCAGGCCACATGTGGCCCGGGACAGCTTTGAATGCAGCCTGACACAAATTCGTAAACTTTCTTAAAACATTATGAGATGTGTTGCAATTTTTTTTTTTTTTTTTTTAGCCCATCAGCTATTGTTAGTGTATTTTATGTGTGGCCCAAGATAATTCTTCTTCCAATGTGGCCCAGGAAAGCCAAAGGATTGGACACCCTTGGTGTAGTAACTGGTTAGAAACGCAAATTCTCAGGCTCCACCCAAGACTCACTGACTCAGAAACTCTGGGGGGTGGAAGGCTTGTTAGGCCAGCACACTGTAGCATAACACGCCTTCTAGGTGATATGTATGTTCAATTAAGTTGAGAACCACTACTGTAACTCACTGGTGCCCAGACACAAGCTTAACCCTCAGGGTATATAGGCTGGAGAAGGGAGGACATGGGACGTCACCTACAAAAGTGAAAAATAACACTATGTCTGAAAACAAGCAGGGAAGAGAAGCCAGTGCGAGCCAGCAGAGAGATGCTAGGCATGGAAGGCCATGGGAAGTAAACAGTCTCCTTCATAGTCAGCTACTGCTGACAGTCTTCCCCGCCCTTTCCTGAGACAGATACACCTGCTGAATCAATCACCCGGGTTTATTTGAGGGAAAGAGTCCAGGCTGTTCTTTTCAGTGGTACAAGGAATTTCCCCAGGATTCAAAGGAAGGTAATGCTAAGGTCTCACCCAGGCCCCACCAAACACTTCTCAGGTTAGCAAGTCTCACGCAGCGCTGCCCAAAGGACAGGTGGCAGGCCAGGCATTAGGGGAGAGCAGAACCAGGAGACAGTGGCCTTTCTGAGCCTTACACAAGGGCTCTCTGGGATGCCGCTCCTCTGGACTGCTTGTCTTCACAGAAAGCCAATGATGGTTTTCAGGGACTACAGCTGAGGAAGTGTAAATATTTACCAAGTCTGTTGTTTAAAAGTAATAGGACATAAATGAGTCAAATAAGCATCAAACTGACTTACATCTCCTTTTCTCACATAATCGGGGTTCTTATAAATATCCCGGGCGAGGCCAAAATCACAAATCTTCACCACATTGTTCTCAGATAAAAGAATGTTTCTCGCTGCCAGGTCCCGATGAATGCACTATAATAAAACAGCTGCATAATCAATGCATTTTCTTAACCTAACCAACTAATTTCCTACACCTCTGCGTCATTAATCTTAATTTGGGAATCCATTTCCCATGCTGTGAAGGGAGCACCTCTCAGTGCACACTGCTACCATAGACATGAAGAGCCTCTCTACAAATACAGGTCCCCAAGCCCCAAAGTCAAGACATGTTCTGAATCTCCCGGGCTACTATTTGATCAGTGAAGCTGGTTATCTCAGATTTACCAGTGGGCAAACTTGCCCCACAGCCTTTCATCCTGAGCTGCCAAGATGAGATCTTTCTTCAGCTGCAGTTTTGTGGGAGGGCCCCACATGGCTATATTAATAGTAGCTCTCCTATGAAGTCATGTATTGCGATTTGGGCCAGATTTGAAAATACGCCAGAGGGCACTGTGGAGAGCAGATGCCAGATTCGTCTAGTCTGACACCTGTGAGTTTTCCCCAGAATTAAGTTCTATCCACTGGTATCCACGACTCCTCATTCTCAAAACTCCTCATATCAGGGCAAATTAAGGTACTTGCAGTGGTGTTTGTTCTACATTTAAGAACACAGGTATCAGCAAATACTAGGAAAAATGAATTTATAGCAAAGGTGTGCGTCCAACCCTGGCAAAGAAGGAAAAACAGTGAACAGCAAGACTGACCTTTCTGGAAGACAGGAACTCCATGCCTCTGGCCACTTGAAAACTGTAAGAAATCAGATCTTCCATAGTGATGGGCTCCTTGTAGAAACCATCAGAATCTGGAAAGCATTAGAACCGTAACTGTTTGTAATGGCTCTTGTTATCCCACCAAATCCCAGTTTATTGGAACAATGTTAGCAAAACATAAAACAAACCAACAAGTAGATCAGAGTTCATTTTTAAGAGTATTTGAGTTTCAACATGAACACCAGAGATTTTTTCCAGGCCTCCAGCCCATTTTATCCAAGCATGGGGGCAGGGGGATGATCCATTAGGATGAAAATGCCTGAGGGGAGAAAACGGTACAGTTCCCTGTCAAAATTAGTAACTCTGTAAATAATCTTAATTCAAATCTTATCTCCTCAGGACATTACCATTCGAGTCTCCCACGGATGTTTATTAGAGTGATAAATAAGAAAAAAATTTCAGAGATGCACAGTATGTTGTAAAAATATCTCAGCGCGTAGGACAGGAAGGAATTAATACCTACCCTCCTCTTCCTCAACATCACTCAGACTTTTATCTTCCTGAAACCCGGAGCTCGCAAAGCTCTCGCTGCTGGTGACACTATCTAGTCTTGGTTTCTTGCCTTGTTCCAGGCCTGGCTCCATGTTTTCTTTCTTAGGCTCCATGTGTAATGCTGCATCCTTTGAAGAGACCGAAAAGGACCCAGGTAAAAAGGAGCTCCAGCACAGCAGTGGGAAACCAGTCCCTCAACTGGCAATTGCCTGATGAGAAATGAGAGCATTTCACTTCTCATAATGGATCGTGAACTAGCGCAGGGGCCCTACAGTGTCCAGGAGCCTGACTACCTCTGGGAATGCAGAGTCTGTTGTGCTCTTGCCTGGGCTTCTAGACTGCATCTTAGATCAGATAAAAAAAAATTAATAGTGGTGGGTATTTACTGAATGCTTGCTCTGTGTGAGCCGGTATATTAAAAGCTTTAGGTACATTTCTTGCTTAATGTTTCCAAAACAGGTTCAGAGAAGTAAAGTAATCAAATTCACATGCAGCTAATAAAGAGCAAAGCTGGCCGGGTGCAGTGGCTCATGCCTGTAATCCCAGCACTTTGGGAGGCCGAGCCAGGCAGACCACCTGAGGACGGGAGTTTGAGACCAGCCTGATCAATATGGAGAAATCCTGTCTCTACTAAAAATACAAAATTAGCTGGGCATGGTGGTGCATGCCTGTAATCCCAGATACTCAGGAGGCTGAGGCAGGAGAATTGCTTGCACCCAGGAAGTGGAGGCTGCAGTGAGCCGAGATCACGCCATTGCACTCCAGCCTGGCCATGAGAGCAAAACTCCAGCTCAAAAAAAGCTTAAACCCAGGATTGGTCGGTGCCCACGTCTGTGCCCTTAACCACTCTTCCATGCCACACGCCATCTTGTGAAGGATGACATCACTGAGAGGAAAGGATCCCCAGTGTGCTTGGTGCTTCACTCTGTAAGCCCTAGGAGGAGTCATAAGAGAAGGCTATAGTTACCAATTCCCCAGGTTTCCTTGGGGAAGGAGGGAACATGGACATTGCTTTTTTTCTCTTCCATTCAAAACAAAGATACGAGTTGATTCTAACAAGGGTAGTAATGGCCTTTCACCCTGGACTGCGCATTCAAGCCCTGGTTCATCTGGCTCTTCCATTAATCATGTGATCCTGGGCAAGTCACCTTACTTTTCTGAGTTTCATTATCCTCTTCTGAAAAGCTCTATTATGCTATTATTTTATGATTCATAGGAAAGGAGTTGTCGGTTCTGGGTGTTCATGGGAAACCAGAAAAGATTTTTATTGCCTTTTGTAATTCATCTAGTAACTATGACACTCTAAAAACCTAGCACTTTCAGTGGCTTTATAATTAGACCATGTTCCTAGCTTAGCTTCTGCTAGACAGCAATACTGAGGCAGAGGCAGAGAGGGACTGGGGTTCAGTGGTGTCCCTTGATCTATTTGCATGGTATGGCAGTGCTAGGATTAACCCGCCTCCCCCATCCTTCCTGGGCGTTTCTAGAAATGTCACAAAGCAAGAGCGATCCCTCCACTAGAGGGCACAGTGGGAGCAAGCAGAGCACAGGGAGAAAGCTTCAGGAGGGACAGCCCTAACGCAGCCTAAAAGCCAAAAGAGCACCAAGGTTCCCAGTCCCTTGAAAAGAGACCTTCCGGGGTTGCAGAGGGAGGCAGGCCTCAGAGTAAATACCCACTGCCATCGCAGGTAGCCCACCTGAGGGCAGGTAAAGACTTTCACTATTTGTTATTGTGTTTCCACAATGCAGTTATATTGGATTCTGTTCATTTGGGGACTGGAATTTTATTTTTCACAAGATCTTTTGCGGGACAGAAGGCATCAGACAAAGCGCTGGCAATAGCGTGGGGAGAAAAAAGCTCCACATGCTCACTCAGGGCTCTGCGTGTGAAAACTCTCCCTGGGCAGCCTTCGTCCCCAAGGCACCCAGAAGTCACAGCCTAGGCACGTCCCCAAGGGCCAAAACTCAGGCTCCCTCACTCCCTTCCTGACTCCCCATCAATGGTATATTCAGCTTTGCTTATCAGTACCACTTTTGTTAAATAAAGGTAATTTACTGAACTCTTGGGACTCTGGCAGAATATAGTGAATTTACTACAAACCATATTTAAGGATCCCAGTTAATTTATTTGGAAAATGAAGTATTCCATTTGCAATTTAGCCTTTTGGTTTTGTCTTTCCTTTACCTTTATCTTCCAAATATGAAAGACAGCCATGGATTTTCCACAAAAACACTAAGCTCCACCAAGTTGCACAGGGAGGCAAATCATTAAATATAGCCAGAGAAGGAAGCAAACTCTTCAAAACAAAGGACGCACAAACCCAAACGTTCCATCCTGCCCAGGTCCCTAGGGTATTCTGCCGGCTTAGCTCTTCCTGAAGTCAGTCCAAAATTTCAGGACTAAGGGGAATTTGTACTGCCCTCAGCCCAAGGCACCACTTTCCACTTTTTCTTATACTTTTTTCACCTTATTTAGTGTGGTGCACAGAAAAGCCAGTGGAGGAGGAGTCAAGACAGCTGAGTTCTTTCTCCTTCTGACTTCACCTCATGGTAGGTGTGAGTCCTTAAGCCAATCACTTGACTTCTCTGAGCATATCTACGGCCTGCGAATATGAAACAACTGATCACAAAGATCCCTTTCAACTTCAAGATTCTAATTCTTAGGCCGGGCACGGTGGCTCACACTTGTAATCCCAGCATTTTGCAAGGCTGAGGTAGGTGGATCACCTGAGGTCAGGAGTTTGACCAGCTTGGCCAATATGGTGAAACTCTGTCTCTACCAAAATATTCAAAAATTAGCTGGGCACTGTGGTGGGCTCCTGTAATCCCAGCTACTCGGGAGAGTAGAGGGAGGAGGATCACTTGAACCCGGGAAACGGAGGTTGTAGTGAGCTGAGATCGCACACTGCACTCCAGCCTGGTGACAGAGAGAGGCTCTGTCTCAAAAAAAAAAAAAAAAAAAAGAGTTCTAATTATTAGAGGACCTGACTTAAACCTGGGGAAAATGATGTTCTTGCATATATTGCCTGTCTGGTAGAACACCTCTGTCTTTGATTAGATCAAAGTTTGAGGGATGAGAGAGTTGGCCAGCTGTCCAGTGGTTCTTATTTGTGTGTGAAGATTCTTGCCCACATTATAAAGATGGACATCATTCTTGGATTTCAGACATTTTATCCACCATGTAGATCAGTGGCACGAAGTTGGACTCACCCAATTTTTCTATCTTAGTAGGTCAATGATGTTGATGATGATAATGACAGTGTTGGTGACGGTGATGATTAACATTTATTGAATGTTTAACTGAGAGATTTTCATTCTCCTGATAATCCCATCAGCTGGATTCTATTATAAGCTTCATTTAATAAATGAGGGAACTGAAACAGACAGGTTGAGTAATCTGCGTTCCCAGATTTCATGAGAGGTAGAGACAGGATTTGAATCCAGGAAGTATGACTCCAGAGTCTCAGTGCTTAACCACCACATTACATGGGTTACCAGTGTTGCTGATTACTAGTTAATAATGTTGAATCACTGTCCCTTGGACTTCTTCAGCTCAGAGAAGGACACAGTATTGGTGCCATACGTCACATTGGCAAAGTTTTAGTAAATTATTTCTCCTCCATTCAATAATCTCTTTTTTTTTTTTTGAGATGGAGTCTCACTCTGTTGCTCAGGCTGGAGTGCAGTGGCGTGATCTCGGCTCACTGCAACCTCTGCCTCCCAGGCTCAAGCAATTCTCCTGCCTTAGCCTCCCTAGTAGCTGGGATTACAGGCGCGGGCCACTACGCCTGGCTAATTTTTGTATTTTTAATAGAGACGGATTTTCGCCATGTTGGCCAGGCTGGTTTCGAACTCCTGACCTCACAAGATCCACCCGACTCGGCCTCCAAAGTTCTGGGATTACAGGCGTGAGCCACCGGGCCGGTCCAATAATGTCTTTTAAACCTTGTTTGCCCTTAGGTCTTGGGTCCACATGTTCCTTTTACTACACAGCTTTTATTTAGTGATAAGGCTGGTTCAGAGTATATGTAGGGATGACATGGGTAGTGAGGGTGTCAGGAAGTGGGAGAAAGGGCAGTAGAAAGGAAAGATAATGCTTTCTGTCCCTAGCCCCATCATTGGTCTACTGCTGATTGTACAAGTCACTCAGTTGATTTAGCCTTAGTCAAAATCTAACCTAATAAATGGAGACAATTATATTAACTATTATTTTCCTTAAAGAAATAAGTGACTTGTATATGTCTGCATGTATATACACATGCACACATACATAGGAAGACAAAGACAGAAAGTTATTGATAGATATTTAGATAGGTGGCTAGTAGATTTACTCTCAAATTATGGCTGCATACACACAAAAGGATCCAATGATTCTCTGTGCTATCCACACTAGAGTGTAACAGATTATCAGGGGGAAAAAAACATGAAAAAAGGAGAAGCAGCAGAGATTGAGTTTTAAGCTTAATCATTAACAGAACAATACAGGTTTCTCTTGCTTTATGTTGCTACAGACTAAATGAAAACTCATTGCTATATTTAAAAAACTCCAACTTTTAAAATCCTTACCTTGTTGAGAAAAAATAAGTCACGTTTGCTCTTGAGGTAGTTGGATAGATTTCCATATTTGCAGTATTCAACAATCACCATCAGAGGCCCTGCAGCCAAAACAGCACATGCTCATGCTCAGCCACACCAAGCCAGTCAACCATTTGCCAGCCTTCAGCCTGCCTGAGAAACCTCAAATCAACCAGCCTTTGTATTAGTGGGGCCGAGGGATGCGATTTAAGGATGAGAGGCCCATGAATACGGTGACTTTTTCAGTTTAACCTAAGGCGGTGTTTAAAGAACACAATTGAAACAGAAAAAAAAAAAAAATGGAGGTGGGGGCAGTGCAGAAGCATTAGAGAGAAAGGATTAGAAGGAGGACAGATATACCTTTGAGGAGGGGAGAGGCAGAAGCCAGCCTCTCTGCCTCTTAACCAGACCCTTGCAAGTAGAGGGGCTTCTGGTTACTGTCACACCAGTCCTGGGACTATTAAGCAGCTCCTCCCTCCCTCCCAGGGCAGAGATGGCTACCTGGCCGTCTCTCCCCAGCAGTGTCTGCGCAATTTGCCTTGGGGCTTGCCAGAGTATCTAAAGCAGGAGTCGGCAAACTCTTCTTGTAAAGGTCCAGCTAGTAAACATTTCAGGCTTTGCAGACCAAGGAGCTACTACTCAGTTCTGCCTTTGTAGCCTGGAAACAACCAAACAAGTAGAACTGTGCTCCAAGAAAACTGTGAACACAGAAATTTGAATTTCATACAATTTCATGTCATGAAATATTACTTTCATTTTTTATTTTTTTCCCCCAACTATTGAAAAAGGTCAAACCATTTTAAGCTCACAGGCTGACCTTGGTTTGTCAACCCGACCCCGGTCTGAAGGAAGCAAGAGGGTTGGAAAGGAAGTCCAGCTGCACTGTGGCGCCCATGTGGTGCTCTGAAGGCCTCCTCTCTCCTGCTCTGCGTTTCCACTGCGTGCTTGGGCTGGGCACGCAACCCACAAAGCAAGCACCACTTCCGGGTCAAAGGGGAGTGACCCTGGCGCTGCTTCACCCGCCGCCGCCCAGGGCATGCCGGGAGCCCAAAAGCCGCTAGTTCTTTTTTGTGTTATGCAGAAGTTGGGCTGGTCCTGGTGGAGTGGTTTTCTCTTACTATGAGGACACGCTAGAAATCCTGATAGCATCTCATCTTCCCCCTAGGTTCCCGAACGGGAAGTTGCTTCCAGAGTTTTTTATCTCCCCTCTATGGCGGCGGTTGCCGCAGAGCTCGACACCTGCCTGGGGTCCGGCCACTCTCCTCAGAGCGGCTTCCATACTGGCGCCCGGCTGCAGGGAGCTGACGGCCGCGCATGAGGGTAGGCTGTCTCATTATCCCTGGTCAGTTTTACAGACGCAGTTGAGGCGAACAGAATGAGGTTGCCACGACAAAGAACTGGAGAAAATGTTACCGAGGATGACGGAGAAGCAGGCGGAGCCCTGGCCAGGTCCCTCCGGCTCTTTCTGGCCTCCCCGGCCGTTAGCGCCTCTCTAACCACCTCTGCCCCTGGCAGATAGGTCTTCCCCAGCTACCCTTCATCCCTGCTACCTCTTTTGAGAGCTGAGAAAACATCGACATGCACAGCTCCTTTGCACCTTGCTGGCGCAAACAGTGATCACACATCTACTCTCAAGCTCTAACCCTGCCACACGGAAAGAAAGATCTGCGACAACATGCTGGAGCTGTTAATCATAAAACACGGCTCTGTCCCTGCTCCCTTGGGTAAGGTCTATCTGCATGGTGGATCTGGAGGGAAGGGCCCCCACATCACCTCCTCCTGGGACCCTACCAGTAGTGATTCATTCATTCCTTTAGGTGAAGCTTCAAGGAATATGCAACCTTCTACCTTTTACCTTGGCTCTGACCACACTTCTTCAAACTCATCCTGAGAGAAAAGTGCCCTCTGCTTGGCCTAGAGCCTGTGGAAGGAGATCTAAAAGGGAGTCCTCTTCAGAATCTTTAAATTAGCTGCACAGGGAAGGGATTTATGGGAGCACCCTTCTGTAGATGCACAAGTTGTTTCTTCTGGAGCTATGAGGGAGGCCATTTTCCCGGAGGCGAGGAAGCACAGTGCCAGGGAGAAGGAGCTTTAAGGCAGAGAACTGTTCTCCCAGCCTGTGCAGGGGGAGATGGAGCCGGCCCTCCCCTTCTCCATTACCTCCTTGCTTGGTGCAGGCTCCCAGCAGGTTAACCACGTTCAGATGGTGGCCAATGTGGGTCAAGATTTTGAGCTCAGTCATCAGAGCTTTGTACTCGCTGGCCGTGGCCCCCTCTGTGTGAGAAGCAAGGAAGAGTCAGGGCGACAGGACAATGGGGCTCTTTCCGCCGGAGGCGGCATTCTTGCCCTCCTTGTTTGTCAATGCTCAGCCGGTTGCTTCACTAACTTCCCCACATTCTGCAGAAAGGCCAAGTCTCCAGACTGTTTTCATTACTCCCACCCTCCTGAGCCAACATCCTTTTGATTACAGTTAGGCCCAGCACAGTAGTGGGGTTAGTCACTGGACATTTCCTCTTGGTGGACCTAGTTCTGTTCAGCAATGCGCTGACTCAGAACTGAGCACCTCGTGAAAGTGCCTTCCAAAGGCTTCCCTCTGTCGGAACCAGGTGCAGCAAGAACCCACCAGGCAGGGAGTACACTTCCACGTCCTTTCTTCTCACCTTCTCCCTTTGGAGAGTCACAGAGAAGGAGCACAAGGGGCCTGCCAGGGCAGAATGGCTACTTTTGTAAACATCTTTGCAATGTGTTATTTTCTCCCTATAACCCTTTCCTCTCTGGAGTTCACAGGGTTATCTTGGGTTGTGAGGATCCATAGCATCTGACTTCGACTTCAATCTCAGAGATAAGCATTATCAGTCCAAGAATTAGCAGAGTCTAAAGCCTAAATTGAGTTTGTTCTGTTTGTTCTTATTAGTTAATTTGCAAGGCATTTAAACATTTTAAATTATTTTTAGAAATATAAAAATCAAATAATCTTGCTGTAAAATATTTCAACAATATAAGTTGGAATAAAAAGATACGAAGTAAAATGATCTAGATAAAAAGTGAAAGCCACTCCAACCCACTTGCCTTCTTAGAAGCAGCCACTGTTAATAGTTTGGTGTTCAGACCTTTTTCTATGCATTTATAAATATGTATATTCAATCAGAGGTCCTATATATATATATGAGATCATATACATATATAGTCTATTTTTAAAAATTTGTTTCCTTCCTTTTAATAAATCGGAGACTTTTTCTATTCTTTTTATTTATTTCTATTTTTTATTTTTATTTTTTTTGAGACAGAGTCTCACTCTGTCACCCAGGCTGGAGTGCAGTGGTGTGATTTCAGCTCCCTGCAACCTCCTCCTCCTGGGTTCAAGCGATTCTCATGCCTCAGCCTCCCGAGTAGCTGGGATTACAGGTGTGTGCCACAATGCCTGGCTAATTTTTGTATTTTTAGTAGAGACAGGGTTTCACCATGCTCCTGACTTCAGGTGATTCACCCGCCCTGGCCTCTCAAAGTGCTGGGATTACAGGTGTGAGACACCGTGCTCAGCACGTTAATCACGTTAATGGTGGCCACTGTGGGCCCATTCTTTTTAATTGATTAATGGTGTCCCTGACATTTAGAGTGTCTGTAGTCTTTTTGCTATTACAATTAATACTGTGATAGTCTTTGTGTAATCTCTGTGCACACATGTAAGTGTTTCTGTAGGACAGTGTCCTGGAAGTGGGTTAGAGGTATGTGCATTTAACATTGTGGTAGATACCAACATGGTATTTCATAAGCACAAATCATTTTTAATAATAACCAGATAAACTCCAAAGCCTGCGCATGGGATTAGGGCTGGTTTACAGTAGACGCTCAACGAATATTTTGGAATAAATAAACACAATTACTCTTCTTATTTCAGACATGAGTGTAAGGCCTAAAAAGATTAATATTTTTGCTCAAGGACACTTTGAAAGAGCTTTTGTTTGGCCTTTGTTTCACTTTATGCTTTTTTTGTTTTTTTCTTTTTTTTGAGACGGCGTCTCGCTCCGTCACCCAGGCTGGAGTGCAGTGGCATGATCTCGGCTTATTGCAACCTCCAACCCCTGGGTTCAAGTGATTCTCCTGCCTCAGCCTCTCAAGTAGCTGGGACTACAGGCACCCACCACCACGCCCGGCTAATTTCTGTATTTTTTAGTAGAGACGGGATTTTGCCATGGGCTGGTCTTGAATGCCTGACCTCGTGATCCGCCCACCTCGGCCTCCCAAAGTGCTGGGGTTACAGGCATAAACCACTGTGCCGGGCCATGCCTTTTTTATATCTCCCAGAAACACATGGCCAATTAATTTAAGCAAGAAAGCTGAATGAATTTTTTTTTAAGGAATTTTATAGAGTGGGTGATTTGGCAGTCCTTTATAATCAATGCTGATGGCTAAAAAAAAAAAAAAATAGGCATTTATGAAGACATGACACATGCACTCTGTATTACATAGAAGAGATTCTCCGAGCCTTTAAAAAAAAGCTGAGCTACAGTGGCTCACGTCTGTAATCCCAGAACTTTGGGAGGCTGAGACAGGAAGATTGCTTGAGCCCAGGAGTTTGAGACCAGCCTGGGTAGGATGGTGAGACTGTCTCTACAAAAAAGTTTTTTTTTAATTAGCTAGGTGTGATGGTGTGAGCCTGTAGTCCCAGCTACTTGAGAGGCTGAGGTGGGAGGACTGCTTGAGCCTGAGAAGCAGAGACTGCAGTGAACTATGATCATGCTACTGTACTCTAACCTAGGTGACAGAGTAAAACCCTGTCTCTTAGGGGAAAAAAAAAAATCTCAAGTTAGAATCTTCTTTCAAACTCATTCGTCTCCCTATAACCCTTTCCTCTTTGGAGGAAAAAAACCAGGCTCTGGTTCAGCTTGCTGTATTTATAGGAAGGGCCACAGGAGTTATCTTGGATCCCCAACAGACTAGTGTGGCCATCAGAGCTGCCTCTCCTAGAGGACAATTTGTGGCAGCAAGAAGGGAAATGGGACTAGCTGAGGAAACAGTTGCTTCCAGATTTAGTTTCCACCTATCTCTAGGTTGGATACTGGATTGCCTCCATAAACCAGGCCAGGATCATTTTCAGGGTTTTGGAGCAGTGGGCCAACTCCAGGAGGCCAGACCTCTGCAGCCCCTCTTTTATGGTAGACTGGTGTGGAGGAAAGAGCACTGCATTCAAAGCTGGAAGACTTTCGCACATGAACCCTGACTTACACTGAGCAGCTGTGTGGCCTTGCAGAGGCTCTTTAACCTTTCTTGGCCATGTTTCCTCATCTGCAAACAGGATAATAATGTCTACCTCACAAAGCTGTTGAAAGGACATAAGAAAAATGGCCGTTTCGTATGGTTCAGCCTAATATGAAAAGCATCTAGTCTGGTGCTTTCTAGTTGATGCCTCTTCTCTTCAGAATCTGGGGTTCTTGAGGGGAGGGTGCTAGCATGCCTCTATTTTGACAGAAATACCTGCCATCGTCTGGGAAGTCTACTCCAAACAAAAGTTCTGACTTGTGGATGCCAAACTCCTTCCCAGACTACTTTCAGAGTAGAACTGGCAGGTTCTTTGCAGAGTTTTATTAGTTTTTTCTTGAGGAGTAGAGCCTTTTGAAGTTGAAAATATATTTACATGGGCCTTTTGAAATAATGGAGTTATTGCTAGAAGATTAAGAACTTTGAAGTCTCTCTACGCAAACAGCCCTTTCTCCTGGAGCCTGTACTAGGTACCTGTGTAGTTGGACTCACAGCTTGCTGGGCTTCAAAATCTCCCAGCAATATCCTGGAGACTTTGGAAAGTTAAAAGCTGCTTTTTGAGTTTTCAGTTCTGTTGAATTGAAGCATCATAAAATTCCATTACAGATGAGGAAATGAAGTAGTTTCTACACTGTAAAGGACCTGTGAGTCTTTGAGACATTTGGTTTACACAATTTTCACTGATTTTCATTTTCAATCTGTCTTTGGTATTGGGCATAAGTCACTGTGTGATTTGGTTCTACCTCCCAGTGCTTCACAGAGTAGTAGTATGTTTCAACACTAGAAAGATAATTCAGTTTTTCAAATTGCTAAAGAGGAAATGTTTTATGGCTGAGGTTGTTAGTATAAAATAGTTTAGAGTTCTGGTCAACTCAATTGTTCTAGCTTTATAGTTTTACTTTATAGTCAGGTCAAGCCCAAGCAAAGCCATTGGGATTTAGGATGTGCTGCTAAGTTTCCATTACAGCATCACAGTGGATCATGCCAAAATTTGAACCTGCAGTTACAATGGGCTTAAGTCCCTTGTTGTCTACAGTCTGTGATGTGAGAAGAGAAAGACCTTTGAGGTGACAGATCATTTTCCTGTGGACTGTGCTGGATTGTTCCATTTACAAGGTTTATTCTGAGCTCGTGCTGGCCTAATGTAAAACTCATGAGCAAAGAGGCCTCTAGCAGTAGAAGAAAATTATGTGGCCGGGGCAGAAAAAGCTTGTGTCTGTTCCCAGGCTATATCTAACTTGTACCAACATTTAGGAAATGCAAAATGGTGATGCGTCAGTTGAAAGCCAAACTACAGCATACATACCTTTCAGCATTTTCACAGCCACAGTCCGGCATGTAGGTGATTTCTTAATGCCAAATGCTGATGCTTGAACCACTTTTCCAAAAGCCCCTCTTCCAAGTGATTTGCCTGCAATGAAGAGAAGACAGTGGTTTGTTTGCCAAGGCAATAGGGTGAATTTAAGTCTTTTTCAGGAAGGAAATGCCTTTTCCTACGTGTGCATGTGAGGCATGGAATCTCCAGTGAACTGACCCTAAAAGAGACAAAGTAAGGGACTTGTTTCTGGAGCCTCTTCCTTTCAACTCTTAACTCTGTTCCTGAGGCCCCACATCCTTCAGAGATAGAGTAAGTCCCTAGAAGGCATTCAGTGAAGGGAGATGTCCAGTTTCCTTTCCACAAGGTCCTCACATAGGAGAGATGGGACCAAGTCCGTTCCATTGTTTAATAACATTATGACCAAGAAGACTTCCCTGTGTGGAACCTAAGCTCTTTTTCTTGCCATTTGCAGTCATTTTCTCTCATCTGTTTTCAGCAAAAAGGGAGAAATAGAAAATGGTGGTTACTACTGTGGATTATAATAAAGCTCATAACTTTCAAATAATCACTAAGTCATTTCTCTGACTTCCCTACCAGGCAAAATATTCCCAGTCTTTCTAATGTGTCTTATATGAATTTTTTTTTTTTTTTTTTTTTTTTGAGACGGAGTCTCGCTCTGTCGCCCGGGCTGGAGTGCAGTGGCCGGATCTCAGCTCACTGCAAGCTCCGCCTCCCGGGTTTATGCCATTCTCCTGCCTCAGCCTCCCGAGTAGCTAGGACTACAGGCGCCTGCCACCTCGCCCGGCTAGTTTTTTGTATTTTTTTAGTAGAGATGGGGTTTCACTGTGTTAGCCAGGATGGTCTCGATCTCCTGACCTCGTGATCCGCCCGTCTCGGCCTCCCAAAGTGCTGGGATTACAGGCTTGAGCCACCGCGCCCGGCCTATGAATATTACGAATCCTCATGGTTCAGCACAAGAGCCTGGTCAACTGCTGGTAGAGATTGGTTTCAACCCCGGAGAGGTAGTTGCTAAATGCAATAACCAAGCAAGGTTTCTTCCATGGTCTCCATAATGCTATGCTCTAATGACTGTTAATATGTTTCCTTCCCTGTCCTAGAATGAGCCCCCCCTGAGTAAAGCGGGGCAAGGACCATGTCTGAATCTTCCTTGAACCTAACCTGGTGCCTGGTGCTATCTGTTATTACCGTATATTGCTGCCCAATGGAGAGTAGTGTTCAGGAATTTGTGGGATGCACAAAGCGAGTCTCCTAGTCATAGGTAACTAGAGGGGCCCATGGGATAGAGACCCTGAGATTGATGCCCTTTGGGGAGGGCACTCCCTGGAGTACCCTAAGCTACCTTTTATATCAGGGAACTTCCTTTTGCACATCAGGAAACAGCTCAGTAGAACCCAGAGAAATGGCACCCCTCTAGCATGATATGCTCAAAGAAGAGTAAGTGAAATAAGTCACTCTTTTTTGGCTCTTCTTGGGGGAAGGGGAAATGACAGAATACCATGGGTTGGTTAAAACTATTATAAATCCTGGCAGTTAGACTGTTAATTTAACACAACCCCTCCTTTCCCAACCAAGTGCTCTTTCTTAGACCTGTCTGATAATGTGCCTTCAGTTAATTAACCTTCTTTCCTTTCTTCCCTCCTCATACTCCCCTCCCTTTCTCCAAAGGACATTTTTGTTTGTTTGTTTCTTGTAGTTTGTAATGAAGCTTTGCTTCTTCCTCATCATATTAGAAGCTTTCTACTTTTATACCCAACTACTGAGTGACAAAAATGTCTTTACCTTGCTCTGCTTAATGTCTTCCACTACCCACCACCCCAGGTGTCCAGTTAGGATGTATGAAAATTTCAGTTATACCAGTGTCATCATTAGGGCCTCTGTGTGGCTGTCTGCAGGAACATGCTCTGCATTCAGAGGGAACACCAGAGAGATGACACGTTTCTCTTTTTGTGAAACATGCTCCTGTGGTGATTACTAAACGACATTCCTCCCAGAGCATGCAACATGGGCAGAGCTACAGCCTCTGCTTCCTTCTTCATGTAAAATTGTCCAAGAAATAGACCAGGATGGGGACCCTTGAGTTGAAATAAAAGAGCCTCCAGTGGATCCTGAAGGTGCTACATCTGAAAATCAGGTGTGGGAACAGCGCTGGCAGATGCCTTCTCTATACTAGTAAAAACTGGTGCATTTTGGTTGGAGGTTTATTCCTTGTTTTATTTGGAATAAAAAAATCAATGTTTTTCTTCCACAGTGCCTTCTGCCATCTAAAAAGAAAAGTGTCCTGAGCCTGAGAAATATCCGGATCTTTTCTCCTCACACTCCTAAGACTCTTGCATGTTTGGGGTAAGTGGCATCCTTTGCACTTTCCATAGTTTCAGCCCCCACATCCCGTCACAACACACTTTATTTTAACAAGTGTTTGGGACTTTGCTTCTTATCAGTGAGAATAAACTGGCTCTCATTTGGCTTCCTCAGTCTTTTCATTTATTCTCTTGGAAGCTGACTGCTGCCTCATAAAACAGCATGAAGCTGTTATGGGCTCCTTAGTCATCTGATGTGTTGGAATCCTTCTGCAGACCCATGGTTCCAGTTTCAGGGGAGCCCAGTTGCATCAGACTTGACCTCACCTGATCCTTCTTTTCCCTTAAAATTCTCCTCAGTGTTTCCTGGAATGCCACTAACTAGCTCGGAAGTGTGCTAGGTCATTCCCATACAATGCAAGGATATTGGAATCTCCTCCAAGAATGTTTTGGCCTGGCCAGGGGCCCTGGACACTGGGGAGAGTGCATGGCAGCATGGGCTGGGCTGTCTCTGGCATTCAGGGCTGGTCTTACAAGAGGCAGCACCAGCCCAGGCACCATTCGCTTGCCAAACTCCAGACTACCTGTATGGTTAGCTATGTTAGGTAATTCTGACTTTTGATTATTTTCCAATAGAAAGATGCAATGTTGAACATTCTTCTTCTTTTTTTTTTTTGGAAATGGACTCTCACTCTGTCTCCCAGGCCAGAGTGCCGTGGCATGATCTCGGCTCACTGCAACCTCCACCTCCCGGGTTCAAATGATTCTCCTGGCCCAGCCTCCTGAGTAGCTGGGACTGCAGGCACGCATCATCACACCTGACTCATGTTTGTATTTTTAGTAGAGACATGGTTTCACCATGTTGGCCAGGCTGGTCTCAAACTCCTGACCTCAGGTGATCCACCTGCCTCAGCCTCCCAAAGTGCAGGGATTACAAGCGTGAGCCACCAACCGGCCTATTCTAACTTTAATAAATTTATAGGAGCTGAATTCTCTCCTAAGTTCTGTGATAAATTTATAGAAGCTGAATTCCCTCCCATGGGTTAGTGAGGAATAATTTTTTTTTTTTTTTTTTTTTGAGACGGAGTCTCGCTCTGTCACCCAGGCTGGAGTGCAGTGGCCGGATCTCAGCTCACTGCGAGCTCCGCCTCCCGGGTTCACGCCATTCTCCTGCCTCAGCCTCCCGAGTAGCTGGGACTACAGGCGCCTGCCACCTCGCCCGGCTAATTTTTTGTATTTTTAGTAGAGACGGGGTTTCACTGTGTTAGCCAGGATGGTCTCGATCTCCTGACCTCGTGATCCGCCCGTCTCGGCCTCCCAAAGTGCTGGGATTACAGGCTTGAGCCACCGCGCCCGGCCTTATTTTTTTTTAAAGGTTCTTTTTGTTCTTGGATTTCAGGAATTTTAGTGGTAGCAACACCTTTGACCCAAGCTCCAACTGCATCCATCTATCAGGTACTATAAATTCCAACCTCACTCACTAGGGCTGCTGATAGCAACCAACACAGTAGACACAGCTGAAACCAGATATAACCTTGTGTATTTCTCTACATTTACAACGCCAGTATAACTGCCAGTTAAAACAGCCTTTTCTCTCTATCTGGACATAATCTGGGTTATTTTCAGTTGCTAGACATTACTTCAAATTACTTTGTCATTTATTTGGCTTAAGAAATAAACAAGTCTTGGGCCTCCTTGCTCCCACGGTAATCAATCAGAGGAGTATACCTCCGGGCCTTGCAGCCACACTCTGCATTGAAAGACAAAGTTAGCAGACTTGACACACTTTTTCTCACCCATCAGAGACACTCAAATGGACATTAGCCAAATCCTAGCATGTGGCAACTCTGGAAAGGAAAAGAGCGATAAGAATGATCTTTAACAAGGAGACTGAAAATCATAATCCTGAAATGGGAATATTTAAACCCACAGAGCCCCAGGGGAATTCTGGCAGAGGATTAGCAATCTGTGATGCGATGTGGATCACAATGATACTAGGAAGGAATGAAGCGATGGGACAGAAAGCTCATGTGTCCTGTACTGGAAGAAGCACGTTTGATTATGACTAATAACTCTGGAAAGCAATGTGGGCTGAGAATGGCTCGTGGTTGTGGGAAAATTATCCCCTATTTCCTGCTGAGGTCACTGAGGGGCTGGGCTAGCTGCCATATAATTAAGACTTGCAGAAGGAACTCATCCAGTGTGCCACCTGCCCTGAACTACTCTAAATGTAGTTGAGTTTTTCTCCCGTCCACAGCCATTGCTGGCTCTCTCCTGTCTCTCCAGCCTTTAACTGATTTCCAAGTTTCCTCCCCAAGCCAAATAGAACACGCTCCTGAGGCCAGTCCTTTCTCAATGTAAGCAGAATCATTTCAAAGCCCAAGAGAAAAACAAAAGCCATTTTCCCCTCTCTGCCCCCTACATCCCTCACCCCAGTATCATTTGCTTGTAAGGAGAGGGGCGATACTGTTGAATTTGGAACAACAGGCTCTCCACACTGAGAATGACAAGCTCCAAGAATACCAGATCCACAATCTGTTTTCCTAGTTTCAACTACTAATGACTCTGGCATACACAGGAGTGAGTGGAAAACTTTCAGAAGCCACAATCCAAACATTTTGGGTAGGAGTAATTGAGGTTTCAATTGTTTTGGAGCACCAGAGGCTGGAGATTAATGGACTTTGTGACGTCTGAGCTGGAGGAACTGGAAGGTAGGCTGCGGGAAAGCACATTTGCCTGCTGTTTATAGCATCTGTGCTACCTGGAAAACAACAGTCTTTGCTCTTCAAAAGTGAAACTTAAATGACTCCTCTAGAGCTTTCTACTCGGTCTGGACATTCCCAGGAAAATCCAAGTATGTAATTTGTGGATTTGTGCAGAGGGTTTTTTTGATCCATGGCCTTGAAGAGCACCAACTCTTTCACCAAATGTTTGATTTCACTGTTCCTTGCCACCCTCAATTACGTTCTGGATCACATATTTCTAATCCCTCAACAGTTTCATTACGTAAGAGTACGTGTACTTGTAAGCCTCCTGTTGGAACGCCTCTCTCCTCGTCCCCCTTCACTTACCACTTTTGCGCCTATCTCCAGACTGAGCCTTTGAGGGAAGAGATGCACGCACCTTTGCATCTCCAGCACTTAGACCAGTATCTGCTGCTCAGAGAAGGTGCCTAATAACTGTTGAATGAACACACAGGTGCTGCCTGTCACCTTGTACTGTTATCTGAGCATTGCTTTGGAATTATTTACTTTTGTATCCATCTCCCTTGATGGTTTGTGAGCAGCTGGAGGGTAGAATCCCAGGTCTGGTTTACTTTTGCATCTCTCAAAGCACAGTGCTTTTAATGTAATATGTACTCAGTATAGGTTTATAAATCTGTTGAACAAATATCTTACCCAGTTTAAGTCTCTCCCGGGCAAACTCCCACTTGCTGGCATCATAAGGGAGCCGCTCACACTGCTCATCCAGGGGAACTTCATCAGGGTCCATTATAATCGATAGGTAGTCAGTCTTTATTTCAGAAGAAGACTGAGAAATAAAGAGATCTCAAAGTCATTAAGAAGAAAACAACTTTATGAATCCTGGATATTCAGTTAACATCCACTGTTTTATTTGGGATCATTTGGTTGAAACTGTGTGGCCAGGTACAGAAAGTACTTCTCCACATTCACATACAGTCATCATACTTAAGTGTGCAATTTCTATTAAACAACTCCTTACTATTCCCACACTACATTTCTGTAATGTGAGCTCTACCATCCTATCTTGGATAACATGCGCTCAAACTCTCCAGTGACCTTATGTGTTGTACTTGATCTTAAACAATTATATGATGGTCTTGCTAAAAAATGCAAAGCATTTTTATAAAGTCATTCCAAACAATGACTAAAAATAACTTTCCATGGCCATCTTGTATAAGCAGGAATATACATTACAGATGGGCCAACAATCGGGTGCATTGTGGCTTTTCTACATATATAGGAAAGGCGACAAGTGGCAAAGTAAACCCAGGATCCCTGGGGCACTGAAAGGCACATTTCCTATGAAGTGTTTACACTTTCAGAAGGCCTGACCTCTTAGTTGCTTCAGCTATCTGGAAAGGTTGTAGCTGAATCCTTAGTGAGATTAGAGTAAGGTTTACCTTCTGTAAGAAATGGAAGTTGAGGCCATATGTGGTGGCCTGTAATCCCAGCACTTTATGAGGCTGAGGTGGGTGGATCACCTGAGGTTAGGAGTTCTAGACCAGCCTGGCCAACATGATGAAACCCCGTCTCTACTAAAAATGCAAAAATTAGCCGGGTGTGGTGGTGCACGCCTGTAGTCCCAGCTACTTGGGAGGCTGAGGCAGGAGAACTGCTTGAACCCAGGAGGTGGAGGTTGCAGTAAGCCAAGATGGTGCCACTGCACTCCAGCCTGGGTGACAGAGCGAGACTCTGTCTTAAAAAAAAAAAAAAAAAAATTGATTATTTCAAAGGTCAAGGAGTAAATATGGTATAAGACTTACACACAAGCCACATTCTGAGTTCCGTTGTCCATTGGTAGGATGTCAAGTGAGTAAAGCAGACATCTGCCTTGAAGTGCTTTTTTATCTTGGTAATGCAAATCAAGCCCAGAAAATACCCTTTATTTCAGATCATAGATAAGTGGATTTACATTTAATGTTTTAGATTCGTATCAATGGGGGTATTTCCTGTTAATGGGCAAATTTCTAGAATTGATGACTGCATTTCTGTGGGCAGACTCTTGGATAGGATGGAAAGGAAGTATGTTTTCCCATATAACTCTTGGCCAGAAGTTATGTAAACTTCATTTAAATGAGTTTTGAGGCCCTTCCTTTTGGTGCTTTTCCCTAAATAGGATCAGAGTTGGAATGGAGAAGACAACCTCTCCATACACACCATTTCACACCCACCCGCATTCTTCATCTCTTACTCACTCTGTTCTGGGCTGTCACAGCTCACCTCATCCATCACTCGCAATCATTCTCCTTCTCACAAAAATTATCACTAAAATGTGTGACAAATAGCTCAAGGCAGAAAGGTTTGCTTGGCCTCCGTAAAGGATGAGAAGCAAAAAACGATATGGAACACGTTTGTCACGAACTGTGGTTGCCTTTGGTGTTAGACTATGAGGGTCCGGCCTGCCAGACACTCTGTGAAGAGTATGAATTCCTCTACCAGGGTACTGGGTGCCCATTAGAGAAGCTGCTGTAGTAGTAGGTTTTATGACTAAACTTTTCAATGTCCAGTATACCCAAAGCCCTGAGAAACAATCTCCAATCCTCAACAGAGCATAGGATAGCTGAAACCTCGCAAGGGACATCTTGGGCTCATGCGGAGTGTGTGGGGAGGGTGGCAGTAGTGTTGACAGAGGCAGGGGAATAGGCAGTGGTAGGCAGTCTCCCATGTGGCACCCATGGAATTTTATGGTTTATCTCAATAAGGCAGGTGAGAGGAGACACCAAACAAACCTTAAGTGAGGGCTTTGAGGAGACTGTGATAGTAAAATGTTAGTTGGCAAATATTTATTCTTTCAATTGACATTAACACTGAGCAGCTACTAGGTGCTTGGCATGGAGGCTGCACGGCTAACTGCTTCAAAGCCCAGGCATGGGGGCCAAATACCTGGGTTTGAATCAGGTCAACTTCTGCCCACCCACACACATAACTGTGGGCAAGCGGCCCTCTAACTTTAGTTTTCTTATCTGTAATAATGGTACTTATCTCATAGGGTTGTTGTGAATATCAAATGAAATAATCCATGGAAGGCTATTAAGAGCAGGGCCTGGTATGCAGTAAGCAACAATGAATGTTAGCTATAATTATAACAATAAATGTTAGCTATAATTATGCAAGGTGAGGATAAAAAGATAAAATGCCGTCTTTATCAATGAGGAATTTACATTGTCGTTAGAGGAACCACGTGGAAATATTTTTTGGATGTCTTGTTCCTTTTTGCCTCCCCCAATCCCTTTCAAATTTTATAGGCATTCTGTTTTTGAGATAATGATCTCTTGCTCTCATTCTTTCTTATTGACATCAAAATTTCACAGAATTTTAGAAATAGAAGGGACCTCTTCAATCTAGTCCCAACGTACCTTTTCAGTTTTATTTTTGTTATTTTTTTTTTTTTTTTAGATGGAGTCTCGCTCTTGTTGCCCAGGCTGGAGTGCAGTTGGTATGATCTCGGCTCACTGGAACTTCTGCCTCCTGGGTTCATGTGATTCTCCTGCCTCAGCCTCCCAAGTAGCTGGGATTATAGGCGCCTGCCACCACACCCAGCTAATTTTTGTATTTTTGGTAAAGACGGGGTTTTACCATGTTGGCCAGGCTGGTCTCAAACTCCTGACTTAAAGTGATCTGCCTGCCTCGGGCTCCCAAAGTTCTGGGATTACAGGCGTGAGCCACCGTGCCCAGCCCCTTTCCAGTTTTATTTCTCCTGTGCTCCTCTATGCTAAGTAACCAGACTACTTCCCCGCTCTGGGGAGTAGGAAGGACTAGGGCGGGCTGTTTTTCTGCTTCTTTCCTTCCAGCTACAGCCTTCAAAGTCTGTCTCAAGCCTCGCTTTCTCGGAAGTTTTTTCTCCCCTTCTCCTCCTTTGAACTCCTATAGCCTTTGTACCTCCCTTGCAGATTTGGCAAGTTTTGCTTCTGTTAGATGTATTTCCCTATATGGTGTATCTCCCCTTTCAAAACTATTGTGTGATCTTTGTTTCCTTCTCAAGCAGTGGACTTAGTTGTCATGTCTCAAAATCAGTCACTCCAAATGGCAAACGCCTGATGTTAAACATTTACCATAGAGGATGGCTGCTGGCTTTGTCTCTCATACCAGCACTATAAAGTATATCTTATTGGTTGTAAATATCAAATCTAAGGTCAAATAGCCTGGGTTCAAAACTAAGGTCCAACCATAGTGACTTTGGATCAGTTAACTTTATCTTGCTGAGCCTCAGTTGCCCTCTCTATAAAATTGGAATAATAATATATTTACCTTTTCATATTTTTGGAATAATTTATTGACATAATACATAAAGAGCTTCCCATAAGACCTGGCATATTAATAAGGGCTAATCTCTAGAAATTGAGGAGGCCTTCTGATCGAGTCCTACTTCCCAAATATCCCTTGACTCTAATCATTTAGTCAGAGGCACCATAATTTCGTTCCTTCTTTTCTCTTTTTTTTTTTTTTGAGACAGAGTCTCACTGTGTCACCTAGGCTGGAATGCAGTGAACTCCTGACCTCAGGTGATGCACCCACCTCGGCCTCCCAAACTGTTAGGATTAGGATTACAGGCGTGAGCCACTGTGCCTGGCCACGACTATACTTTCTTTCTTTTCTTTTCTTTTTTTTTGAGATGGAGTTTCACTCTTGTTGCCCAGGCAGGAGGGCAATGGGGTGATCTTGGCTCACTGCAACCTCCGTCTCCTGGGTCCAAACCATTCTCCTGCCTCAGCCTCCTAATTAAGTGAGATTACAGGCGCCTGCCACCACGCCAGGCTAATTTTTTGTATTTTTAGTAGAGACAGGTTTTCACCATGTTGGCCAGGCTGGTCTCGAACTTCTGACCTCAGGGTGATCCAGCCCCTGAAGTGCCAGGCGTCCCAAAGTGCTCGGATTACAGGTGTGAGCCACCACGCCCAGCCTGCCACCATAATTTCTTTTCTTTTTTTTTTTTTTAAGATGGAGTCTCACTCTGTCGCCCAGGCTGGAGTGCAGTGGTGTGATCTCTGGCTCACTGCAAGCTCTGCCTCCCGGGTTCACGCCATTCTCCTGCCTCAGCCTCACAAAGTAGCTGGGACTACAGCACCCCCACCACGCCGGCTAATTTGTTGTATTTCTAGTAGAGACGAGGTTTCATCCTGTTAGCCAGGATGGTTTTGATCTCCTGATCTTGGATCCACCCACCTTGGCTTCCCAAAGTGCTGGGATTAGAGGCATGAGCCACCATGTCCGGCAGCCACCATAATTTCTTACCTGGACTGCTATGAAGTCTTCTACCAGGTGCCTCTCTATTCATTCTTCCCCCCCACAACCCCCAGTCATTCTTCTCACAGTCCAAATAATTTTTCCAGACATGTATCTGTCACACTAGGCACCCCACTCCCCCATCCCTTCCTTAGCCTAACATACCTTTCTTCCCCAAGGCTTTCCATTGCTTTTAGAATACGACCAAATTCCTCACCATGGCCTACAAGACCCTGCCTGGCCAGGCCTTGCCGCCTTCCTTTCCATTCCTTGGCAGCCTCACTTCATACCTTGTTCCTCCTGTTCTCCACACTGTAGCCCTGGCCTTCTGTCAGTCTCTCCTTCTCACTGTGTTCCTCTTCCCCTGTCCAGCCTCCTAAATGCTCTTCCCTCTGCCTACAACACTCCTTCCTCTCTTCCTTACCTTAACATTCTCTTACACATCTTTTAGGCACCACTCTTTCAGTTAATTCAGAGTTGCAGTTTGACATTTGTGTGCTGATTAAAGTCAATCTCCCTGACTGCTCACCCAGCATCTGCCCCACTGTCACCAGAGGGCCTTGCACAGGGCATGGCATGCTGCACTGAGTGGGTATGCAGTAATATTTGAAGCATGATGAATGAATGAATGAATGTAAGCTCTTTTCCCACTGGATTTCAGAGAAGGCAGATCATATTGCAGACCTAAAGTACAGAAATCCGATGTCCTGAATGTCAACCTGGACTCTACACTCTAAAGAACTTAATTTTATGGTGTGACTGAGAGAGTTATAGAACAAGAGTTCACTTATTTTTACTTCCAATATGTTATGAGAGAAGTCAAGGTGGCCTTTCTTTTTTTTTTTTTTTGAGACAGTGGTCTCACTCTGTCCCTCAGGCTGGAGTGCAGTGGCATATGACTCACTGCTCACTTGACCTCCGCGCTAAAGTGATTTTGCCCACGCTCAGCCTCCTGAGTAGCTGGGACTACAGGTGTGCACCACCATACTGCCTAAGTTTTAAAGTTTTTTGTAAAGTCAGGGTCCACTATGTTGGACAGGTTGGTCTTGAACTCTTGGCTCAAGCGATCCTCCTTCCTTGGCTCCCAAAGTGCTGGGATTACAGTCATGTACCAGCCATGCGCAGCCGCTCCTTTTTATTTTCTTTTTTTTTTTTTTTTTTTTGAGACGGAGCTCGCTCTGTCGCCCAGGCTGGAGTGCAAGTGGCGTGATCTCAGCTCACTGCAAGCTTCCACCTCCTGGGTTTATGCCATTCCGCCTCTCTGCCTCAGCCTCCCGAGTCGCTTGGACCTACAGGCCGCCCGTCACGCGTATCGCCCGGCCTAAGTTTATGTATTTTTTTAGTAGGAGACCGGGGTTTCACCGTGCAGGCCAGGGATGGTGTCTCGATCTCCCTGACCTCGTGATCCGCCCGTCTCGGCCTCCCAAAGTGCTGGGATTACAGGCTTGAGCCACCGCGCCCGGCCCCTCCTTTTTATTTCTTAGCAGAGAGTGAGGGTTAGGAAATAAAGGTTTCACAGGTCCCACGTTGACTTTAAAGACTCTATTAACATATTTTATATCAAAAATACCTTCTGTCCCTGAGAAGTATTCATCAGTTCATTGTTATGGCTTTTCTGTTGAACACCCCACCTTGTGGTTAGAGACAGTCTGATGATTTATTTTCTTTCTGTGTTCACCAGGTCAGAAACAGGAATGAGAGGAAAGGGAGAGAAAGAGGGTCCAACGTTTGTTTGCCTACTCTAGACATCAGATCAGGCATTTTATAATATATGTAAAAAGGAGCATAGAGCATCATCTATGTTCTTACCCTTTTCATTTTTCGGATAAAGAGGGTTAATAGGAGCCAGAAGAGAGTCGCAGCCACACAGGTGCATGTTAGAGTGATCAGCTCCAGATTAGACTTGTCCGAGGTTCCTGGAGAGAAAAAAAATCACAATAGTGGTGCAAAAAAGAAACTCCCAAACTCAGAATCTTTGTGGTTTTATAAAAGAGGCTCAGTTTCCCTAAATGGTTTATCATAGCGAACCCAATCTGCTGCCACAAAATCAGTCTCTGGGACAGATCTCTTACCTACTGAGCCAGGCAATATACATGAACTCACATAATGAACTCACATAGAAAAGGCTTTCCAGAAATTTTGCTGTCAACTTTGCAAACTTTGTAATTCCAGAAATAGCTAAATAAAAATCAGAGGAGAAATTAAAAATGGGAAAAAATTAAGGCAGGAACAAAAGCCTATTAAAGTGCTAAATCTGGAATATGTTAAATCTCCCTAATGAGTTTTAGAGGAAACTCTAAAGAAAAAGACAAAATAATGACATAAAAGGGCTCCTTTGGGACTCACAAAATTCTTCGAAGTAGGTTTTAAAAATAAAAATAAATCCAGGACTGCCACAGTTGCCTGTTTGCTTCCTTTGGAACAGCCAGCCCAAGTGCCCACATCCCACTCCCTGTGTCTAGGGCTCTGTTTCTGACTTCATCAGCCAGACTGGGGGGCCTGAGATAGAAGAGGCAATTGCTAGACCTGAATCCTTCCCAGTCACCTTCTCTATCAGAATCACAGAGATCAAAAGCTGAGCACTATTCCTCCAAGACCAAAAAGAAAAGACTTAAAGTATTCAAGTCATGCCTCCAGAGAGGGAACTCTGGAATTTCTAAAGAAATGCCTCCATGGACCAGAACAGTATTAATTCTTGTGAGCAATTTCCCAGGAATTCTAAAGTAATGCCTTTATCCTTTAACTTAATTATAATGAGACAGAAGTGGCTGGGCGTGGTGGCTCGCATCTGTAATCCCAGCAGTTTGGGAGGCTAAGGCAGGAAGATTGCTTGAGCCCTGGGCAACATAGCAAGACTCCTTCTCTTAAAAAAAAAAAAAAAAAAAAAAAAAAGATGTGGTAGCACACACGTGTAATCCCAGCTACTCTGGAGGCTGAGGCAAGAGGATCACTTGAGCCCAGGTGTTTAAGGCTGAAGTGAGCGAGCTATGATTGTGCCACTGCACTCCCGCTTGGGCAACAGAGCAAGACCCTGTCTCAAAAGGGAGAGGGAGAGAAAGAGGGAGAGACAGACAGATAGATGTTTATATTAAGGAGGGCAAAGGACAAGTGAAACTTTATTTTTAGAAATAATGATGTGGATGACGATCTAATTTGCTGAGCACTTATTATATTCCAAGCATGCAAAACTACCCTATGAAATCGGTGGCAGTAATACTCCAGTTTCATACATGAGCACTTCATCTTCGGGGCTTTTTGTTTCAATGCAACAAAGATGTATTGAGTTGTACTAGGGGCAAGGTTAGGAGCTGGAGGAGATAGAAAGATTAATGAGGGACGGTTGCCACTCTCAAGGAGCCCATTCAAACCTAACCAAGAGACTTAAGGCAAATACAAAGAAATTAGATTTTAAAAGATTTGGTGGTTGAGAGAATCTAATATATACTACTATCTAATAGTAATCTAATAATACTTTTTTGAAGAGGTGGCATTTGAAATGAATTTTAATCCACAGAGATGAAGGCAGGGGAGGGTATTATAGGCAGAGGAAACAGTATGAGTGAAGACCCAGACCTGGCCAAGTGCGATGGCGCACGACTGTAATCCTAGCACTTTGGGAGGCTGAGATGGGCAGATCACCTGAGGTCAGGAGTTCAAAACCAGCCTGGCCAACATGGTGAAACCCCATCTCTACTAAAAATACAAAAAGAAAATTAGCCGGGTGTGGTGGGGGTGGGGCGCACCTGTAGTTCCCAGCCACTCGACAGGCTGAGGCAGGAGAATCACTTTGAACCCAGGAGGCAGAGGTTAGAGTGAGCTGAGATCGTGCCACCGCACTCCATCCTGGCTGATAGAGCGAGACTCGTCTCAAAACCAAAACAAGACAAAAGACCCAGACCTGTGAAAAGATAGGGAAGTATAATACAAGATACAGGACAGGACCAGACCATAGGGGTTTCTCAGCATCTGTGTGATGGGTTTGATCTAAAGGCTTCAGGCAGTTGGAGCCAAGGTTTCCTGCCCAAATCGTAGCAAATACACAAGCTGGAAACCTGAGAATAACTAACTCATTGGCCCTTATTGAGTGCTTTCTATTCTAGGGACTTTTCTAAGGACCGACATGTATTGATTGTCACCAAAGACTCACAAAAATCCTACAAGCTAGATTATTCCCGTTGTATGAATGAGAAAATTGAGACAGAGACAGATTAAGCCTCTTGCCCAAAGTCACACAGCCTGCAAGTGGTGGAACTGTGATTTTAACCCAGATAATCTGACTGCACATGCTTAACCACTAAGCTTCCAAGAGTACGCCACTTCCTCCTCTCTGATCCTTCCAGCCTTTACAAGCACAGATTAATCACTTCCTATTGGCCATAGTCCCCGCCACAAAGTTATCTTTTAGTCTGGAGTGGAAACTGATATTTTCTCTCCATCCAGCCCATCACGAAGTCCTGCCCATTCTACTTCCTTGGATCATTAAATTATCAGCCCTCCTACCCAGCTGTGACTGCCTAAAATAAGGCCTTATCAGTTCTCACCAGGACTACCTCATTGGCCATGGCTCCCTCCAGTCTGTCCTCCACCTCTGCAGCCAGAGTGATCTTGCCAAATCACCAATTTAAAATCCTATTACTCCTCTGTCTAAATTCCATTGTCTGTTCCCTATCACCGTCAGGATAGAAGTCCAAATCCTTAAATCCTTTATGCCCAACCTTGCCTCTTTTCAGCTTCATCTCCTGCTGTCCTCCCACTTGCTTCAGTCATGTCACAGTTCTTACAGTTTCTGAAATACACCAACCCTTCTGAACTTCATGCTTTGGCTTTTGCTATTTCTCTGCCAAAATGTGTGCTTCCTGTCGACTGAGTCCATAACTTATTCACCCTACTCATCAGGTTGGGTGAATAAATAAATATATATATGTTTTGCTTTACCTATCTCTAAAGAATTTCATGAGGGTTTTAAAGAGTTTAGGGGCCAGGCGCGGTGGCTCACGCCTGTAATCCCAGCACTTTGGGAGCCCGAGGCGGGCAGATCATGAGGTCAAGAGATCGAGACCATCCTGGCTAATACAGTGAAACCCCATCTCTACTAAAAGTACAAAAAATTAGCTGGATGTGGTGGCAGGCGCCTGTAATCCCAGCTACTCAGGAGGCTGAGGCAGGGGAATTGCTTGAACCTGGGAGGCGGAGGTTGCAGTGAGCTGAGATCGTGCCACTGTGCCACTGTACTCCAGCCTGAGCTACAGAGCAAGACTCCATCTAAAAAAAAAAAAAAAAGAGTTTAGGGTCACATCTTTGTTCCTGTGTATTACTTCATAAAACATACAGACCACCACCTCTGTTGCAGATATGTTCTAGGTGCCAGTATACAGTGAGAAGAGAAAGCGCATGGTTGGAACTCTCACAGTCTGGTATTCAAATATGAACTGATGAGCGTGTTATAAATTCTGAGTGAAGCAGCAGAATGTAGGGCTATGGTTCTCTTGTTCACTGCTACATCCCCGGGGTTCAGAACAGTGCCTGGCATATAGTAGACATCCTGAAAATAGTGGTCAAATGAATGAATTGGCTTATTTGCTGCTTTGTCAGCTGTGCTTAAGTTTCCCTGAACCTCATGGGGTTGATTGAAAATAACTTCCTTAAAGAAATTTCTCAGTATGATAACCTTTTCTCTCAGTACACATCCTCACAATGGGAAGATTGTAAGCTCAAGTTCATATGAGTTTGGTTTCTTTCTCCACAGTGAGTGAGGTTTAATGCGGCCTTGCTGCACACACACACACACACACACACACACGCACACATGCACACACATTCTTGCTTATGCTGCAAATAAGTTTTGTGGAATTTGATTGGGATTGGGATCCTCTCAGGACACAGTGGCCTTTGGCTGTCGGAGATGCTGATAGCATCTTGAGACATTGCACTGTCTGCATAAAACCTCTGCAGATGCTTCCCGCATGGAATGCACTAAGAGAGGCCCCCTTGATTGTGGGAACTTTCCCACTGCATTCTGTGGGACAGGAAGCTGACCCCCAAAGTCTAATTCCACAGTCCTTACTCAAGCAAAATTCATTTCAGTGGGACCAAATGTGTTTGTGTGCAAACACTTACACATTTAAGGAATCAGCCCATTAAAAAACATCCTCAAGATGACCATTTATCAGGAAGGAAAGATCTATTTAATATTAATAATGCTCAGTACTGCTTATTGAAAAATATTAGAATTTTACAGTATGTGCTGTAATATCAATGCTCTATTGCATTTGATGGCTCAGTCTCTATCTCTGTTTGAAAAGCGACTGTTAGGACAGTCTTATGCTGGGTGACTGACTGCAGTGAACCCTTAGGTGTTTTTTCAGCAGTCAGACATCCACACACTGGCCTGATTAAACCCAGCTTCAACTGCTGGTGACAGCTGATGAGCTAAGTGCATGAGATAACCCAGCTGCACATAGGAGGGGAAAGAGGCCAGGGAAATGTGGGTGGGATTTGACAGTAACTAGGAGTTAGCACTGGGTCTCAGGGACATGGCTCCCGCATGATGTGTGTGAAAGGCCAGCATCAGGACACAGTACAAGGTTACTTTTATTTGGGATACTGACAAGAATATAGCCAATTTAAAGAGTGTATGATAACTGTATCTATGACAGACAGTTGACCTGGTTGCACAGAGCATTCCACGTCAATTACTCTCCCAAGCTTTATACCATCCCTTTTGGAATAGGGAGGGGAGATGCCACACCAGGGATGGTCTGAGTTCTGAAGGGGTATGTATCTTGCCTGAAGTCTCTGCAGCTGCACAGTGTCCTGAGCTTTCCTGATAGCAACAGTAGCTCTCTGTACACACGGCCTGGGCTGCATGGTCTGGCGGCATCACACCAGCCCTGACGTATGGCACTGTGTGGCATCA